TGTTCTTTTTTGGACTTATCAGATCACTATACAAACATGACAAGGATATGTTATAAAATAAACTTCGCTATAGACTGTAATGACTACGATAAACAATTCTTAACTCGTAAAAAAAACCATCGTCCGGTAATTGTACAAAGGAAAATACTTAAAAAAGGCACCATACCCTACTATTTTGAACAGATTAAAAATAGAAACACCTCTCAAAAACCAGTACCCCCGTCACAGACTTTAACTGCTGGATTACCAATAAGGGGAACCATTCCTTATTATTTTTCTATTTTACCAAAACAATCATCTACCCATGACGCGATGAAAGAACGTAATGGAAATAAAACGCTTCACTCAACTACTAGTTTTTTTCGATAACAAGAATAATTATAATACCTATATGATAAACCTGTTACATCAAAATATATGTGGCTTAATTAATAAATGTAGTTATTTGGAATTGAGCTTGAATGAATTCAGACAGAATAGGATGCATATAGACATAATTTGTCTTTCAGAAACATTCGTCAGAACAGGTGACGACTACAATATAAAAATAAAAGATTTCAATGTTGCATGTTATTTCTCTAGAGAAACTGAAAAGCGTGGTGGTGTGTGCATTTTATTACGAAACCCATTACAAGGTAAAATAATTAAATTCTGCAAAGAAATCTCCGAGGAAAAAAATTTTGAATGTTGTGGTATTAGCGTTCCTTTATTGGACTGCATTATTGTTTGTATATATAGGACTCCGAACTCGAACTCACTCAATTTTCTAACTAAACTCGATTTACTCATACACACATTGACAAAGAAACATAAACGTATAATAATTGCTGGTGACATAAATATTGATATTTTAAAAAATAATAATTTGACATTGACATTGAATGACATACTCCTTAGTAATAATTTTAATATTCACATAACTAAGCCGACGAGGAAAAATACTTGCATTGACAACATTTTTAGTAATATAAAGGATGGAATAGGTAATATACACCAACTTCAGTTATCTGACCACAATACAGGACAAACGTTAACTTTCCCCAGTAAAAAAAATAGGCGAAATCACTATTGGTACGTGGAAAAGAGAGACTACTGTAAAGACAATTTATTAAAATTTCGTGAATGTTTATCGAATCTTTCGTGGTCTGATGTTCTATGTGACAATGATACTAACAAGTCATTTGATAGTTTTCACGATACCTTTGTTTTGTTCTATAATCTATGTTTTCCATTAATAAAAGTAAAGATTAATGCAAACACATCTTCTCCAAAGTGGTTTACTAAAGGAATACGAGTGTCTTGCAATAAAAAAAGAAGACTAAGATACATTGCATATACAAAAAAATGTGTCAAAAATAAATTAAATTTTATTCAATACGACAAATTATTAAAAAAATGTATTAATATTTCGAAAAAGCAAGAACATAACAATTATATACTTAAAGCTAAAAATAAGTGTAGAGCAACCTGGGATATCATCAAAGATAAAAATGATAGTGTAAAAACATATCAGCAAATTGACGCCATAAACTATCATGGAGAAACATTAAGGGATCCAAAAAAGATAGCTGACATATTTAATGACTTTTTTATTTCTATATCAAATGACAATCCCAAATATTATTCCAATATCGTAAATAAACAAATAATTACAAATAAAATAGATAAAACAATATTTCTAGAACCGTGCACTGACAATGAAATCCTGAAACATATTCTTTCGCTAAAAAATACAAACTCTGTCGGTTTTGATAATATATCAGCCACTATTTTAAAAGGTTGTGCTGATATTATTGCTCCAATATTATCGCATATTGTAAATAATTCATTTATCCAAGGCAAATTTCCAAGCAGACTAAAAACTGCAATTATTAAGCCAATACATAAAAAGGATAGTAAATTGGAATTGGGTAATTACCGCCCTATAGCATTAAATTCTAATCTATCCAAGGTATTTGAAAAAGCAATGTATAAACGTATATCTAGCTTTCTGGATAGGTTTCAAGTTATTAAAAAGGAACAAAATGGTTTTCAAAAAAATAAGTCGACAACTTTAGCAGCCTTCACCTTAATCAGCACAATTACCGACAACATAGATAAAAAGATACCTGTTACAGTAATATTTTTGGATATGAGCAAGGCTTTTGATGTAATAAATCATGACATATTAAAATCAAAATGTGAAACATATGGTATCAGGGGACAGGCCTTGAAATGGATTGAAAGTTATCTATGTGACCGGTATCAGTGTGTAGAAATTAACTGTATAAACAATAAATTGCTTTCTTCAAATTTTAGGTCTCACTATTTATGCAACAGAACAGGAGTCCCTCAGGGCAGTGTATTAGGACCCCTTCTTTTTCTAATAAGTATTAATGACCTACCTGAAGCAACAACGGAACATTGTATCCTATTTGCAGATGATGTTTCTGTGATAATACCACACAATAAGACTTCAATCAATTACAATGACAGGATTAATAAAGCGCTTCTTGACATTGGAGACTGGCTTGATTGTAATCAGCTACGAATTAATATACAAAAGACTAATTATGTGCAATTTGCTAATTATAAAATGACAAATAAATTACTTACAATAAAATATCGTGACGAGCTAATCGCTAAAGAAAATGCGGTCAAATTTTTAGGTATTACTTTAGATCATAACTGTAACTGGAAAGAACATGTTAATAACACATGCTCTAAACTTAATAAATTCGTGTATGCTCTCAGACGCTTACGGAATACAGCAAGTGAGAAAGCAGCTATTACAGCATATCATGGCTATGTTGGTTCTGTTTTAAGGTATGCGATATTACTATGGGGTAACTCAACTTACATCAACAAAGTTCTAATCGTTCAAAAAAAATGCATTCGCGCAATTTGCGGTCTGGGTCCCATTGACTCATGTAGACAGTATTTTAAGAAATTGAAGATCTTAACAGTTTCTTCTTTATATATTTTGGAAATCGGACTGTTTGTAAAGAAACATCCTGAATTATTTAAAAAAATTGAAGAATGTAATAAAATTACTCAAAGAGATCCTACAAAATTGAGAATACCTGCAGTAAATAGTGCGCTATTTCATCAAAATTGTAGAATAATGTGTATAAAAATTTACAACAAAATACCTCAAACTATTAGAGAAATGACTTTTGAAATTTTTCAAAATAGATTACGCAATTGGTTAATTGAGAGATGTTTTTATACAGTAAAAGAATTTTTAAATTTTGATGGTAAAATGAGTTAAGAATTGGATAATATTAATATAATAGTAATGACATAACAGTAATAATATTGACATATAATGACTAAATAATAATATAGATATAATAATTTCTTAAAATTGTATAATATAATAATGTAATATGCTATCTGAAAGACAGAATTGTGTAATTATTTACAGAAGCATAACTAATATAAAATTTTGCATGTCTTCATATAAGACGGATTGTATGGAACCATATGTACTTTATAACATCTGTGCACACCACATTTCTCGCAAAATAAATCATTTCATATCATTAAAATCATTTCATTTCATTATAGGGCAGACGTATTCATAAATGACAACAATATCTAGTAAAAAAAATAGATTTATTACAACGTTCTAATGTATTTCTTATATTTAAGTAGCTATGTAAATTGGTAATACTCATCACTGTAGCGTTATATGTGTGCTATAGTGAGTATACCGGTAAATAATTGTACTATTTATTGTAGTTAGTATTTATTGGTATTGGTAATGTGCGACAATACTTATAAGAAACACAAATACTCAACGCGGAGTCGTAATGCGGACTGTTTTACACTTAACTTAAATCTATGTTTGTAGAGATATAAACTAATGGAAGAGTCTCAAGTGCTTACCGAAATTTTACAAGTGTAGGCACATCTGTAGGCACAATGTGGTCGAGTGTCTTCAGTAAACGTGCTCATTAAATGCCCAGACATGTGGCTGGGTGTTGGGCCGGGTCATAGGACTCCCTAAAATATGGTCAAGGCGCAGTGATGGCTGGCTCATCCGTTATACTAGTGAGTAGCCAGAACACAAATTAGAAGGTGCTTTTGAACACCGGCAGTGACAGACAAGCAGGTAATATATTGTTAATAACACAGAACAATTACCACAGTGCCATTTGGACCCACGCGAAAAGGACCTTGTGTTATGGGTAGACATATAATAGAAATATTTAAAAATATATTATAAATATATCATACTCATTAATATTTGCACCGTGCGAGAATCAAAACCGCGACCAGACCAACCAAGCCTTTAAAGTGGAAAACAATAGGAATGAAAACAATTTGGACAGACAGTCATCGGTACTCTTCTAGGAGGGCGCAATGGATGACTACTGATAGTGTATCTCGCTAGAGGGCGCCATTAGAATATAACATAAGTCAACAACCATCGTAGTTAGCACACCTCTCTAATTTAAGAAGTTATTACATTATCAAACATATTGGAAAATTAAATTAACTAATAATATTAATCCTACTATTGAATACTAGTAAAATATATAATATTAGAATCTTAAATATAAATCAACCTATTTTTCTAACATACAAACTATATAATAATGGTGAACACACGCAAATTTAAATTTGATCAAATGCAAGGGAGTATACTAACTCTATAGGGGAGATGGGAATTGTTGGTAATGTGGACTAATTAACATACTGGTAGCAATGTACCAGTTGACCTCCACGCGGTTCTCCCTGGAAACCATCGTGGTAAATCGCCATTTGCCAAGATCGGCTCACTGTCCTGACTTCATTTTCATTCTACCACACTCCACTGGTACCCTGCTAGTGTATACCGTTGCGTAGGCGAGTACATCTTTCCATTATTATACTTAAGAAAAAATACTAACTCACATTGGCCCATTGCTCAGCAGCTGTGTCAAAAAGTACTCTGTGGCAGTAGCCATCTTGTTTCATGATTTTTACTAATTGTCAAATTCTAGTTCTCTTGAGTAGTATATTCTTTGTTCTAGTTTGTCCAAGACGAGAATACATTTGACAAGCTATAATTTATTATTCAAAATTACCTTTGTTGTATTCCATTTTGATAATCATTAGTATATGCATCATGTGTTGTAAATCTGAAAATTATAATGAAGATTTATTTGATTACATCAGAGTAAGTGAAGATGAAGATGATACGAATGCCGTGGAAATACCCTGTGAAATGGACGGCACATTACTTTTGTCAACGCTTGTAGCCCAGTTCCCTGGAGCATGTGGTTTAAAATATCGGCACCCTGATAGTAAATCTGTTCGAGGTATTCGCTTAAGTGATGGAAAGCTTCACCCACCTAGTGAAGTCGGTTGGGGAAAACATCTATATATTTGCGTTTTTCCTAAAGAAAATAAACGTAAAATGGAGGATGTATCCCCCGAAAATTCAGCAGCAAAGACAAAGCGATTAGAAAAGAAGCTTACTTGTTCAGATTTGATATGTCTAGGTTTACCCTGGAAGTCCACAGAGGAGTCCATCAAACAATATTTTGAACAGTTTGGTGAAGTTGTTATGGTTCAATTAAAGAAAGATAAAAATGGTTCATTTAAAGGCTTTGGCTTTATCCGCTTTGCCACATATACTTCACAGATGAGAGCTCTTGCACAAAGACACAATATAGATGGTCGTTGGGTGGATGTCCGAATTCCAAACTCTAAAGAAGGTGTTGTACCTCAAATGCCATGTAAAGTTTTTGTAGGAAGATGTACTGAAGATATGACAGCAGATGACCTCCGTGAATATTTTTCAAAATTTGGTGAAGTCACTGATGTATTTGTTCCACGTCCATTCAGAGCTTTTGGGTTTGTCACTTTCCTGGATCCCGAGGTTGCACAGAGTTTATGCGGAGAGGATCACGTCATCAAGGGAGCATCTGTATCGGTATCCAGTGCTGCACCAAAGATAAAAAGTAAGTCTAACCAAAATTGGAAAGATGATTCTTATGGGTCCAACAATTGGGATGGAAATAGGTCGACTTCTTCTGGGGGACCAAATAGCAGTAGTGGAAACAGTAATAATATTGATACACTTAATATGCAAAATCTGGGAATAAATCCAAATGGAGGGCCACCAAATAATTTTAATTTGCCTATAAGTCTTGTTGCTGCAGCACTAAACCAAGCTGGTTGGGGTGGTTTTCTTGGTGGTCCAGGTAATTCTGGACCCAATAATTGGCAAGGCGGTCCACCACAAGGGAATAATTCTGGAAAAAACTGGAATAGCAGCCAAAATTGGAATCAGAATGGCCCACCTCCATCATGGAATCAAGGCGGAAGCAGTGGTCAAGGTTGGAATGGCGGTAAAAATGGAAACTGGAACCAAGGAAATTGGCCAAGCGGTCAAGGCAATTGGAATGGTAACGGTAGTGGTGCTGGTGGAGGTGGAGGGGGCTCTGGCTCCAGCAGTGGATGGAATAATAAACCACAGACATGAGGTGAGCTGTTACTTCAACCAGTCATAATTGGGATGTTTGTATGGAAACTAGGGTAATGAGTGTATATGAATTTATAATTGTTGTAAGTTTGTCATTAGTACTATACTATGCATAAAGTTGATCATAGTGAGTAATGTATTTGAAAGTGTAAACCCACATTGTTTTAATTATTGTAAGATGACTAGTATTGTGTGTATATTTGTGATGTGGTATGAAGGTTCTTAGAGAAATAAATAAGAATGTCTTCTGAGATGGATGTTTTAATTTTTCAATATAGATAATTACTAAAATTAAGTATAAGTAGTAATTATGTCATACAAGAATATGGACTACATTTTGCTGTAGTTTTTCTTTCCATGTTGCAAAAGGTTGTGAATGCATATATCTTTGATTGTGAATTCTTACTCAATGTTTAATTCAAGAAAATATAAAAGTGTGTCGCCCTGTATGAGTGTCATGCAAGATGTGACTGCTACATTCAGACAACCTAAATGAGGTAAAGTGTAACCTGCCTGGTGCCTGGCTGCCTGTGCAAGTGGATGATACCTGATGCTAGCTGCATTCTGGGGTGAGTGTGTTGGTCAGCGGTATGGCCTGTATGATGTACATTGTGTTAGTGTATAATGAATGAAATATGTATCTTTTGTTCTTTTTGTACAGTCAGTAGCAATTTCATGGATGACAATCAAGAGTGCTGTTATGTGGCAGTGTGAATATGTAAAGTGGTAATAATAATTAATTTATGTTTAATCATTAATTTGCTTTAAATATATAATTATTACATCTATATATGAATATTAAAACATCAATAATGACAAATGTATATATACATAGATAAAAAAGTAATTTGTTCTCTTGTTTTTTACTTACCATTCTACAAATTATGTATCTAAAATAAAACTTTGTTATTACTATTATAAGTCTTATACTTCTGTTTAATCTCTCCCAACTATTCTTACAGGTATTCTGAAGCATCATTTTACATATTGAATACTGTTGGTGAAAATGAACTTGAAATAGTTGGATTAGGCAGTATCTGAAGATTAGCTGCCTTCCATTTAAAGGTGGTTAAATAATATATGCCTTTTTGAAAATTTTATAATAATTTGGTTATGTTCCCTTTATAAAAATCTCATTCTTGTTTCATTTCAGGTTAACCTCACAAGAGAAAGAAGATTTAATGTAACATCACAAACTTAAAGATAAAATAAGAATATTGAAACTAAAGTGAAATTTTGTTATCTATTATTGGGAAATTTTTATAGTAGTTTATTTTTAACCGTCTCCAAAAAAGGAAGAGGAGTTTCAAATGGGGCTGTTTTATTAATGTTCATTAATTCATAACTCTGAACTGATTTGAATAAAAACTTCTATCTCTCTCTCTTCTATCTCTCATTTGAAAAAGTACACTTACAGATCCATGTATTTTGATGTAGTAAAGTTTACCTAAGAAAATTAGTAAATACATATTTTTCTTTTAAGATTATCAGTAAGAAATTACAAAAAAAAAAGAAATGATTTCTCATACTGTCACCAAAATATATCAATTAAAAGAAAACTATAGTGTGTTCATTTGAAATTGATATTGTGCAAGCCCAGCCAGGCAGTGTTCAATTTAATTGAATTTGACTCAGCATGAGTCAAATTCAATTAATTTCAAAATTTTTAAATTCAATTAAATAATTAATTATAGTCAGCGTCAAATAGATAGTGGCAAGGAGCCACTATCTATTTGACGCTGACTATACTGTGGAAAAATAGTAATATGTAACAACAAATCCATTCTGCAACAAATAAAAGAAACCCCAACCAAGATAAGAAAATTATAGTTTTATCAACGGCGTAACGTGGGTCAGTCCTATAGCAATATCCGATTGCCAATAAATGGATTTTCAAGTTTCCAAAATTGTTTCCTTTTGCAATCAATAGTTTTTATTTATTATAAAAAAAATCAAATATACCTTAGTTCGATATTTATTCCTTTAATAATTATTTACCCCTAGAATGTTTAAGGAAACATTAGTCGATTTTCAGCTATTCATTTAATATATATAAGACCTAAAAGGATAGTGTTAAACTTTGCAATATTGCGCCTAAAGACTTGCAAATTGATAAAATTTTCCCATTAATTTATTAATTCTTCGTGTTATATGACGCTGCATATATTGGACGGTCTCGGTAGTAAAGCGGTTTAGTACACGGGTTTGATTCGTCGTACGGTACAAACATTTATATTTATGAATATGATTGTTTGTAGTGGTTGTTAAGTATAATATGTATTTAAATATATATGTACTATAGTTGTCTAATACCCATAACACCAACTCTGCTTAGCTTGGACTTGCTTACATGGAGTTGTGTGAATTATCCAAGGATGATATTATATGACCTATTTCATGTTCTAACTTAACAAATCTTTCTTATATCACGCACCAAAATTACAGACAGCTCTTGTGATTATTCGTGGAATAAGTCAAGTTTCAGTTGACATAGCAGTATAGTCTCATCGGTATCAATACGTGATAGAGCAAGAGCCCACGACGGCCAGACATACGTCATTTTAGTAAACGTGAAAGTTCTTGTATGTGTGTCCCCAACACAGGTAAGAACGATCCCCAAACATGAAACCTGGATCGTGGTTCCTTTGGCAGGTACCAGGTAACAAAGGTGTAAAAAAAATCATATAAAATTCGTTATTTTAAGAAACTCCATATTTTCATATATTGTTCATAGCATTACTATAACTTGCGCTGCTCATTGCCAGACACTTAGTGTGGTTCCAACCCCCCGCCGGACCCCCCTAAACTATACTATTTTATAAATAAACTTACGTCATTTTAATAAAGCTGAAATTTATATATATTATTGAGAGTTCTCTCAAACTGAGTTTCCTAAATTGCCAGACAGTTTTCTTGGTTCCTTCTCCTACCAGACTCATTGAAACCGTATATTGAGTAACAACGGTGTATACAATTTCATATCAAATTCGTTATTTTAAGATGCTCCATTTTTTCACATATTGCTCGTAACAGTATTATAACTTGCTCTGCTCGTTGCCAGACCCTTAGTGTGGTTCCAACCCCCCGCCGAACCCCCCTAAACTATACTATTTTAGAAATAAACTTACGTCATTTTAATAAAGCTGAACTTTATATATATTATTGAGAGAACTATTAAACTGAGTTTCCTAAATTGCCAGACAGTTTTCTTGGTTCCTTATCCTACCAGACTCATTGAAACCGTATATTGGGTAACAATGGTGTATACAATTTCATATCAAATTCGTTATTTTAAGATGCTCCATTTTTTCACATATTGCTCGTAACAGTATTATAACTTGCTCTGCTCGTTGCCAGACCCTTAGTGTGGTTCCAACCCCCCGCCGGACCCCCCTAAACTATACTATTTTATAAATAAACTTACGTCATATTAATAAAGCTGAAATTTATATATATTATTGTGAGTCCTCTCAAACTGAGTTTCCTAAATTGCCAGACAGTTTTCTTGGTTCCTTATCCTACCAGACTCATTGAAACCGTATATTGGGTAACAACGGTGTTTACAATTTCATATCAAATTCGTTATTTTAAGATGCTCCAATTCTTCACATATTGCTCGTAACAGTATTATAACTTGTTCTGCTCGTTGCCAGACCCTTAGTGTGGTTCCAACCCCCCGCCGGATCCCCCTAAACTATACTATTTTATAAATAAACTTACGTCATATTAATAAAGCTGAAATTTATATATATTATTGAGAGTCCTCTCAAACTGAGTTTCCTAAATTGCCAGACAGTTTTCTTGGTTCCTTATCCTACCAGACTCATTGAAACCGTATATTGGGTAACAACGGTGTATACAATTTCATATCAAATTCGTTATTTTAAGATGCTCCAATTCTTCACATATTGCTCGTAACAGTATTATAACTTGCTCTGCTCGTTGCCAGACCCTTAGTGTGGTTCCAACCCCCCGCCGGATCCCCCTAAACTATACTATTTTATAAATAAACTTACGTCATTTTAATAAAGCTGAACTTTATATATATTATTGAGAGAACTATTAAACTGAGTTTCCTAAATTGCCAGACAGTTTTCTTGGTTCCTTATCCTACCAGACTCATTGAAACCGTATATTGGGTAACATAAATTGGGTATATATAAAGTTCAGCTTTATTAAAATGACGTAAGTTTATTTATAAAATAGTATAGTTTAGGGGGATCCGGCGGGGGGTTGGAACCACACTAAGGGTCTGGCAACGAGCAGAGCAAGTTATAATACTGTTACGAGCAATATGTGAAGAATTGGAGCATCTTAAAATAACGAATTTGATATGAAATTGTATACACCATTGTTACCCAATATACGGTTTCAATGAGTCTGGTAGGATAAGGAACCAAGAAAACTGTCTGGCAATTTAGGAAACTCAGTTTGAGAGGACTCTCAATAATATATATAAATTTCAGCTTTATTAATATGACGTAAGTTTATTTATAAAATAGTATAGTTTAGGGGGGTTCGGCGGGGGGTTGGAACCGCACTAAGGGTCTGGCAACGAGCAGAGCAAGTTATAATACTGTTCCGAGCAATATGTGAAAAAATGGAGCATCTTAAAATAACGAATTTGATATGAAATTGTATACACCGTTGTTACCCAATATACGGTTTCAATGAGTCTGGTAGGAGAAGGAACCAAGAAAACTGTCTGGCAATTTAGGAAACTCAGTTTGAGAGAACTCTCAATAATATATATAAATTTCAGCTTTATTAAAATGACGTAAGTTTATTTATAAAATAGTATAGTTTAGGGGGGTCCGGCGGGGGGTTGGAACTACACTAAGGGTCTGGCAACGAGCAGAGCAAGTTATAATACTGTTACGAGCAATATGTGAAAAAATGGAGCATCTTAAAATAACGAATTTGATATGAAATTGTATACACCGTTGTTACCCAATATACGGTTTAAATTAGTCTGGTAGGATAAGGAACCAAGAAAACTGTCTGGCAATTTAGGAAACTCAGTTTGAGAGGACTCTCAATAATATATATAAATTTCAGCTTTATTAAAATGACGTAAGTTTATTTATAAAATAATATAGTTTAGGGGGGTCCGGCGGGGGGTTGGAACCACACTAAGGGTCTGGCAACGAGCAGAGCAAGTTATAATACTGTTACGAGCAATATGTGAAAAAATGGAGCATCTTAAAATAACGAATTTGATATGAAATTGTATACACCATTGTTACCCAATATACGGTTTCAATGAGTCTGGTAGGAGAAGGAACCAAGAAAACTGTCTGGCAATTTAGGAAACTCAGTTTGAGAGAACTCTCAATAATATATATAAATTTCAGCTTTATTAAAATGACGTAAGTTTATTTATAAAATAGTATAGTTTAGGGGGGTCCGGCGGGGGGTTGGAACCACACTAAGTGTCTGGCAATGAGCAGCGCAAGTTATAATAATGCTATGAACAATATATGAAAATATGGAGTTTCTTAAAATAACGAATTTTATATGATTTTTTTTACACCTTTGTTACCTGGTACCTGCCAAAGGAACCACGATCCAGGTTTCATGTTTGGGGATCGTTCTTACCTGTGTTGGGGACACACATACAAGAACTTTCACGTTTACTAAAATGACGTATGTCTGGCAGTCGTGGGCTCTTGGGCTATGATTTTGGAAGAGAACATGCGATATACTTTCCGACACTCACCAACCGATGTGCTAAGGCGCTAGACCAGGGCTATCATATGTGATATCTTTATTACCTGACAATCTTAGGAGTAGGATAGGACTACTAAAAACGTTATTCAGGAAGCGTAACATTAATAGCATCTACGGATAATTTCCCCTGACTAGAAATCAGATTTAGATCAGAGGTAAATGAAAGGCGAATTAGTGATGTATTTTCTTCTGATGTTTCTATGGCATACTAATTCTTTATACCTTGCAACTTAAAAAAATACTTATAAATTAAAAGTCAAGTATAACATTCATTTATTAATTGACGAATATACAAATTACATACTTGCACGGTTTTTAACGAGTAAAAATAGACTGTATTTAAGAGCACTACCTATAAGTGTGGTACATCTTTAATCCAGTTGAAGAGATACATTTGAAAATCTTATATCACTAATTAATCACATTGTATTGAGATCTATGAAGACGTCATTTCTATAAAGACTTGATTCATAATTATATATAGTGGATTATAGTAAGATACATTATTGGATATATTTCTTTATGATTTTTATTATAAAGTTGCAAAGATTAATTTTAATATTTAGATGAAACAACATGTAATCCAATATTTAAAAGCGAAATATAGCCTAATAAGGACCGTGGCATAAAATGAACAGAAAATGAAAACGTTGTACTTCTTACAGAAAACTGAAGTTTTGGAAGGTAATGAGTGATACCCAAATAATAAAGTTGTAACTTTAATACTAGAAATATAACATAATTCGACGACTGCCAAGTATCTATTGCAAAGTCCCGCCACGCCCGTTACATAATTATGTCAGTCAAATTTCGTTAATGATTATAACAACATTTAATATTAAAATTATTCTTTCCAGTAGCTGCAAACAAGAGACCAATCTATTTCGTTTCTTTTTCAAAGATTACACTTCAATTAACAAAGCTAGTTAGGTTTAGTTATGTGTTAAGATTAAGTCTCGCACACAAAAATAAAGAGCGAATGAAATTGCTTGTTTAAAGAGCAAGCGTAAGCACAATTTTCTACGCCTAATTATAAAGGGGTCATTACGAAATCACAACTCTAAATTCTCGACCAAAAGTTACATCTTTTAGTAAGAATTTTCATTCGGCCTGTGGTTTTACATTTATTTGACTGTTGTGAAACGTGAATACGACTTACAAATATCAGCTACACAAAACAATTTAAATTTCAGTCGAGTATTACTAGAATTACGACTTCGAATTCGGAATTTTAAAGTAGGCTCTCTGGATCGTCATACCAATGACAATAAAATAAACTTTTATACAACATTAATTTCAGTTTCTAAATATGTTCTACATTATACATATTTCCAATCAAGATTACATATTGCGTATACATGTTGTTACAATATCCATCTTTCAGTTCAGAATCAGTCGTATCATTTAGATTCTAATATGAACACGTTCTCGAATTTATCATTTCTAGATATACCTAATACAAACAGTACTATATGTACTATGTAAATATATCAGTATTAATTTTCAACTTTTAGTTGATTATATAATTACTTAGTTAAAAAGAAATCATGTGCTCCTTGAAATTATTGTAAACTCAGATGGGCACAGCTTTTCACTATCTTCAGCCGAATTTCTATTACAGTTACAGCTTCAACGTTTACTTATAGTAAACCCAAAATCTGCTTCTGCGAACAAATACCTTCGATACTGCCATTAAAGGGCGTCATCGAATATATTATATCGTCTACGATTTATGATTACGATTACGTTCCAATTCGATTCCACTGAAACTTAGGACTCCAGGCTTTGGTTGTTTGTTGGTCGCACCAGAACCATTTTATTATGTAAACAGACCAATAAGTGGCTAATATATCACGAGATTCATTTGGTTCAGAAATTAGAATCAGATCCGAGTCAACAAAGTTTTGTCTAACACCATAACGCTAACACGGGTAAGCCCTTTAAGTAAAATATCTAATCATATTTTCGAGATTCATGAATAATATTAATCTTGTTGGTCTTCACTGTTAGAAATATCAAATGCTACGTTTACATTCAGCCGCTTCCCCTGCCACTCGCGCTGCCGGAAATATTGCCGGGCGACAATTGAGCGAGAGGGCTGAATGTAAACACACGCTGCCAGTCCTTTGACTCGCGCACGAAAAACCGACAATCGAGGGAGCACCGGGCAGCGCCATTGACATGGGAAGTATCGTATTTACACTCTCACGCTGCTCACTGCCCTGCCAACTCGGGCTGAGTGTAAATTGGGCATAACATGTTTCGTTTTAATTGGTGTTCACAGATTCATACATGATTTATTTAAAAAAAAAAAAGACCAATTTTGTATGTAAAAACAGAGTCCACATTGCTATGGAAACAATGTATTTATTTCAGATTGACTGCTGTGCATTGTTAGCTACTCTTTTTAGTGTAACATTTAAACTTTATTAGTCAGATCTATGATAGAATTACAAAATTTTAATATTGAATAACATCCAAAAACAGACCCATCTCCAACAATAAAATTTAATGAATTTTATTTATGTAATTATTACATTTTATGGATTAAAATATTAAAAAAAAGTATGAAGATAATAATTCCAAATAATATTCAGGACACTAGGTTTACATGCACCAAGTTACCACAAAAGTCACCAAAAACTTAAACTTTATATCTTTATTTTTTGTATGTAGGCCGACAAATGCCTACGACTAACAATTGCAGCCTTAGACAGGAAAAGACATATTTGGTACATTTGTACTAGTGGGCGCTTGTAGTAAATTTCAAATGTGTAAACTAGTATTATCATGCTTTAAAATCAGAAAATTGCCAAATAAAATTTACGATATGGTTTAACATAAAATAAAAGCTGACCATACAATGTATTTACGTCTTATATAATTGTAAACTGAATTGAGTAGTCAAAAGAAAATATCGAGCGGCATATGAATAATGGAATTAATACTGGAATTTCATAATCATCATACATACTTTTGTATATTATAGTTTTAATTTTTTTGCAGGCCTGAGAGTATAATTTAGGGTAACTTGCCTCTTGACAGCCGAGCGTCGAGGCCTTCGTCCGTTCCACTCTGCTTCAATTTTACGCGCTAATTCAAAATCACTCTTCTCTTGTTCAATTAACTTTTCGATCCTTAATTGCTCATGTAAAATATTTTTAAGATCACAATTTTTTAATGGACTAGATAGATTTTTTACAGCTAAATTAACCTTATTATTATTTACAGAATCAGAAATGTCTAAATCTTTTTTAAAAGTCGACTTTTTGGAGTTACTTCTTAAACAAGACTTCTTCTCAGATGACACCTTTCTGTCTTTTAACTTCGCCTTTTTTGGAGTTGTTTCATTGTCATCTTTTGATATACATCCCATTGACCGAGTACGTCGTATAGTAGTACTCATATAAGTGTTACCCTTAGCAATTTCATCTATTTGGCATATTTGTTTATTTCTATTAGAAGCATTTCTTGTTGCTGGGAGTGTATACACAAAGGGAGGCCCTGTTGAAGGAATAGTCTTCTTATCACATGATCTAACGTTTGTTTCACACTTTGCAGTATCCTGTAAAAATATTTTAATAAGTTATAAAGAAGCAATAATAATCTAATCCAGAACAATATACATAGTGGCATCTAGTTCAAATCTAAGCAGAACATGTACTGCGGTTACTAATCAACTAATATATAAACTTACATACATTTTATATTTTCACATACATGCATGAGTGTATTAATATGTTACTTGTATCATGTATCAGATCATTGAGTTTACCGTGCGAAAAATATGTGACATAATACAACGGCGATTAGATTAAGTTCGTTACTTTATTCATTCCACAAAAACTATATTATTTCAAAAGTTCTTCAAATCACCTTTTGCTAAGAAATATCAATTGTACACTATACTTGTGGAGAACTAAGAAAATATTATTTCCCATATGTTATGATCGCTATTTACGATAAACACGCTTGTTAAGTACATGTGAATAGAGCATATGTAACATAATTAATTAAATTTAAATCATCAGAGAAAATTCAAATCACATATAATTTAATTTAATTATAGATTAACTATGCATAATTTCCTGCAAACAGCAAAGAAATAACAGGGTAATTGTATACTTACTTTTGCCCTAAGTATATCAAGTGCTATGACAAATGCTGAGGGTAAGTTTTTTGACAAGGATAAATTCCGCAGATGACAGAGACCTTCAATATACTGCACCCTGCTTGGTGCTACTTCTTGTTTTACAGTGATTTGTTTATGTTTTGCATGCACTCCTGGCACACGAAGTGGTAACTCCTTACTAGAATTAATACTAAAAATAAATACATACTATTTAATACTTTGGGTAGTTAAATGCAAGTGTTATTTTTCCCAGTTAGTTGTTAACTGGTTGATAATGTCATATTGCATTAATCTTGCCAATGTTACATATTCTTCATAATGCAATAAAGAATCAATAAATATTCAACTGTTAAACAATATAAATCACAAAATCAGAAATAAAAAAATATATTTTATATAGGTGTCAATTTCTTTAAATAAACTTTATATATATACTATATATTACTATAAATTAGTCCTACATTTGATATAGAGTAGTCCTACATTAACTATCAAATAATACAACAAAAAAATTGTTAAATGCAATACTTATACAGTTCTAGCATCAAGCCACAAGCCAAATTGGCACTCAGGATACATTTAAGATGCATGGAATTGAGAATGAAGAAGGGTAGACGAATTGCCAAACCTTTTAGAATTATTACATTCACGTCACAATAGTCATAGATATAATATCATTCAAATGATATGTATAATCATTTCAATGAATATATTAATTTGAAAAATAATTACTATGAAATCCATGTTCCAATGCAATAAATTATGAATGAAATTTGATAATTATATTGTATATATTAATAATTAGGTATAGTCTGAAAATGTACACTAGTTTTTGTATGGCTGTTATATTCATGGCCCTTTTCAAATGCTACATAGACAATGTATCTTACCTAGTAGGGTCAGTTCCTTCAATAGGTTTGAAATAGCATAATTCTTGATGCATAGAGTCAACACTGCCTCTCCCCAATCTTGTAATTTGAGATTTATTGGTTTTGTGTCGAAGTACTCCAGAATGTGGCAATGGTAGTGATACTAATAATGATTGAACCACTTTTTTCGATTTTGGATATTTATCATCTTTTCCATCATCTTTAAAGCAATTAGTTTCTATTTCTACTTCCTGTAAAATATATAATAAACTGTAATCTGTACTGAAAAACCTAAGACAATAATATTTAAAAAAATGCCAATTAGGACCACAATTTTAGTTCAATATCATTTTACTAATACTTTTAATAATAAAAGTATACACACAAGATATAATTGTATATACCACATAATTTATATAGGCCCTATTCTCTACTACTGAGAACAAAAGAAACTAGTTTCCAGAAATGGCAACAAAGAAACTACAATGGTAAGAGAATATGCCCATGGTGCTGTTTGATCATGTGGATAATTATTTGGCGATAGATACCTTTTTCAATAACAAGCACACCATCAACTTATTTGCCATTCAATTAGCATAGATATTTTTCATTTGTACTGCACAATAAGTATTCTATCATTTATGTGTACCTTATCTTTGACAGTGTCACCATTCTCTTTATTCCATACCCCAGTGTTATCTTTAACTTTCTTGTCTATGCTACTTTTCAATAATTTACCATAACTTGCTAATATTTCAGGAGATCCCTTATCACTCAGCTTGACTGAAGATACTTTAGGGGTAGAACTATCTGTGCTTGTATTGTCATCTGTTAACAATGGACTACTGCAAAAAAATATTAATGTTTTTTATTTATCGATAGTGGCAATTCCAGTTCTAATGACTAATATCATACATGTAAGAAGATTGTAGATCAACATGGTCTTCAATCTTCTTATATATAATATTCAAAATTCTGAGTATTTCAGATTTTCTGACTAAGTTTTACATTACAGAGTTTTCCAGTTGAGACTTCTATAAACAGTCATTTATATACATTATTATATACAAAAACATTCTGCACTCCTTCTCTAGACAAACTATAAAGTGTGTGAAATTTCATACTCCTCATCCAAACTATTTTTGTAATAAGGAGTATAAGGTTTTTGCTTTAGGTCTTAACAATTTTAGTTTTTTATTATCTACATTTATTTTGGGGTTTTTGTTTCCAATCATGTCAACCCCATTATATCAACCTACCTACTGCTACTACTACTACAACCTAATTGTAATGAATCTTAAAAATAAAATTATTACAACAAAAATTAATACATGTATAGTTACAAAAAAAATGTATTGAAGTATTATCTAACAATTGAACCTGAAGTTATATAGAGCTTGTACCCATAATACATATATAACTTCAGGCTAGAAGATGTCCTGTGATCTGTTCTGGTCTATAAATATATGTTACTTACTTTTTGACAGTAACAGGTGCTTGCAACTTTGTCAAATAACCATCAATTTTTGTTGTCTTATATTTAGTATAGTTAATGGCACCCCTCAGACTTTTCTTTCTGGACATGTCTTCAAGAGCTGAACTTTTAAGACTATCATTTTGTATTTCTTGTGCTAATGTCTCATCTTGCTTTAAACCCTTCAAATATTTTTTATGTGCTTCAGCTTCTTCTTCTTGGATTTTTCTACAAAAATAAAATTATAAACTTAAGTATTGTTTTCAGTTGCAATGTCTATAGAATCCTTGTGTATACTAAAGTTAGAAACAGTAAACATTGTTAATCTTTAGTACATTACTTGCTTGTTATTATTTTTTAATTATATGATTTGATAAAACAAAACTTGATTATTTAGGAATCTAGTAATAAGAAATTTTAATTACCTTTTTGTTAAATATTACTATTCTGAAGAACTTATATTTATTTTATTTGAATAAAGATTATTCCTAGTCTATTCTATTTGTTAAAGACTGTAATATACTAAAGAATATAATTTTTAAAGAAGTAATTCAGCACAGACTAAAATTAAGTCAACAGTTAAACAAAGACTACAACAACAACAAAGACTGTAAGACACATTCCTTCCATTCTTATAAGACACATTACTACACATCACAATATTTTCTGCTTTCTTATATAATTTTAAAGTTAGTAAATATACTTAAAAGTAATGAAATGTTAAAAATATATGTCACAGTTTTTAATTTTAATAATGATATTTTTACTGAATTAATATATTTAAATATCCAGCAAAAAAAGTTATTAAAATTCAATAAAAGATATTGATAAAATAATAGACATACCGAATTAAAAATTCAGTCTCTTGAATTTGTTTTTGCTCAAGTCGTAAACGTTCAGTCCTTAACCTCTTTAGTTCAGCCTCATATTCCAATCTTATTTCACCAGGAGCACTTAATCGCATCATAGGTTTTTCTTCAAAATAATTAATATATATAAACATTAATTAAAGACATTTGGATAAGCAAATTGTAATCAGGTGTGGCTCAGAATTATAATGTAATAACCACTCTACTACCTAGTAAAAACTGCAGATTTATTTCAATCAAAAAAAATTCAGGACTAGATTCAGTTAAAACAAAATTAAATTTCATTTCATCTTTGTCTAATTGAATAAGACTATTTCAGTATATTACAATTGTTCTGAACACAATTTTACTGTACCATAAAGTGTTCAATTACATTGGCACATGCTTACAATAACACCAATTTTCCATAACTTCCTCTGCTTATAAAATAATAAGCAGAGCACCTCCGGATATAACTATATATATATTTCATTACAAACCCTATGCTGAGACAGCAAATGCCAATATCTGTAAGGTCAACTCTTTTGCATTGATACTAACTTGCCACAATAGGATCCAATTCTTTTAATATCCCAACAAATATTTGCGTTAATGCATTAATTTTGATAATTCCAAGTTTATTTACTTTCGTCAACAAAAATCATATGTTATTCTACAAATAGAATTGTTTACGTACCTTCTGGGAAACATAAATCTTCTCCTTTCGTCTTAATGTCGATTTCTCTTGAAAACTTTGATTTAATGAAATTCCAGAGTTCAACATTAACTAAACTTTTTCTTTTTGTTGATGCTCGCAGCCAAGATCCAATTCGCAAGCGACATAGAGGACAACATAGTGCATTATTTTCTATACTACCATTAAAGCAGTGTTTGCAAAAATCGTGGTAACACGGTAAAGTTACAGGTTCTATAAGGATAGAATGACAAATAGAACAAAATAAATCTTTCAACTCTAATTTTTCTAATTTCATTAATTTATTTTCAATTTTAAAAAGTCGTTTCTTTAACTTGGTCGCCATTTTAAAAAAAACATTTTTTTTATTCTTTTTTTCTGGCAGGCTTTAACTGAAAGCCTTTCTGCCCACTGAATATTAACACAGATAACATATATTAATAAATTCTGCCTCGGCTTTGAATAGTGCACCGTAATGTTACCAAGTTACTTGCACAAAATACTGCAACTTTGAGAAACCATCGAATAAGCCGAATAAAAATTATATGTAATATCGATTTTGTGTCTATTTTTCGTTAATACATTGTAATTTTTTTATTGTTAAAGTAGATGTTTGGATGTTTATTATTTATAATTTGTTGAACACGTTGAATGGGTTTTATTGGGGAAAAATTTAGGTCATAATATTTCGTGCATGCAACACATTCTAGTATTTAGTATTATTATGGTTACTTGTCATGGAATATTTCTTCTAATTTAATTCAAATTTTTATTTTAATTTGTAAACACTAAATTCTCAATACTACCAATATGACAGATGCCGAAAGTATATACATAATTCATTTAATAGACATTTATGATATATTAATAAACTGCATAAATCATATTTTATTGTTTTTCCTAAAATTTATATTTTAACTTACCTAACTAGAACCACAGAAGCTATTCACTTTAACAATCCACCGACAAGGGCCACAGCCAAAGTGAAGGTTTTCCTGCTCGCTTAGGTCTGTGACCCGGGAAACCTCCGGAGACACGGCCTACAGTAAATTTCTGCCAAACCATAAATAATTAAAAATCCTAAAAATTATCAAAAATTTTAGGATATATAAATGTACACACCTAATACTCATACAACAATAATTACCTACGTAATATACTAAAATTGATTATAAATCGCAATTTAGATGAAATGTTATTAATTAATGAATATATTAATATATATTAATAAACGAAATAAATTATTATTAATTATAATATAACATAATGATCAGTGTGCCATTGCACGCTTTTATGTTATTAAAAGAAAATTTCAGTTGTACCAACATAATAATTATTAGAAGCCATGTTGATATTTTCCTTCTTTTTTCGTCGTATACCGACTCACATGTATTTGAGAACGAGAAACGATCACGAAAACCATGAGAAATATGGTGGTTACAAGAGGACTTTAGATGGTTGTTCTTTTGTTCATGATATTCATTTGAACAAATGTTGAAGTGTTCTTGTCTCTAATTGTATTATTGCAAATTCAAGACGATTCCTTGGAAATGTCTTCAATGCATTTTGTGGTTCAACCCTTGCCTGGAACAGAGGATCAATTGATAGATAGGTAACATGTTCAATTCTATTTGATCTCCATTTTTCTTAGTAGGAATCAATATTTCACAATATTTTATGATTGTTGTAAGCCTAACTTGTTGCTAAAAATTAATGGACAGCTTTGATTGCCAATATATCGCATATGGCCACGTTTCTAGAGTAATTTTATACTGTAATGAATAGTTAACGTTATCCAGCCAATAGTAATAATCAGAGACCTAACATGTATCAATTATTAATTCAAATTGTTAGAAATAATTTGCACGCCTTTGTTTCCATTACGTTTTCTCCTTATATCTTTCGATCTATTTGCGTTTTCCTCTTTTAATTATGTTAATTTTATTATATCCCAAATCTATAGATCGCTTAGCCGATAGGTACATACAACTAAATCCTATTTTTTATTTAGGATATTGTCAACATTGTCAGTGACGCGAATTCTTATAAATGACAAAGTAAAAAATTATTGTAATCATTTATAACCTAAGCATCACATATTTGTATAGAGTAGGTATTTTACTACCTGGATTTTATATTGTTGTACATTTTATTACATATATATTTACTGCAGATGGAATTCTTTTAGACTACCATTAAATACTTTTTTTTGAGTGTAATCTTCAGCAATATATATTTTTTTATTGAATTGAAAATAGTTATGTTTGTTGTTATTTACCAGTTTTGTTATTATTTATTAAGTATTAAAGTTAAAAGGAGTTATGATTTAACATATCTGTGGTCTGTTGTATGTTTATATGTACCCTCATAACTTCTAAACTACAAACATAATTAGATAAATGAGCTATAATTGACAACAACAAACATATTTGTTTCATACTTTATAGAGTATATTTTTACAGTAGATAGATAAATATATTGTTTGGATCTTTATTTATTTATATAACTTTAATGCACAAAATACCAAGGTAAAAGTATATATGGCGGACTTAACGCCTTAAGGCATTTTCTAGCAGTCAACCATAGGCTGTGCAGAGAAAAACTGTAGGCGGTGCAAATATAATTAATAAAAACAATAGGTCAAAAAAAAAAAATTATACATATACTAAAAGCAAATACATGTAAACACATGCACATACATACACAAATACATATATATATATATATACATATAACATATATCAATCTATAAATAAATATAAAATAAAATATATAAATCAAATATACCATATATATATCATATAACATAGTCTGACAATGAAAAAGTGAAAACAGGGAGTGAACATAACAAAAGATAGGAAATAGATACGAAAGAAAGAAAAAAAAAAAGATCAATTATAACTTAGAAAATGTACACACTAAAGAGCAATATATAAGATAATATACATTCCATTATATATATAATAGAAAGGTTACATATTGGAATAATATTCTCACAATTTACGTTTTAAAGAAAATCTACTCGTGGCGGTTCTGATATCAAGGGGTAAGTTGTTCCAAAGTTTGATAGCCTGAACGGCGAAAGAATAGTGGACGAAACCGGACAAATGAGCCGTGATATGAAGCAGACATTTTCTGGTCGTGCGAATAGAGCGAATGGTGTTGTCCCCATGGAAATGAAATTTATTTTTAATGTAATCAGGAGAATTAGGATCATGTAAAATAGAATAGAGTGTACATAGCATACGAATATTTCTACGATAACGGATAGGTAGCCATTTAAGCTGTGAACGAAAAGAAGAGATATGATCGAATTTGCGCAAATTAAAAATGAAGCGAATAGAGTTGTTGAGAAGACGATCCAATTTGTTTAGAAGGTCTACGTTCATGTCAGAACAACAGACATCAGCATAATCAAGAGTGGGGAGAACTAAAGATTGAACAAGGATAATTTTAGTACTAATAGGGAGAAAGTTTTTCAATCTATATAAGCTACGCAGAGTAATAGTGATTTTACGGCTAATGTCACCAACATAGTTGTTCCAGTTTAGCGTATTGTCCATCAATAAACCCAAATTTTTCACTTGAGAACTGAACGCGATTGGTTGCTTATTGAATAAAACAGGGGGTAAAGTGTCGAAGTTAATTTTACTTAGTTGTTGACTGCTTCCAAAGACTATTGCCTGACATTTGGAGGGATTAACAGATAGGCCAAATTTTTTGGACCAATTGAGTATATGATCAAGATCAATATTCAATTGGCCGATGATATCATTGAGCTCAGATGCAACAGCCTGGGAGTAGATCTGGAGACCATCCGCGTACAAATGGTAAGAGCATTTGAGACATTTAGTAATAAAATCTATAAAGATAGAGAAAAGTAATGGAGATAAAATACCGCCTTGAGGTACACCAGCAACAAGATCGCACCAATCCGACAATGCCTGATTGGCACGAACTGCCTGCTGACGTCCACGAAGATAGGAGCTAAACCATTTAACAACCGACGATGAAAGCCCAAGATGTGAAAGAATAGCGAGTAAGACATCATGGTCAACGGTATTGAAAGCATTGGAGAAGTCGATTAAAATGAGAACTGTTAATTTAGAATGTTCCATGCCTTTCCTCACATCCTCAGTAATTTTCAGTAAAGCCGTAGTGGTGCTGTGTCCAGGGCGAAATCCAGACTGGAAAGGGCTTACTAAATTGTTTTTAAAAACAAAGTCAGATAGCTGACTATGGACCACAGCTTCTAGTATTTTGGAGAGGAAAGGCAGGATTGAGATAGGTCTAAAGTCTTTAAGATGTTGTGGGGATGATACTTTAGGTAGTGGAAGAACGAAAGCATTTAGCCATGCTGCAGGAAACTCGGAAGAAAGTAACGAAAAATTAATGATGTGAGTAATGATAGGAACTAAATGTTTAAGTGAGAGAGTAACCATAATCCTACTCACATCGTCCGAGCCAATACAATTAGACTTTATAGAAGATATTATCTTGTAGACTTCATCGTCAGTAACTGGTGAAAATAAAAATTCTACAGATAGTCTGGGCCATGAAGTTATCTCAGCTAAAGTAGTGGATTTCTGAGAATCACTCAAAGTGGGAACTGTGGAAAAGTGCCTGTTCAGGTCATTTAATGAAAATTGTGAGGTAAAATCATTAGGCTGATTGCACAGCCCAAGCGATTTGAGAAACTTCCAGATATCAGCCGATGAGGAATTTTGTATATTAGAATGGATGAAACGGCGTTTAGCAGCTCTTACCATATAGTTGCAGCGGTTACGTGTTAATTTAAAATTCTTCCAGTTCTCCTCACAACGATCCCTTTTGAAGACCCTAAAAGCACGATCACGCTTTCTCATGGCCATGCGTACTGCCTCTGTTATCCAGGGAGCTGGGCGTCTTTTAACCCTGACAAGGTGGGCCGGTGCATGTTTATCCATGATTTCAAGTACAGACAGATTAAACGCGGACACCATGTCATTTATACAAGAGGCAGATAGTACACATGACCAATCAACAATATTCATATCCTGGCCTAATTTCGTCGTATTAATTCTTGAGAAATTGCGGAGGCGCACTACGGCTGGTTTTGGCTTTAAACTTTTAATATTGTACGAAACATAAATAAGGTCATGTCTTGAGAATTCTGGTGCAGAAAATTGGCCATGTTTCAGTACAGATTCTGGTGATGTTACAAAAACGTGATCGAGCCAAGTGTCAGGAGAATCTATATTAGTATGAGTAGGACCAAGGGGTAATACCGAAAGCCCTGCTGACTTTACTATATTGCGCAGCTTAAGCGATCTGTGTGTGTTACGGAGCAAGTCAGTATTAAAATCACCCATAATAATGTGATGTGTGTGCTCCGCCATAACTACCTCAAAAACAGATTCAACGTCTTGAAAGTATCAACGGAAGGAGGACAATAAACGACACCGAGAATGACCTTTGTTCCCCTAACATCAACCGCCACGAATAAATATTCAGCACTACCGGAGAGGGATGAACTAAACAAAGTTCTATAAGCGAAATCACTTCGTAGGTACATAGCTACACCACCTCCCCGTCTATCAGTCCGATCGTTTCGTAACAGAATATAGCCAGGTAAACTTATATAGGTTGAAGGTATGCTGGGTTTTAGCCAGCTTTCAGACACCAGGATTATATCCACAGTATTAGAAATGAAGGTATTCATGATTTCTCCATGGTGTTGTGGTAAACTCTGAGCATTAATATGGCAAATATTCAAATTACGCCGCGAGTTCACTAATTCATTACTGAGATGCGCGGAGAGAGAACGCTCGGATAGTGACTCATCAAGAGATTCAAATGAATTATTAGAACTATGGGCTGTATAAAATGAATCATTATCAGACATTTCAGAATAAACTAAATAAAAATAATAATTATATTAATAAATAAAAAAAAAATATATATATCCTACAATATGTATATATATATCTAAAAAATAAATAAAACGTAACCGTTACACCGACAATGTTGCAATGCACAAACCGCCGGCCAACTGCTGACAAAAACTCAAAACTAACAATAATATTAGCACAAGTTCACAATTTACGTTATCGAATACTATAACAACTTTTTAAAAAGAAATCAAAAACAAGAATGTTATTATAATGATTAGAAATCGATTTGACTTTATCTCACATAAATTCACAAAATAAATAAGGCAATTATAATCTTTAGCACATGCAATACAAAAAACATACAATAAAAACAGTAAACAATAATAACTAAACAAATATATACCACATGTGCCATATAATGTATGCATATTACTGACTTCTGTGCTAATAAGCAGTGTGAAAAGGCCATAGCTTAATGTGATTTTGCCCTGAGTGCAAACACTGATATTCAGCTATGTACTTCATGTGTATGAGTATGTTATAGCTTTGATATGTAGTAAAAGAATGTTAATCAACATAAAAATATATGATAATATCTTACCATGTTGTGTAATGTTTATTTTCCTTTTGAAACTTATATTTAATTAAACTAAAATGCTTTTCTTTAAAAAAGATGTTTTAAGTTGTATACAATCTAATACAAATATTGTTTTCATTCCCTACATAGCAAAAACCAAAACTGTGATCACTGTATATTTAAAATAGGCAATTTGTGTGCCAAATAATTTATAGTAATACTTAAGTACATATTGAATTTCTTAATAATATCAGTAATAGTAATTAAAACTTGTAATAGTAACATCCTTAACCAGTGTTTGTAATTATTTCTATGGGAATCAAGTTAGACATTGTATGAAACAGCTTAACTGTGCCTTCAAAGAAAAATTCTAAATAGAAGATTTTTTTAATTATTTAGCATACCAATTTTGTGAATATTTTAATTCCAGTTTATTTTAAATATGTATTATTTGAACATTGATTTCACAATCAGAATAAGTTTTAAACTAATTATTCATAAAGAAAATTATATGCTATGTGAAATGACTAGACAGTTTTTAGTGTGGTGGGATTTTCAAAAACATGATTGAAGTAACAAAGGCTGTCTCATACATCAGTCTCAACAGTCCATCAATCAACAGATATTACTTGTAGAGAAAAATTCTGTGTAATACAAATGACTATCCAGTGTATGAAAGTGCTCAAATTAAATGGGATATGGCATAGGTTTCAAAATAAAGGATGGGTACTTTATCATATTGTATGAGGGTAGTTAATAATTTTTACTTTCAATCTCAACCAAGGTATCTTTTATTAAGAAATATATGATACCATTTTTTCTAATGTTCCTCATATTAGTATATATACTGCTGAAGCATATTAAAATCAAGTCCCCCCAGCCTCGCACAGGCTTAATATTAAAGGATTTTCTTTTATTAAAACTAAGATATCTAGGAGATATCTTAGTTTTAAGTGTTTGTTTAAACCAAATTATGTAAAGGACAATTTTATTCAAAACAAAATACAATAGATAACACATTCACCTATTGAAATCATGTTTATAAAAACATCCTTGCAAATAATGAATTATTTTAGAAGAAACTTGATAAAAAAGGTGATAGTGAATTAACAGATAGAAATATGTTGTTTCAGACTTTTTTAGAACTTTTATAGGAGAATAATGTTGTCATACATATTTTTTGCATAACTTTAACACAAGAGGATAACCTCTTCTATTCTGGTAGTTATAAAAATGCTTGTCACAATTCCTTCAAATAATTATGCCTCTTATGTTTTTATTGCATACAATGATAGTTATCTTAAGGTTCCCTGTGTAAATATATATATTTTTCAAAAATTTAATAATTGTTGTTCTTTGGCAGGCTCAAGGAGGTAGCGGAACGGTGGAATAGATATGGTACTGGACCCGGATCTTCAGCACTCAGTTCTTTGAGAGGAGTGCGTGCTGTAGCTGCAGGTCCAGCGCATATAGCTTGTCTGCTAGACGATGGCACAATATGTCGAGCTGCATTTTCTATTATTCCTGACCGATTGGATTTGAGTAAAGCTGACGCGAGTAAGAATGGAGGAAATGGCGGAGGTGGAAGTGGCGGCGGTGGAACGGGAGGTGGAAAGCAGGGGGGCAGCGGAGGAGGTTGTGGATCTAGACAACAACCCCGGACGAGGGCCCGCATCATGAGGAATTCAATTCGTGCTGCACCTAGTTCTCAAGGTACTTTTTTAGCATTCCATATGCAAATTTCTATAGCATGACTGATGACAATGAAGGAAAGTCTTGATAATATATCAAAAACTATTATACTGTTTCCTGAAATGTTAATATATGCCCTTATCATCTATAATTACTAATAATTTTTAGATTTGTTGCTTCAGAAATTTCCGAGATAAGAATATTAAAAGCATTATACACTACTTAAGCAAGTATAACTATTTACAAATTTCTAGTTTGGGACTTGAAATTTAAAGTTAAAACTTGCAAAGAATTCTTGAGACTTCTCGTAACGAGAATCCAATTTTTATTATTTTTTTATGTACAAGAAAACTTGTAACATACTTGTAAAGAAATAAAATATTTATTTATTTATATACAACTTATTATTGTAAAGAAATATTAACTTAAATATTTCTACATTAAAAAAATACCCAGTACCATCTAAAACTACATAGTAATGTTTTTACCTACTTTAGAAATAGGAGCTTAGAGCTACAGAGAAATTTATAGATTATAATTGATAAAAAACATAAATTCTGTTATTAAAAAGCACATATTCTGTATACAGGTAACTATAATAATATAAGAACAATGTAGAAAAAACGGTTGATTTGCATGGTTAAATGAGTAACTTGCATATAATAAATATGAATAACAATTTTAAGTTTAATTAAGAGGACAGATTCAAAACATTAAATATCCATAATTAATAAAGACTGGAAATATGAGTACAAGCTGTAATTTTCAGTGCCAAACAGCTTGTGTTAAGGATTACTAGGCGATTGAAAGAAATACTTGACACATATTATTTTGTAAATACTTACATTCATAACAGGGATATTAGGGAGCTCCGCAATCGAAACTATCGGATATCCGATATAAAAAAATATTCGTAACCGTAACCGAATCCAAAATAAAAGTTACGGATAATATCGGATAGGGGCGGGTCTAATTGGGACACGTTATGTGACCATTTTATTAGCTATATGTATTTTATAAAAGTAAAATTTCTTAAAAAATTAATATCCGTAACTGAAATTATCCGAAACTAACGGATAATCCGAAATAATTTCATATCCGCATCCGTAACTGTATCCGGTATAATAATCACTCCTATATCCGAAACCTATCCGTATCCGAAATTTCATATCCATAACATCCCTGATTCATAATATACCTTGAAAACAGACAGACTAACAAACAATTATACCCATCAATACAGAATTGAACTCGCGACCATCGGAAGTATGGTACTGCGCTAAACCGCTAGACCACCGAAGCAGTCAATGAGGATGGCTATATCAGGCATGAGATTTAACTTAAATCTGTTTATAATATTTTTACTCCTAAACTGCTGAAGTTGAAATTTATATTGATGATGACAGATTATTTGGGAAACAGCTCAAATAAAAAGTATCTTCTATTAGGACATATCAGCCCCTTATAAATGTCAAGTTTTTTGTATTAATATAATATGTTTCCCCTACCTTCCTAGTATAGTCGAAAGATATGTAATTTTTTTTATTGTGACAGGATCTACTAGCCGTGCGACTGGTGTTATAATTGGAGCATCGAGTTCTGGGCGTGTGGTATCTGTGCCAGCACCATTTGTTCCGGAGGATCTTGTCACACAAGCTCAAGTGGTCTTGCAGGGGAAAAGCAGGAGCCTCATTATCAGAGAACTACAGGTAAAATATGTCTATAGTTATATGTAGATAACATTGATTTTGAGTTCATGGATTTTATTTCTACTGAAGTTTTAGTACACAAGTTTGATTACAACCTGTATTTTACAAAAGTAAATAATAGTATTGTCTTTCGGCATCAATAGTGGTCCAGAATATATGTTGTTACTAGTGTTTAAAAAGAGACTTTCGAGAATAAATGCTTTATTGAAAAGGGTGAATTTGACTAGCTACCTAATAACTTAGCTCCTTAGATTAAAGATAAATTATCTTTGTCATAAACTTTTCAAATGAAATGACTATTGTATTACTGCTATTTTACTATTATAATCCATACTAAAATTATGAATTTGAAAGGTTTTTAGAAATTAGAATTTTTAAATACTCAAGTTCCCTGTACAGGTACCTACATGAACTGAGAAAGGATTGTCTTGAAATTTCATTTCAATAACATGAGGTAACTGGTTCGCGTGGATGAAGTGCAGCATACTCGTATTTCAGTATAATTTACACATTTACATATTTTTATATTAGTGTATTTATATACAATGTTAAATTATATATGTCAAATTTTTAAATGAGTAATTTGATACGTAATATAGCGCACAAATCTGGACGTAAACTTGGCGGTAAACAACTTGCTGTCACGGGATGACGAGGAAGGCGAGGAGCCTGAGGGCGGCGAGGGGGGAGACGGCTACGTACCTGAGGATCTCATCTCGCTGCTGGACGGTGGGTTCCACGCGGCACAGCAGGACCAATCCGTTATCATCGACGCGGACATGTTCTCCGAGGACATCTTCGGGTACGCGGCTATCAGAAGGTATACCTGTCAAGCTATGCTCCTTTGCCGACTATCCTATCCGTAGTAAATATAGCCCTCAACCCAATCTCTAGCACGCTGAAGCTTACGCAGTTTCCGTTTTTGTTGTGATTGGGTGTTTTTATTTTTATTTAGAAAAGTTTAGTTTTTTTTTATTTTGATTTTTATATTAGGTATAAAAAGACCTTTCGTATAAAAAGAAATCTTCCTATAAAAGTCCATATTGTATTTGTATTGTATGTTATATTTGTAAATACGGAAGTGAATGGTCTTTTTATACTATTGTATTTATAAAACAGTAACAAACATGTGTGTCATGTATGTACAGTCGCAGTGGAGGCGGTGGCGGTAGTAGCGGTGGCCGCGGGGGTGCTAACCGCGAGAGTAGCAGCTCAACCCAGGAGCGACCCTCGGAATTTAGCAGGTGGCGTGAACGGCAGTATTTCGGGCCTCGCAGGTGGCTTGAATCGGCACTGCGTGATACTTCCTGGGATAAAGATGGAGGTGATTTTATAAAAAGACTAATGAAATGGAGATTTGTCAATATGTTATTTATTAATCATGGTCATATATGTATATTACATAAATACCTTTATTTTAGGCGAAAATAAGAAAAAGGATTCAGCAATGGCTGCATCGCCGCTTTGGGTTTCTGAGGAACTCGAGTACTGGGAAAGCAACATACGCTTCACACATATTGCGGCTACTTACAGTGAGCTTGTTGCTGTGTCCACACACGGTCAACTGCACCAATGGCGTTGGGCCGACGCTCATCCTTATCAGCGCAATGATGTATGTATCTATTTGCATAGTAAGATCTTAATATGGTCAGTATGCATGCTCAATTTAAACTATCACTAAATATTACTGAATAGCTTGTAAGTTGTTTCTGTATCAGTGTCACTGGTACAGTAACAGTCCCCACTGATTGGTATAAAAATGTCTTACATTCTGGATGTCTTTAAAATATAAATTACATATGATATTTTAACTCCAATCTATTTGTGGATTCATTACGACAAGTATTGTTGACAATAAACTCTGGAGTATATTATAATTAACACAAACTGTTTCTGAGACTAAAAGTGTTTATGCTAGGATAGAACTATATTACACATACATATGGGGTATTGTCGGTTTAACTAATATAAATTTAATTTTAATTTATCTTTTAGGGTGGTACAATTAGCGCATTTCACCCGCGCGCCAGCTGGCTCGGGCTACTGCCTGGTGAGCGTATCATAAACATCAGCGCAGCCGGAATAAGAGTCTCAGTCCTCACAGACGCAGGCAGAGCGGCTACTTTCCTCGACGAGTCCATAGGTGAGTTGGGTTTCTAATTCATCATAAGTCATCCTTTTGGTATTTCACCATTATAATTTTTCTTGGATTCAGACCCTAGACGTAAGGACTTTTGGGACAGTGTAATAGGAACAGGAAATAGGTAATTATCAGTATTATGTACACGCGAACGAAGTCGCAGTAACAGCCAATGTTATTGATATTGTAAACGCGAAAATTTAATTAAATTAATTTAGTTATCAATAATAAAAATCTCTTTAGAGATCTGCCAGTTTTACATTCTGCACATTGTTCTCAACGTCATATTTGCACTTATAGCAATCTACACTCTTTTGAATTAATGGTTTTAGCTCATGCTCCTGGAGCGTCTCGACTTGAACATCCACTACAAACTTTCACGGAATTTGGATCTGAAAAGCCTATATCGCTTCATGTATGCTCATTGTATACTGTTGCTAGACTGGACTCCGGAGCGCTGTATTGGTGGTGAGTTTTCATTTAATCTTAATTATTATATAAACACAACGGGCCAGATCGACTAACATACAATATTATTTTATAATATATACAAAAGACATACATGATTTGTATATTCAGTTGACATGTTGAGTTGTCATAAATGAATATATATTTTTTTAAACCTGTACATACTTAGGTATTTTTTAATCATATTCAAGGTTTGTACGAGTGTACAGTGTATACAACATTTGCGTGTATTGTACATATAAACCTTCGGAATTCATTTTCAAAGTGATAATGAAAACTGTATTATAATCCATAGCATGCTTTAGAAGACCTACAATGAGATTCCCTGACAGTTTGAAACATCCCTTTATGTAAATTGAAATAGAATTTTCTTTTTACTTTTGCTATTATATCTCCTATCACTGCACTCTGCTACATTAAACATCATAATAGTAATCTCTTAGAAGAAGTAAGCTGAGAACTAGACACAAAAACAGCAATATTAACATTTTTAGACATTTTTTTTATATTGAGATATTTATATAGACACAAATATATTTATAATAACACACACCAAATGGCAATAAGTGATATTAGTATTGAAAATATTGATGCAATAAATATAATAAATAATTTAATTAGGGGCGTTCTACCATTGGGTCAACGCGCCCGCCTTTGGGACAAACACCGGGCCCGCTCTCGCAAGCAACAGCGCGGTCACTCATCTGCAACGCCACAGGATCTGCAGGCTGGGCAGAGTGTTACTATGAAAAATGCACCCATGTACCAACCGGGCGCCATTGGTAAGATCTTCCAATAATAAATATTGTTTTTTCTTATTACAAAAAAGACGATACCTCAAGCCGCCGTAATTTTAATCCCCGTTTGAATGGGACAGGGGATCGATCCATGGGGATAATCTGCTGATGGATTGAGATTTTAAGTTTAAAATTGATATACATTTGAACATAAAATCTCAATCCGATGAGCTACGACATATTATGGCTATCTCGTTATCATGCCACGTCCGTGATAGCATTCATGCGTTGCAATTATAGGATATCCTGTAATTGTACTGCCTTGTTTCGCTTTTCAACTTCAACAAAATGTCATAAGCCTTATTAAGCTAAAAAGATTAAGCTACAAAGCAAACTACGGTTTTAAATGTTAATTTGTGGCATTGTCCTTTATTCACTTTTATTTTGGTTGGCATAGGTTTCAACATGTCTACCGGCGTACCAAAAGTAGGCGTGTTGCAGAATGCAGCATGGAACTTGTCGGACACGTGCCGTTTTAAACTTGTGCCACCACCGCAGCCCGATCGGTCTGTTTCTGACAAGGATAAAAGAGATCTACAGGTGAGATTGTTAGAAAGAAAAGTAGTTAATTTGGCATATGTATATTGCCAGCCACCTGACAAAGAACATCCTTGGCATCAAATTTTTTTTTAATAAAACAGTTATTAAAATATATTTGATGCCAAGGATGTTCTTTGTCAGGTGGCTTTTATTATATTACAAGTATTATAATTAATAATTTTGAAAAGCTATTATACATCTTCCTTCCTTCCCACCAACTAATAATGTTTAACTTATAATTGCATAATATTACATAATAATACTTATTATTAGACCTTTTAGACTATCTATCATAGGCAAAATTATTCAGGTGCAATATACATATAATTGAGATATCCACATATATCTTTTCTTTGTATTTTATTTTTAAAATATAGATAGGATCACAGATAGGTATCCTATCTAAATTATTAAAAATTATAAAGAACTTCATTATTATCTAGATTATAGGTAAACTACTCAGATGTGGTAAAAATTAACATGCAAAATTTGTTACTAACATTCTGCCAATTTTATTCCTACAGACAAGAGTAGAAAAGTTGGACTGCTAATATAGAACCAATTATAGAGTGCCAGTTAATTATGATAGCATGAACACAAGGGACCAACAAGATTTTTATTAAGTATAAAATTTGTTTTCCCTAGAACCAGTCGCCGTTAACTGTGTCATCAGTGAAGGCATCTTCATCTAGCAGCAGTGGCAAAGATGCTGGAAAAGACAGCAACAAAGACATGGCAGATAGACTAGATATGCCCCCACCGCCCAGCCCGGCCTCGTCCACGTGTAGCGATACTAGCACCTCGCATAGTGAGTTATCCTTTGATTATTACTACACCTGTATACTTTAACTTGTAAATATATAATTAAAATTTACATAAATTCCAATATATTTTTATGCAAAATTAATTTGGACTAGATTGGACTAAAATAAAGATTGAAAAAATAATGTCCTCATTATTGATAACCAAGCAGGGTTATCAATAATGAGGACATTATTCTTTAACTATTATTTTCTTGCTACATATTGGTGTAGTTTGAAATAGAAATCTTTATTCAAATAAACTCATTACAAGCACTTTTGAATAGTCAAATTTTGATTCTACCACTCATTCGGAATGCAGATTCATCACAAGAAGAATGAGCAAGAAACTTGTGTGTTGTTCTTTTGAGTAGATGTTTTTTTAATATAAATAATTACAGTATAACAAGTAAGAGGCATGCGATAATAAACATAGAAATCGCTACACACTCATTATTAGTGTAATTGGATAATATTGTCAGTGCTATGGATTTTAAGTTTTTCTATAAAAACATTATTATCGTTAATGAATTCTTCAATTTTATAGTAAGCTTAGTAGTATATTAATATTCTAACATGGATATTTATTATATTTTTTGTGAATGTTCTATTCCAATAAGTTTTTCTATTCATATGAGGATAATAAATATCGTTTTTAATTTAACAGAACGTGCAAAACGTGTGACTGTTCGTGGCGAGGAAGGATCATCGAACGATGGCTCCAAACGTGATGAAGAGGAGTGGCCTCTTAAAGAAGTAGTTTTCCTGGAGGATGTTAAAAGTGTGCCACTAGGTCGTGTGTTGAAAGTTGACGGCGCATACGCAGCTGTTCGGTTCCCTACCATCGGGAAAGATGGTAAAGAAATAGTTCCATCAACGCCGGACGATTGGACTACGTTATTGCAGGATTGTCGTCTTGTGCGAAAAGACGACTTAATTGCTGTCAAGTGGGGAGCGGGCGGCGCAGCAGGTACTCGAGGACCGGATTGCTTGCAACGCTCACCAAGGAAAATTTCACTGCCGCCTGATGTGCAAGTCATCACAATTGCTGTAAGTCTAAGTATTATTACGAATTTGTAAAATTTTAAATTATGGTCTTCAAGCCATTTATTCTTTATTTATTTATATTACAGCTGTAATTATAGTTCTTATATATGGAATGTCATAGAGGATGAAATATATTACAGTTTTATAATTTAATGGGAAATTTACGCGCGCGTGTCTATGATTGATAAGAAAAGTAACCTGCGTCTTTCATTGTAGGTGGATAGTCGCGGCGTGCACGCCGTGGTTAGGCGTCCGGGAGGTGCACTCGCTTACGCCGTGTATGCTGTGGGAACTACTAGAGCTTTAACAGACAGCACATTCCCGACTGATAACAATGCCATGCTGGGATACTCAAATGGACAGGCGATACAGTTGGCCACTGCTGCTGAGGTTAATTTTTAACATATAGCAATACAATATTTCTTGTATATTTAGGTATCCAGTATATCCAATATATTTATATAATATGAAATAGTATTAGAGCCATTTTTTCTGCAAAACAAGTGTCAGTTTATACTGACACTTATGAAATTATTGAATATTAGATTAGGCCAATCCTCAAAGCTTCAGTGTTATCCCTTCAGAGCGTCGTTCTTCTTTTGTTCTGAGATATTAATAAAAATGTCTCGGAACAATTCAAACAGGGCCATCTAGTCCCAAGCTAAGCAGTTTTATAGGTACTAGACAACTGACATAAATGTGCGGAGACCCGTCATTTAATGTGTACCTGTGGATATAAAACAGTTAGATTTCATATCGACAAGTATTAGGTTGTCACTCGTAGCTGTTCATGCATACATAGCATGTTAATATGAAACTGATTAAGTGTCTAGTCAACTCGTAATGGACATGTTAATGGAGGAGTATTCAGGGGGTTCGGGCAATAGTCAGGTGCGTCGACCTGTAGCACTGCGGCCTACATAGATCTGTAGTGCTCAAAAATGAAGGAGTATATTGAATTGAAATTTAAAAATACAGGGTAGCGAGCCCGTGGTGGTGATGCTGGACGGCAACGGCGCGCTGTACCCGGTGTCGCGCGACTGCGTGGGCATGGTCCGCGAGCCGCCGCCGCTCAACCTGCCGCCCGCGCGCGCGCTCGCCGCACACGCGCTGCCGCTCCACCCGCACTCGCACTCCGCGCACGCCGCGCACTCACACCACAACGCGCTCAAGTCGCAGGTACCTAATCTATACATATAAATAAAATTGCAGTGTCTCTTTGCAATATTGCAGTAACCGTTTTTTACTACATGCATATGACGGCGCTTACACCGAAATAACATTTTTTACAATTTTTGTCTGTCTGTCTGCCTGTTTGTTCCGGCTAATCTCTGAAATGGCTGGACCGATTTTGACGATACTTTTATTAGGTAGGTAGGCAGGTAGCTGATGTAATAAGGAGTTGACTTAGGCTACTTTTATTTTAGAAAAATGATTTTATTTTATAAAAATAAATTCCACACGGATGAATCAATGGTACAGCTAGTACATTATAATATTACAAAGACATCTAGTATAGCTAACTACACTGGCACAAGAGAAATATCTCCTTTTGAAGATATCCATAGAAGATAAAAACCATCACTCTCAAATATATCTTTAAATTCATGACCATGACATCACACCGTTACCACAGTTACTCTTATATGTCTGTAACTACCAACCCACAATATAATTGTCTCTTTTATAAAATATATCCACTGGAGAAGAAAACCATTGCTCCCAAAAATATCTTTAAATACATGACCATGACAAGATTTAATAGACAACTCTACCTAAATTGAAAACATACTTCAGCAAGCAAACAGATTTATATGTATACAAAACTGAGAGCATTTACCTCTCAGTTTTGTATACATATAAATCTGTAATGCTCTCAGTTTTGTATACATATAAATCTGTTTGCTTGCTGAAGTATGTTTTCAATTTAAACCTGAGTTATATTTAATTATCGTTAATCTCGACATTCTTTGAGTATACATTATGCTTCTAATGAAGATTTACATAAACTAAAGCAGTTACTTTACATTTTGCTGTACCTTTTTTTTCAAAATATGCACCAAATTTCAATAATCGACGGGAAGAAGCAATTATATAATTATTTTATACAATGAATCGATAATGATCTGCTCAATTGCATATGCCTTCTACAGCTATTTCAAATAAATATTTTTTTATTATTATTATGTTTAATATCATCACTAGGTGGCCCTCATTATATTAGTTCCGGAACCTCAGCTTATGATGCCTCGAGTACTGCGCTGCGACCTTGAAGGCGTGCGTCAACTTCTGCACCAGTTGGAATCCGATACCAGCAGTAAGTTTTATTTTGAATATTCTGTTGCTTTGTATTAACCTTTTGTCGTCGTTGTCAACAAATATTGTCGTACATTATTTACCCATAATAAATACCAAGACTCTTACTCTACCAAGGTCTTTGAGAACTATGTCGTCAAATGAAAAAGTTATGAAATTCCATTTGATGGAATTTGCAAATTTATTAGCCATCTGTACACGATACTTTCTTTCACATCAGATCAGGACGAAAAAGCCAGCGCGTGCAATCGTGATTTACAATTTAGCCATTTTTTGTGGTCACTCTTTCGGTCATAATTTCATATTGTTTCACTTTTAAAAAATATTTTATTTTATTTATTGTTATTTCAATTTATTTTTTACAGAACAACAGATTTTATCAATACTCCAGGAGCGTTGTGATGGAAATAGGAATATTTTACATGCATGTGTACACATGTGTGCACCGACTTCCAACAAAGAACCTGATATAGGTATGTATAATAAATAAATTACCAGTACCTGGGCCTCAGTTATGGAAATTCATGAAAAATAACTACCATGCCATCAGCACTACTAATATTTTTAGGTTTTGTGACTTGGTAACGAACACAAATAACGTTAAGGTATTTGTGTGTAAAATATATTAAATCGTAGCAACTACTAGTAACTACCGTAAGTTTATTATAACACGCTGATTTGGAACTATTTTATGTATGTAAAACCGCTGTGTTGTCAATATTGGGGCCCGGCTTCACTGTGTTCAGTTCCTTGAATTAATTGATATGAGTACATATTTCTCATGTTTAGTGGAAAATCCTTCAATGCCGAATTTAGCAGGCAGTACGGGCGGCACCGGCGCCAGCTCAGAGGAGACTGTGCCCGCGTTGGCGTGGCCGCCCGAGTCCTTCGAGGCGTCCGGGGACGAAGATAGTTTGATGGGACTCACCAATAATGGGTAAATGTTATGTATTTTAATCATAGTAAATAATTTTACCAAAATTAATTAAAATAATTTGTATAATTTTTTTAAATTGATATATATATACCAAATTATTAATTTAATTCAAATTCTAGTCAATATTGATAGTAGAAATATAATTATGTTAGATTTAAATTAGTACCGTTATCATTATTGACATCTAGCGACATTATCTGCGAGTCAATGAGACAACTCGAATTTGTAAACACACTCGGTTTACAAATTCACCACACAGCCACTAAAATTGATTAAAATTAAATTTAAATATATTAGTATATATATTTCTATATATGGTGGTAAATAGTATTTTTATATTAATAGCAAAACGAGTGGTGGCAACAATGGTAGCGGTGCAGTGAGCGCCGACCCTGCGGAGCGGCGAGGCAACGCGCTCGCAGCACTGCGCGCGCTCTGCGAGAGTGCCGTGCTGCAGCCCTACATGATACAACTCCTCACTTCTAAGTAAGTAATACACGTTTGCGACTAAACAATAAAAAATAAAACATCTAAAAAAACAAATAATCTTGAAGGATTAGATTTTTATTTGGGTACTTACAGTAGAGTATATTTTATTTAAAGATAACCCATCAAGATTATATAATGTATTTTTAATACACAATAATAAACACCCAAGATTACCAGAGAAAGACTAAAAAGTCATAGGGTATTTATTTCAGCCGCTGAGCTGTTTACTTTATAAGCTGTATTTTGGTAGAATGGTAATTAGTCGGTTGTCAGATATTAGATGTGATACTAATATTTATGTATTTATTCAATTGTTATTTAACAACAATTAACAATATGTTTTTATCAGGGATGGTATGGGGCAAACGCCTTTAATGGCAGCGGTGTCGGAGCGTGCATACCGCGCCGCATTGGTTCTTCTTGATGCGGTGCGCGGCTGCCCTGACGTCGACGAAAGCCAACGATCTGCGGCCATCTTCCCGCCCAATGCGCACCCAGACCACTCGCCGTTGCTTGTGTTGTGCTGTAATGACACCTGCAGCTTTACATGGACAGGACAAGAGCACATTAACCAGGTAAATATTGTATATTGTCTAAAAATATGAATACATTCTGTAAAATAAGACATTGCCACATGCCATATTGTTCTTAAATTATCGATCTGAAGAAAGATGACGATGTAATGCTTCTGTCTATTTTAGGTTTGCTGTAAAAATCTTATATTTATTTTATTTCAAAATAGATTTAGTGGCAAATAACTTTGTACTTAGATAAAATTGATATTGCCCAAGACATAAGGCACAGGACTGTTTTTAAAGCTTACTTTTAAAGCTGTTTTTAAAATTTTGTGTTGGATTTCCACTAAACAGTAACAATATATTGTAATGAAATGTCCTCATAAGAATAGTATTTTTTGTTATTATAAAGTACTAATTTTAATATAATATTATAGGATATCTTTGAATGTAAGACTTGCGGGCTTACTGGATCACTATGTTGCTGCACTGAATGCGCGAAGGTAAAACTATATATATATATATATAACAATTTATAAAATTATTAAATTAAACTATACTTTATATATATCTAACAAAACATACTGTTATAGGTATGTCACAAAGGACATGATTGCAAACAGAAGCAAACTTCGCCCACCGCATATTGCGATTGTTGGGAAAAGTGTCGTTGTAAGGCACTGGTTGGCGGTAACGGTGCAGCACGGTTCGACCTACTCGCTAGACTCGCCAGAGATACTGAACTTGCGACGCATTTCAATTCAAGGTATTTTTTTTTTATTTAATGATATGTTTTATCCCATCCATTCATCAGTCAATCAGACAATGAACTCATCATATTTAATAGATCAGAAGTAGATTTGCAATTGCAAATATACACATCATATTGAAGTTTTAGTTAAAACCGGCGTGGCATTAAAAATATTAGCCTACTTATACTATGTGCGCTTAGTCTGTTGCGGGTGACAATTACCTGTATTTAACCTAGCCAGAATGTTCTAGTCTACAAGAACATTCTGGCAAGGTTAAATTGAAGTTACTACAGTCATTAATGATTTAACATATTACGAATGTGGTACAACAGAAATACGAAGTCATAATTTGTAAATCGCTGTAACTTTCAAGAATGAAACAAAACGTAACTTTCACGCACCATGCTACAGCGCACATGGTATAGGAGCATTAGGTCAACTATAAACTCGCTATAACGCGTGAATTTAGCTAAAACGTATAATGTGTTAATCTCGTATGTGATTTAACTGTGTCTCAAATTAGTTACTAAATCTATCTAAAAGATTTTGTGTGCATGAATAAAAAACAAATGAAATGAAATTAAAGCAACATTATTCATTCATGTAGGACAGAGAGTGTAGAGTTATAGTTTTAAATAATTTGATTTAATATGTACAAAATGTACGTGTGCGTGCAGGGGGGAGTCGATCCTGCTGTTCCTGGTACAGACTGTGGGGCGGCAGGCTGTGGAGCAGCGTCAGTTCCGCGCGGGCGGTAGCCGTGCGCGCGGGCAGCGCAAGCAGCCAGGCTCCGACGCGGAGGTGGACGCGCCCGACCACGACCTCGAGCCCCCGCGGTTCGCGCGACGTGCGCTCCTACACCTACTAGGTACTGTTGTATCTTAGCATATGGCACCTCTTACACTAGTAGGTACTATTACATCTTGGCTTAGCACCTTATATATGAGCGCGCTATATACTTTTTGATTACTAAAATTAATTACCTTTGTTCAAATAATTTAATTTGTTAGAAACAGTTTTTTAGGAAGCCATATTTCAGAAATATGACAGAACTTGGCTAGTGTTAGTGTGCTTGAAATGCGCCAATTATAGAAAAGGTACTTCCATTTTTTTGTGTAAAATTGGAATCACAAATTAACTGACGCCCATTTGAAGTAAGCAGTAAACTTCGTCTATATATATGAACAACACTATGTACATCATGTTATTGCGTGACACCCATGCCTGTCACATCTTGTCGTACCCTACAATTTCACAGCCAAACTCATTGTTTAATCATAAATATACTCATTATTATTAGTATTTTGAAAATATTACTGCGTTGTAATTGTATACCGTAAAAAGTAAAGTAACGAAAGCAGTATAGTCTAATACTAGAATATATTGATATGTGTATGTGCAGGCGACTGGCCCGCGGTGGAGGCGGCAGTGATGTGCGGCGCGAGCGGCGGGGGCACCGACGCGGATACGCGGGCGGGGACTCCGCCTCCGCACCAGTCCGGCACCACGCTGCTCGACAAGTTTACGCACGCACTTATCGTCAAATGCACCAATGAGGTTCGTATACCTGCATAGTTTTTAATTTAAATTAGTGGAATCTTAAATCTCATTGTAGGTACTGACAGTATACGCGAGCGGACTATCAATATGTTGAGCATTAGTTCAAGTCGATTCGATCATCGTGATAAATTGGTTACGAATTAAATACAATGGATTTTAGGGAATTGCATGAAAGACCACCTGATAAGATTCATGAGAGACCTGACTATATATCCATACATACAGCACTTTACTAACAAACCCACCTCTATACATAGGATTCTCGTTAATTCGGCACGATTATTTTTACTGAATTATGCCGTGTAATTCTTGTGAAATATATGGAGTAATGTGTCTTGTTCCCTTGCCATAATCCTGGAACTAATATTTAGCCGTAATAACTGCGCCGTCCATGTGTAAAGAAGCGTGTATATATATTTTGAAATTAATACAAGAATACATAATTAAAACCACATTGAATTTATTTTAAAGTGTATGTTTTAATTTGTAACAGACGTTAGATACATTACTGAACACGCTGAATCATGAGCAGCAGAACGACTCGATACCGGGACGTGCGGAACGTGCGCGCGAAGTGGCGCGTCGGTTCGTGCGATCTGTCGTCCGAATATTTGTAATATTCAGCGTGGAAATGGCGCCGGGCGCTGCTAAGAAAAAAGGGTGAGTATTCTGTTCACATGACATAAGGTATTATAAATTTAAATTACGAGGGTTCATTTTTGAATGTGTAAAGAATAATAAGAAAATAAAATACTGTTTAGGGTGTTGTATTTACAGGACAGGTGAATAGCATTTAAACCAGTAATGGTTTTGTTATTATTGTTAAATTTTATTATTATTATTATTTATTACTTCTATCAATGTATCTTTGAACTTATTTGTTAATTGATTGTACTACAGAAGTTAGTATATACCATTATTAAATATATTTTTGCACTATGATATGGTTTCATGATGTGTTTATATTATTAGTAAATAACATATTGTGTATAAACCCTAAAATTACTTATGCATACTGTTATACATAAATGTGACTTTCATATTATTTTTAATTTACATATTGTATAACGTTATGTTACAATAGTATTATTTTGTCACCATAGCCCCTTGACTATAACCTCATCGTTGGTCCGCTGTCGGCGCGTGTTTGCTGCTCTTGTGACCCTCGCAGTCGAGGAGCTGGTGGAGGCCGCCGATGCTCTGTTGGCGCCGGTACGGCTTGGTGTGGTTCGTCCCACTGCTCCTTTCCCACTGGCCACTACTTATGTGGAACTCGTCAACGGTAGCGAAGACTTGTTTGGAGTTGAACCGCTTTCTACTGGACATTCACGTCATAGTCATACGAGAAGGTATGTACCCATTAATCTCATTATACAAAGATCCCTTGTAGCAATGCTAGGGATACATATGGTACAGTTATAAAAAATATCTAAGAATTATATTATTTTTTTAATTATGATTGCTAAACAGGTTATATATTTCAGAGAATCAAACACAACCGGTGGACGTGGTACTGCCGCAGGCGGTACGTCAATGGGCAGTTCAACATTAGTTCCTGATAGGTCGTCTACCCCTGTAGCAACTGAATACGCTGATGACGTCGCTGGCGAAGCGCTAGGTGGAGATGACGATGCTTCTGAGACTGATGAGCCAAATGTTCCAGCGCCTGTACCACCCTCTGACGCTCAGCATCATGAAGATGTTATAAATGATAGGTAAAAGTTTTAAATAGAAAGAAGCTTATTATTGTTATCGCAAAGTTGCAGTACCTTTAGAACAAAAAGATTAAGGAAAAAGAAATATTAATAGATATCAATGTGTATTTGAATAATTGAATAGAAAGTTTGTGACCAAAAGGGAACATTTTGATTGTGTTATATTATTGTTAATAAATGTGATTATAACTTTCTTTTATAGAGCTCAAGAACAGCATGTGGTAGTAGAAAATGGCACAGAACGTGCAGAAGGCGGTGAGAGTGAAAGTGAACTCGATTTATTGGCTGAAGTTGAGACAGAAAGTGATTCAGATGACCAAGATAATGCTGAGTCTGCACAGCGTAGCGTACAAACTGGCGCTACTCAAGGTTCTGATGCTGGTAGGTGTAATAAATTTCAGTCTTTTACATATTTGAATGGGTAAAAATCTGATAGTTCGTCTATCAAATAATACTTCTTTAATATTCTAATTTATAGATTGTGAAATTGAAATATAGAAGTCATTAATCCAATGAGTTTGAATGTCAGTCAGGTCTGATGATTTTTGAATGTTTTTTGCACATAGTGTAACCCAATTGTAAAACGTCCAATGCTAACTAAGTATTGCGGCTGCGTGACTAGTGTATTATGTTTTTTTTTAAAGTGGTACCGAAGTATATTTCATGCAAAGTCGTCTGCATAGTTACCTCTTGTCTTATTTATTTTAGCCGATTTTCAGTATGTTGGTTAAAGGCTATGAACATATTACAATGAAATTAAAAGGTATGAAGGCATTACAATTTAGTTCTCTGGGAGGGCAGACGTCACATGATGTCTGTAGTTCTGTTCATTTATATAGAAGATGGTTGATAATATTATATATAATATTCTTCAGGTGGATTTGTTTTTTATTCAAGTTACGTATATCACTGATACATATACTTTAACATTTGGCAGGACAGGATCTATACTTTATAGCTTACGCATGATATAGAGGTAGCTACGCATTTAATACGCAGAGGTTATAACAAAGCATAGGCGTGTAAGACTGGACGCATCATTACTTGAATTATCCGATGCAACGCGACAGGCATAGCGTCGCTGCTGTTGTATCCCGAGGACGAGAGCGGCGACTCGACGCAGCCCGAGGACGAGGACTCCGAGGCCGGCGAGACGGACGAGCAGGACGGAGAGCCCGAGCCGCCGCTGCACGACGGCGAGCCGCTCGAGAGACGCGCCGCGCCCCCGGCCAGGCCCAACCTCGCGCCGCACTCCATGCAGTGGGCCATACGGTACTAACTACACTATTAACTGTCTTTACCGTGCACTCCTTCACGCGTGAGAGAATGTGCATCGAAATACATACAAAGAGAACGAGATAGACCGCGCGCCAGCTCGCGGAATTCAGCGTTCTCCAATCGTGCAAGCTTTAGCGCCATTTTTAATAATTAATTATCATTGCAAAATGGCGGACATCTGACTATGGAACGAGAACATAATTATAGAGTTTTGATAATTTATCAAACGTGTCTTCGTTTCATAAGAGTTTTGATAATTTATCAAACGTGTTGTCGTTCTTTCTTTCTATGAAATAAAAAAAATTAAAGTAAAGTGAAATAACATGAATCATACACGGAAATACGCATGAAGGAATGTAGAAAATAAGTTTTTAAATGCAATCCCTCAGGATTGTGCGCGCTGGCTTTCCGTGCGAAAACATTTACCACATACGCAATTTCCTAATAGTTGAGATTAACTGTTAAGAATACATCAACTGTTAGGAAATTTTACTACTAATTTACCACTTATAAGAACTTACAAAAAACCTACTGCCACTATTTAAGGGCCTGTCCCAGAAATGAGAAGACGGAGAAGTGTCAAAACCTGGAACTGTGTAACATTTTCATACAATTGACCAACACGAGACTAGTGGCAGAAGTCAGTCGCGTCTAAAATTTATTAGTTTCAATTGAATTTGATATTTCTACATCTGCCATACTGCCTTAAACAAAAAGTAGATCTTAATAAATATTAAAAACGGCGTCATTATAAGTTTATTCAAAATGGTAGATTCGTTTGGAGCTTGCACGTCGGTGTTATCAGCAACTATTGTTTTTGCTCTATTCCTTTACAATCCTCCATCTAGAAGAACATTTAATTTGTCTATACTTACTATACCTTGTACCTATTTCTTTACACTACCATCTAAGCGGAATATTCCTTGCCCCCATTTCTTTACAATGCTCCGTCTAAGCTATATATGGGTGTACATTGCAGCAACCGCGAGCCGAACCGCGCGGCCAGCAGCAGCGCGAGCGGCGTGCGTCTGTCGGGCGGGTCGTCGCTGGTGTTCATCGACCCCGCCACGCTGCGCCGCTCGGCCGCCGCCGCCGCCGCCGGCGCTCACGACCCGCACTCCACCTCCACCACCGCCTCATGCCTTGCTAGAGCTTTTGGTGAGTCCAAGATATATGCTACCTTTACACTTGAACTCTTTAAAAGGAACGGTTGAAGTAAACTCGTCGTTATGTGTGCTCGAGTAGTGTTGTGCGTCTGGAATGTCATCGACTCGTAACGCTCTTAACCTCACGCTTCCACATTTTTCCCTAACACCGACTTTGTAGTCGTTATATAGAGAATTGCGTGAGTAACTGTCATAGTAGGGAAACAGGTACACAAGAATGCCTACTAACATTTTTGAACATTCGGTTCAGCCCGAAGAGAGAGATATAATTAACGTGTCACTGCTATATTAACCATCGTTTTATAATTCATTTCTGATGGTGTGGAGGAAGACCAAACGCCAGATAGAATAAATTTATTCCAGGTAGAAACGTCCAATTCTATTGGATTCTATTGGATTTGGAGGACGTCTATTCTATTTGTACAATTCTATTATCTAATAATACGTATTTCAATTATGTACTTGTAACAGTAATATAATAATTATCAATTGTCGTTTCGTTTAGGTATTGTGATTCGTCAAATAGCCGATCTCATATGGGAGTATGAGCGCTTGACGGTGCCGCTACCGCGTGCTGAGAGACTCTCCTACCGAGAGGCACTTCGTCTTCAGTGCTATCTCGAGAGGCAACTAAAAGCTACCTGGGACTGGCTGGTTACTGTTATGGATGCAACAGAAGCACAACTAAGGTAATTTGAAAAAAAAAAAAATATATATATATATATATATATAATTAAAAAAATCTCTTTTATTAATATTGTTAAATTATCAGACACTTTATTTTCTAAATTTAAGATTTATATATGCTGTAAAAACATAAATGCATTATTTTGTATATAAATGTTCACAATATTTTCTCCAAAGTATTCACTATGTGTGTGTCAAGCTTAAGTTTCATGCATATTATATGTTTTCTACATACTATTTATTACTTTGTTTTATATTTATACAGATTTGGTGCTTCTCTGACATCAAACAATGCAGTTAACACAGGCACGGAAAGTAACCGCACCAGTGTGCCAGCTGTGAGGCGTACTACTTCATTCACTTCTCCAGCAACTCGTATAATTGGATTTTCAGAAGGACCTAGGTCAAGGGATCGCGAGCAGGGTAAGTGTCACATATTCATAGTAGTTGGGATCATCCATTGAACTATTTTGCGCAGATCTATGATATCACTTAATGTACTATGAATATAAGGTCCCCCTATTCATATATTGCGTGTTCGGGTGTGGTGTCATGAGCTTTACAAAATAATAACACAGGATATTTTATCACGATTGTAATACGACAATACGGGACTACATCGTATATCTGACTGGGGAGGGACGTGTAGTAGGTGCGGTATGCAACGCGATGTAATTTAATCTCTTGTATTATTACTGTATGTGTGTGTGCATAGCACACCTACCTATTTATTAAGTAATGATAAAAGTAAAAGATTGTTAATTATAACTATTTAGTACTCTGTAACTATTTGTATATAATTTAAAGAATTAAGTTGTAGGGATACTCTGTTTATTTTTGCATTCCTCACCCTTGTTAATATTCATTTAAAACAACGTTTATCAAAAGAGCAATACGCAAGTTTCTTGTTCATTCATCTTGTGACGACTCTGCGTTCCAAATGAGTGATGGAAAATATGACTATTCAAAAGAGCTTATATATTATACATATTATAAGCAATAAAGATTTATGTATATATTAAAATAAAAATTATTTCAATAAAGATTACTTTATATTACTCTATTGCTATAGTCATCTAATATGACTAGATATCTCTGTGTTGATTGTCCAGGGTTTTGTTTATTATTTTATCGTTTAGGCGTGGAGGCCGGCAGCGCGCGGCGCGAGTTCCTGGCGTACTGCCTGTCGCTGCTGCGCGCGCACAGCGCCGAGCACGCGGAGCAGCTGCCCGTGCTGGACGTGGCCGCGCTCAAGCACGTGGCCTACGTGCTCGACGCGCTCGTCTACTACATGCGAGCAGCGCAGCCGCAGCCGCACCACCATCACCACCACCTCTGGCCTTCGGTAACTATACACGCCGATGGTTATCTTCTGTAGGAGACGTCTTATTTTGTTCTTTTTGTGATTGGTTTTCAGTTTTGTTATTTATTATTGCACATATAATAGGTACGTCATAGTAATCTATGTATGTACAGTGCAGATATCTCTAATATGTAAATAAAATTAAAAACCTTATTTATTACATTAATATAGGAAAAAATATATTAAACATGGGTTCATTAATATTTTTCAATTATGTACATTCACATTATATGGACTCTAGTTGGGTGTTGCATTTTCTTACCGTAAACATTCATTTGTATACAGTTTTATAAATGTCTACATGTCAAATTTAGTTTTTATTCGATCACTGATCTTTACTAAATTATTTTATGTTTTGCTTTGTATACACTTTAATATGCTGTAAATATCTTTAAATATTATTGCTTATTATTCATATAAATTTATATTTTTTAGAAATTGACATTATTAATATTTGTATTAGGATGAGAACGAAAATGAAGAGGGCGATGAAGAAATGGTAGTAGGCGGAGGAGCCGCTGTAGAATCGGACAACGAAACAGACAGCGCCCGCGGTCGAGCACATGCATTCTTCCAAAGATCTGACTCTACACTGTGTTTAGGATGCCCACCACCAGATCCGTTCAACAGTTAGTATTATATATTTTTTATGTTGTAGAAAGATATAGTATTAAGTATTCAGTTCCACAAGGAAGTCACTAATTTATAAATGATATCCCTGTAGTGGAGGGAGATCAGTGACGAATGTAACGCGAAGAATGCACTGTTATTATTGCAATTATTTATAAAAAAGGACTTGCGCCATGGTATCACCTCACCACTGTAGCATTATGTATGATGTGATGAGGTGTCTCTACTTAATTTGTTTTTTTGTAGTGTCTAGGTAGTGAGTATACAGGTTTAATGATTGAGCGGTATTAGTAAGTTTATTAGATAGCATGCTACATGACTTATTAATAACGCGCACAATCAACGCGGAGTCGTAACGTGGACTGACTTTACACTGAACTTAAATCTAAGGTACATAGAAATGTAAAGAAATGGAAGAGTGCACAGTGTGAGCGTTAACAGAAATATTACAAGTGTAGGCACATAACCATATATAAAACAAAGTCGCTTTCGGTGTCTGTCCGTCCCTATGTATACTTAATCTTTAAAACTACGCAAAGGATTTTGAAGAGGTTTTTTTTAAATAGTTCGAGTGATTCAAGAGGAAGGATTATATGTATAATACATGTACACCCGTGCGAAGCCGGGGTAGCTAGTATATTATATATAAAATAGTTTCCAGCACTCAATTGTTTATTTCAATTGTAAATTTGTTTAAAAGGGAGAATCTTTTTTTAAACTAAATCTTATATTTATAATTTGTAATCATTATGACATTGAATTATTCAGTGACGATGCAAGAAGCGCTGCCGTTGGCGGACCAACCTCAGTTGTTGCAGCCGAATGCTCGGCGCGAGGAACTGTTCGGGATGCCGCGGCAGCCCGTAACTGTGCCTGCTACCGGCGATGCGCCGCCAGGCGTCAACAACCCGCTCGAAGGTATACACATGAAAAACTACCGTCCACATTTTTTCACATATTCAAATGACATAAGTCACTTAGATGACTATCTTATACATATATGTGAATAAATCTACAGACATCACAACATTTCATAAATTATTATTGCTAATACTTAAGGTAAAATTCAAGATATAATTCTATCTAATGAAATTGTTGGATCTTAAAATTATTCAGCATAGCTAATATGCTTTGTTATGCTATGTTAGAGATTGTATCATTATACTGTCTTATGGTAGAAACATAATGTTCATATTTAGTTAGATACCAACAGCATACACAATATTTTTCATATTGTGTATGCTGTTTGTTTCTAAATAAACATGTCAATAAATACCGTCACAGTCCCTAAATAAATGTAAGAATAAAAAAAAACTGTTATCCCAGATGAGGTAGTCAGAGTAGTTAGAAAATATAATCATATATCACTGATTGAAAGGTATATTATTCCAGAATGTCAGACTTTACGTAGTATAATCACCATGTTATAACACACAAACGCCCAGATAAAAGGTTACATGTGGATATTAGATTCCAAGTTACATTATAGGGTGTTATAATTGGTATCGTTTGCTCAGTGGTCCCACGGCGGCTGGGCCTGTCGACGCGCAGCACGGAGCGAGGCTGGTCTCCGCCCGCGAGGGCCGCGTCCGCGCCGCCCGCACACACGCACTCGATCGCCAGGGACGAGCCACAGGTACTGAGATCGTGACATTTGCACACTCAATCATCTCTTCCGCTCACATCCAATAGTTTTTCCCGATTAGTTCCCTGTCTCATTCCAATAGGAATAGAAACGGTCAGGGCCGATGTACGAAACATGGCAGTGCCCTCAGACTAAAATCGTATCTGTCAGACAGATTCTTAGCTGCACCATAAGTTCATCCGAGGGTTTGTATTGCCCTTTGCATTCAAATAAAATACTGTGTTACTTATGTATGCATAAGTGCAATGAACATTGTGTAATTTATCTTTTATTTTAGGATCTTTCATGCACAAAGGATACGACAACGAAAATGGACGTAGACACAGACGGAGAATACTTATCTGATTCAGATTCAAACGATGCGAGGCAGATATCACGGAAGAAGCACCACAGGTACAAACGGATATATTCAGAGTTTAACTATCAATGATATTGAGAGGTTATTATCTTATATATTGTGCTTATTTATTTATAGGCACCCACATTCAGTGTCAGCCGGCACTAGTTCTCTACAGGATTTGAACACACAGCCCTCAGAGTTCCACACGCTAGTTGATACAGCCTGTTCCATTATTGAAGCACCTCACCAACAGGTGTTAGCTACGCCTTCACCAGGTAAGGCTAAACATACTTAATGTATTTATATATTTTTTATATTTGTTTAATGTAACGAACGGAAAAGACCTCAATTAGTAATTCAATCCTACCGCTATTGAATCTACATTTGTGTAATCTATGTATCATACAATTTAGAATCTGTTTTGTTATACTTCTGATATGTTTAGTAAATAATCTAGGCATGACTTCATATCCACCATAAGTAATTTTTGAAGTATAAACATATTTTGCTTATTTATTATTAAAATTCACAGGCTATGTTTAAAGATTTTTCGCTAAAACTTGAAAACTGTTTTTAGAAACTGTGTTGAAATATGATAATTATGTGTAAGTTCTTGCAGGTCCCAGTAACAGTACTACGGCGGAGTCCCGTGCTTCTACCTCGCGCAGTCCCGGCAAGACCGTTATTGTACGTGCTGTAAGTCACTCCACTTATTTGGGGGACTTTTTATTATAATAATTAGTACCCCACTTCATTGGTTCAATTATATTTCGATGGGAAACAATTAACAAATAAATGGAGGGATGTTTTATTTGTCAAAATTTTATCTTATGATGATTTTCTTTTGAATTTATCATAATATGTTATAGAAAGAGCGGAATTTATCATATCTTTTTAATTAATGGTATATTTACGAAGTGAGTTGATTTAAAATTGGTCAACAGGGTGAATTATTGAGCGCGGCTGATCCATTGGAATCTCAAGAGATTTCGGCACATGTTACTGTTGAGACTACTGGCCTACCTCCCCCGCCGCTTCTGCCGCCGTTAAATGTATCAGTGCAACCGTGAGTTGATTTATTTAATTTTCTATTTCATTGACTGTACCTTCCGAAGCTGTTTCTCGAAGTTGTGTACATATATATTATAATATTACTCTAATAATAGACTGAATAAAATAATAATATGATTGAATTTATTTTACTTTTGTATCTAATTTTAATTTCTAAATATATCAGTATCAGTAAAGTAATTAATATTTACTCCAGTAATATGAATACTAAATAAAATATGCACACAGTCCCGTGTGTCCGTCATTGGGTGCGTCAGTTTCACACGACTTACTCCTGGGCCGCTGGCGACTGTCCCTGGATCTATTCGGTCGCGTGTTCACGGAAGACGTCGGCCTCGAGCCGGGCTCCGTCGTTGCCGAGCTGGGTGGCTTTCCAGTGAAAGAGGTCAAGTTCCGCCGAGATATGGAGAAGTTGAGGAATGCGCAGCAGCGAGACTTAACTTTGCACAAGGTAATGTGGAGAAAGAAGAGGGTGCTTGATTATTTCTTTTTTTATATTGTCATATTAGTTGATCTACTGTCACCTATTATTGTTATGTGTAGAAAACTTGAAACATCGAACAAAGTTTTATAATTTACCTAATTATCTGCTTTGAAATTGAAATTTCCACCTAATTACACAACGCCTGCAATACCACGGCCAATAGTTATTAAATTAATGATATAATTAAAGAGAAATATTGAGGCATTTTCTCTCAGTCAGTGCATTAAAAAAAATATTTCTATTATGTATCTAGTAACCATATGAAATATAGTATAATTAGCTGTTTGTGTCTCAATGCAACACTGCAATGATTTAATAGTGTTATTAATATGAAATTGTTGGACAGATGGAACGCGACCGCGCCAAGTTGCTGCAGCAAACGTTCGCGGAGCTGAACAGCGCATTCGCGGGACAAAACCGGCGCGCGCACAGCGGCCACCCGCCGCTGGCCGTCAACCGCGTCAAGGTCACCTTCCGCGACGAGCCCGGGGAGGGCAGCGGCGTCGCGCGCTCCTTCTACACCAGCGTAGCCGAGGTTCATATTCTATGACGCTTTATTCTCCAATATTCGTTTTTTTAATTTTACAGTACCATTCTCATTATGAGCATACTAGCTGCCGCAACTTCATCTATATCACACATACTTGACAATTAGCCTAATTTACTTATCTTTTACAATTATTGCTAAGTGTTATTCTGATGTAAGTTATATTACTGTAAAGTTGCATTAAATCCATTCAGTGGTTTATGTTCACATATGTCATCTTATATATACTTACTTTAAAAAACCTTTTTTGTTACTGTGTGTCAAGTGTGATTTTTTTTACGAAATATATTATTTACAGGCTTTACTCGCCAATGAAAAGCTGCCACCTCTAGAGCCTGCGACGGGCAGCGGTAGCAACAGTAGCAGCACGAACGGTACTTCCGGCTCGGCTGCATCGGGAGCCAATGCCGGCGCGGCTAGCAGCAATAATGGCACACGGTATGGTTAATGTTACAACGATTAATACAATAAATAATCAGCGCCGACGATATAAGGCAGATATGTCATCATGGTCGGTTAGCGTACAGTGTTGACATAGTGGTGTCGTCGTACAGGAGCGGTGCCGGGGGACGCGCGCGGTCCAAGGAGGCGGCCCGGCGAGCGCCCGGCCGCCCCGCGCCCCGCCCGCCCGCCGCGCGCGAGCCGCGCCGGCTGCTCAGCGTCGACGCCAGGCCCTACTCACCACAGGTACCACACCACACCGCACCACACCGCACCACACCGCACCACACCGCACCACCATACGTGCCAAATATCTAGCACAACCACCCGTCAAATGTTCATCATTAACTGTTTCTGTTGTACGACGCGGGATTCGACCGAGAAAATAATGTGTATGTAAATGTACGCAAACTGAACGAACAATGAAACAATGCGCGACAGTATGCGAATTCCCACGTTCTTCAATCGTAAATGATTTTGTGCCTTTTTTAAATAAGACTCACGCAGGAAAGTATGTATTATAAATGTAGACAAAGAGAACGAGAAAAAGCAGCCGGCAGCTCGCGCATTCCCGCGTTCATCATCGTGATTGTAAAAATTAATAATCATTGTAAAATGGGTGACATCTGAGTTAGTAAAACGTAATTTTAGTTTGTGCGCGCTAATTTTACCGCGCGTGGTCCTAATCGCGTGTGAAAGAATATAACGTGAAAAGACAGCGATTTAATAAGATAATGTATTCCAGACAGCTACATTTTTGAAAGGAATAGAGTATTTATTGGGTTGCTCATTAAAATGCAGCTGGTAGACATACGTTCATTGTATACATACAAATATGAATATTTTTTACCTAATATACGAAAATATAAAATAATAATATTTATTCACGCGAATCTCTGAAACACTGACTGTATAATTACATGTAAATGTATAGATTTCTTCTTACTGAAAAGATAAAATCGTTTTAATTGCAGTTTATAGAATAAATATTTCATGGTTTAATGACTGAACCAATCTTAATTAAATTTATTATAAATATAGACTGTATCACGAGGATGAATAATAATATTGGTATCTGTTATCTCAAAAGAAAAGCAGATTAATTTGTGTTAAGGTTTATAAGTGAAATTTACACAAATTTTAGCCTCTTTTTCGTATACAGGCCGCCCCTGGTACTGAGGGCGCCGGCTACAGCGGAGACCGCCCAGGAGGACACAACGAACATCTCACACTTCATCAAGCTCAACTCGGTGAACGATTATATCCTAAGGTAAAGAGATTACTACTTATTATCTATTCTGTAACAATTATATGGCTCGAAGGGGCTATGCATCAATCTATTTCTTTCTTTTTTTTTTGTTTGCAATAATTCATTTTTCCAACAACCATTTTTTTGGATGCTAACCTTAAATAATTTAATACGTAGTTTTTTTTTAGTATATTGTTATTATATAATTTTCATCATTATATAACAATCATAATATGTATAGTAAAATGCACAAGTAGTGTGATAGATAATAGTTATTATAATTATTATTATAGGTTCATTCCCTTCATCCAACGTTCGCGGGCAAAATAACTGGCATGCTGCTGGAATTGACGCCGGCGCAGTTGTTGGTGCTGCTCGCCAGTGAAGACGCGCTAAGGCAAAAAGTTCGTGAAGCAATGGATCTCATTGTCATGCATCCTTCAGAGGCAATACTCGGTGAGTTGTGATTATATTTTGGGTTTTTAATACTATACTTATGTACAAGAAACTCTTGATGAATTACTTTATAATTTTCTTATATCAATTTAATGAATGCACACCAATGTGAACATTCCTTTTATTTATAGTCTACTAGCTGCCCGGAAAACATTGTTTCATAATAAAAAAAAAATTAGGGGTCACCACTTATGACTTAGGGGTATGAAAATTATAATTAATTATTCTCGGACCTATTGAATATGCATGTAAAATTTCATAAAAATCGGTCTAGCTATTTTGGAGGAGTATGGTAAGTATCATTGTGGCAAGAATTTTATATATAAGATATTCCAAAACAAAACAATTTCAATACTTATTTAAATTTAACACAGATTTGGACGTATTTTCGCTGTCGGAGCGTGGAGGCGCGGGCGGCGGCAGCGGCGGCAGCGGCAGCGGCGCCGGCGGCTCGGGCGGGGGCGCTTCGGGGGCGGGACCCTCGGCTCCGGCGGCGGCCGCCGACGACGCAGCGCCGCTGTTCTACTCGCCCGGCAAGCGCGGGTACTACTCCCCTCGGCAGGGCCGCGCCACGCCCGAGCGGATCAACGCCTTCAGGAACGTCGGCAGGTGCGTGCTTATTGCTTACAGTCTTTCGAATGTTATAAGTATTTGGTCACGAAACTATCTTACTAATTGCCATAAAATTATTCATGTTAAGATCCGTTTAATAATATAAATAACGTATATTAAACACGAAAGTTTTAAAAATAATTTTGACTCCCATTTTATTTTAAACTACTCGTCATTTTTTCTAGGATTATTGGACTATGCTTACTTCAGAATGAGTTGTGTCCGATGTTCTTGAACCGACACGTACTCAAATACGTCCTAGGCCGACCGGTGCGATTCCATGACTTGGCATTTTTTGATCCCGTCGTCTACGAAAGTCTCCGACAGCTCGTGGTGGACGCTGAGACTGGCGACTCCCATTCACTCTTTGCAGCTCTTGATCTCAACTTTAGGTAAGTATTTGTTTAGTTTCTTTAATACTTTTCATCAATTGAATCACATCAGATCTTTTCTCTGTATAAAATAATTTCAAGTGATATCAAATATTTTTCTACCATATCTCCTCACAATGTATAACAGTTTATTTTTATTAGTGTGTTGTATAAAATATTTCACCACAATCTTATACTTTTAAAGAAGCCATTTTGGTACAAAATTACGATAAATCGGTCTTTCATAAATACAGTTAAATTACGAGTATTAGCAATGTACATATATTCTTGTAATTAAAATAGTTATGAAGTCAATTCTAATTTCTTTTCAGCTTGGAAATGTGCGAAGAGGAAGGGGGTGGTTGCGTGGAATTGGTGCCTGGAGGACGAGAACTTGAAGTGACAGCGCTTAATGTGTATGACTATGTCCGCAAGTATGCGCAACATCGGATGCTGATCTCGCAAGAGAAAGCCCTCGAGGTACAGTAGTCAGAAAATATCTTTATTCACTAAATGAAAATATGATACAAAATTCTATACTTAAATCTAGACATTCTCTACTACATACATTTTTGAAGGAACAATATTTGTTAAATTTTAGTAGGTATGTTAATTAATTCTTTATAAGAACATAATAAATAACTTTCTTTTTTTTTTTGTTTCTATGACAGTGTTATGCATTGTAGTAAATAAAATTGAAAGAACTTTTTCTGTTATAGGCAATGCGTGTAGGTGTTCTCGACGTATTACCGGAGTCGGCATTGGAAGGCTTGACTGCAGAGGATCTTCGGCTTCTTTTAAATGGAGTGGGTGACATAAACGTGGCGGCGCTAGTTTCCTACACGAGCTTCAACGATGAAAGTGGCGAGCCCCCGGAACGCCTCGCGCGGTTTAAGCGCTGGCTCTGGGCCATAGTAGATAAGATGACTCATCTCGAAAGACAAGACTTAGTAAGTTGTCCTAATATTTTACTTTAATTTAAACTTTATAGCACAATTTTCTCTACGAGATATATTTTTTACCTTACATGTGTATACATATAAACCTCATCAATATTATAACCTGAGGTCAAAGTAATATAACTCACCATATTTTCAAATTATAGCCCTATTATGTTATTATATATATTAGCGCCGGTGACCAGTAGTTTACAATCCAACAAGTAGTAGTAGTAGGTTAAATCTGGATGACACCAGAAAATTGTGCTATTTTGATAATCGCTAGGATTGTAATAATTTAATTATAGGGACAATGGTTAAACAAAAATAATAATTTTAGGTGTACTTTTGGACTGGATCTCCTGCGCTACCTGCATCCGAAGAAGGTTTCCAGCCGATGCCGTCGGTGACAATTCGCCCCGCAGATGATGCTCACCTACCCACCGCTAACACATGCATTTCGAGACTCTACATACCATTGTACTCGTCACGGCATGTGCTCAAGCACAAATTACTGCTTGCTATAAAAACCAAGAACTTCGGCTTTGTTTAAATACTCGCTGCCATTGTATATTATTTGGTTTTAAACCCATTCAAGTAAGACTGCTCTTAAATCTTGTTGATTTTATAGTATCGTGAGTCATATTCATGCAAAAAAATATTTAACATCTTGTTTTTGTAATTAATTTGAAGTACTTATAGTACAATTATAGAAAGGTATGTTTTGTAAAAAAAACAAATATGACTATAAATTATTGACTAAACATGGCTGGGGTATGTTTGACTGAATAGATAATATTCAAATATGCAGTAATTTTAATTCTATCTTAACAACTCCACTTGCAAAAGCGCATAGTAATAGTTGAACTATTAACATTGAAGCCCATATATATATTATATTATTTCAAAAACTAATCCCGGCATTGCTACTGTACAGCATATTTAAAATTTGTTTAAATGCTAATTTATAAAAATTTTGTATTGATATTTTGAAAGTAATAAGGGCCTAATTTAATAGTGCATTTGATTACTTTCCTTGTTTATTTATGTAAATCTTTGGTTGACAGGAGATAAAGGCAGCGTGATTTGAAATATTCAAGAATATTTTTAACTGTTTATATAGCTTTGTTATATAGTTAAAATTATATAAGATTAGAATAAACTGGGGTATAACGTAACTACAGTAACGTTTGAGAGCTTGGATAAAGAGGCGTAGCGTCCGAGCATTGTGGGTTTTGTGATATCAGAGGAAGTATTTATGCGCCTCAATTTCTAAAAATAAGATTATAATTAGATTTCTTTTGATTAGTTGTATTGATATGGTTCATAATAAACAACTCTCAAAATGCTTATATTGTTGTTTTCTTGCAACTCACCCAAAATATCATGGTCTGTAATAAGTTTATACTTAAATAAGTAGTAGGTATAAATGAGGCCATGTGACATTGTTGTTACTGCAGCCACCTTAGCAGAATATCTCTTGAGAAGTTTTTGTCGAGATCATTATAGCACTTGCTGATTTGTCAGTGCAATTATCACAAGAACATGTAGTCACGAACATTGATTGCAGTAGCTGCATAACCAAAACAAATATTGATGTGATAAGGTATGGTTTTTTTATTTGTGGGCAAATTACAATGTCTTTAATAACAACTTACAGGTTTACTGTCGTGATAATATAATAACAATCTATTGGTTGTGGTATTTATATTTGATAGGTAGCTTGTAAAATTACTGTATTACCTTGTGAATTAACCCCAGTTCAGACATTCTGTACTAAAGCATACTGATATTTTAAATGCCAAAGTGTTTCCTTCTATGTTTATTACCATTTCAGACCTATACTCGTTGAATATATAAAATTTATAAAGTTGTTAACATCTATTATATATGATAAAATGGACTATGTTAGTACTAAAAATAGAAGAGTTGATGAAGATGAAATTAGGCCAGTGCATTGTGACAAATTTAGAAATTAGCTGATGGTACGAATTAATATATACTACCTAACTGATGAACTAATCTGGAATAATTTTAAATGGAGGTCAACCTGACTAATAAACATGTTAGCAAGCATCTGTGTCAATATTACACATTACTCATATTACTCCTTCCATCCTCTCCCACCCTAGTTAGAATGACCAGAAAAAGACAGCCAGAAATAAAAATAAGTAATATTAGAATACTTTTAATTACAAAAATATATGTCTATAACAATTTAACAAATAGAAAATATAACAACTTTTTAAAATTTTACTTAAGCTATTTCAAATACTTATAAGATTGAAAACTTTATTCTTATACTATTCTTTACTACTGGACTTTAGAAGCTGCATTTAATTCTGATGATATTTTTTTGTACACACCATAAAGAATAGTGAAATGACACACATGCAACAATGCACTTGTTAGGCTTGTGCTTGGATAAGTATTCCAACAAAGTTCAATAACAGCTAAAATTAAAAATCTAATAATAACACGAAAATTGCAAGACCACAACAAGTATGGTAAACTGTGAAAATACCAAGAGTAAAATTGATAATGTAGACTCCTTGCACAAACAATTCCTATGAAGTTTACTACAAACATTGGAAGAATAAACAGCTGACTTAATATATCAAAATTTATATTGTAATGTGTATTCTCTTTTTCTTCATGGCTAATAGGTCTTTTTGCAACTTTTTTCTCATTCTTCTGTGATGATTTCTGTAGCATTGCTTCAAATGAACTTAGAAAATTTTCTTGCTCTTTGGTAATTTTTTCCTCAGCTTTCACATCAACTTTCTTTTTAATTTTATTTAATTTTGTTCTTCTCTTGTTTTCTATATTTTTGGCATCAATCTGTGGTTGAACTTGCTTTTGCACATACTTCAGTCTACAATAACTCTTAAAATATTGAGTACACATGGGCAGAAATATAATAAGCAATACAACATGTAGAGCCAGTAAAGATAGATGAAAACATTTATTCTCAAATGTGTCTATATCTAAGAACCTGTAGTTGACTGTCCATGTGTGATTGAACACACGCCCCACATCAAAACTGCCTTTTAGATATGTTACAGGATTGCCTATTAGAAAAGGTAACCCTAGCACAAACTGTATGATCCCACAAATAAACAGTTGCTTCAAAGTGCCTGCTAGACCTAAATTAATTAAATAAAAGAAAAACAAAGCTGGTGCATACAAGAGGATATTCATTTTTACAGACACTCCTAAACTATAGAAAATGCTACCAAGAGACCACCTTTCATCTATAAAGAAATTAAGTGAAGTGTACAACAGAAGCACTGCTATAGGGTCATTAAACAACCGCAGTACATATATAGAGTGAATTCTGTATGATGTTAAAATAGTAATTATAAGAACATATGGTGGTACTTTTTTTGTTTTTATATAAATTCTTAACACTAGTATCAATTGTAACAGGTAGATTCCAATGAACACATATTGAGCAAGTCTAACATTGTCACCATAATTTGTGAGGAAGTAAAGGGCGGAGTAAATGTAAACGAAGCCAGCTGGATATACTAACGGTCCAGTGTCACCACGAAGCTTGCTGTAATCGAAGGTACCATTCAGAAATCCTTCGCATTCCTGCATATACGCATTCCAGTCAATTTCAGTATATGGTACTCTTTCAACTACCAGTACGTTGATGACAAGTTCGGCAATGATAATGAGGACTGCAGTAATCGGTAGCTGAGCTGGATTCATGACTAGACCTACTGCATAGGACCAGGTAAACATCTTTTTGAGTTCTTGAAACATTTCGGAGAATTTATTTCGATTGCCCATTCCAAAGAGAAATGATAAGAAAAATAGATATGTTATAACTGTCGTTCAATATTGGTTTTTATCACCGTCACTACTATCTATCTAAATATATTGAGCACCTGGCATTAATTATTCTATTTTAAGACTTCGCTGCAAGCACCGGTGCCATGAAAAATTAAAATAGCTGGGGAAAAGGAAGCGACAGCACAGATTAGAAAGACTATGTGACAATGACAGTGACGGATCATCAGCATAGATTAAAATTTAATTTATTTAACGTACTACGATCGATATTCGCATACTTTATGCTTTAATTCATCACATTTTTGAAAATTTTCGCCAAACCAAATTGAAAAATAATTTGAGATGTAAGCTTTCTATGTGTACTTATATAATTTTTTGCTATAAAATGATTGGCACTTAAAACAAGGAATTTAAGGGACTGTTCCTGTGATGCTTATTGTCTATAAATATTTTTTTACAGCCTTTACTTAATTTTTTACACTTTTACTTTATTTTACCTTAAACAATAAATAGGTCATTCAAATAGACAAAGTTTTATAGAAGCATCTGGTCATTAGATCTTAAAGGAAAAATATATTTTTATACGTGGTTTATTAATTTACATACTTGTTTATATGCAACATGCAATATCAGTTGGGTTAAATAATTATCAAAAAATATGTAGTTATAGATATGTAGATGTAAATAACATTTTTTAAGTAATTGTTAAAATAATAATTATTGACGGGACAGTTATAATTACTATTAAAATGTTTTCAAATTAATTTGTTTTTAATTATTTAGTTGCCGTCAGGTAATCGAAAGTGACAACCCTCAACCCTATGAGAAGGCGAAGTATGGAATAGATCGTTTTAAAATCCGTTCGAAGGAACGTAAGTAATTTTAAAATGTATGTAGGTATGTAAATTATACTTATGTATTATTATATTTGAGATTAACAGTTATAAAACAAAAATTTTAGGCGAAATGTGATAACAAAAGCGAAGTTAGGGTCATGGTTTGTATTCTAACCAGAATATGGTACGGTCTATGGCACATATATAATGTTTACGGTAGGTCTCTAACGTGGTAGACAGAGATCCAAGCGCCATTTGTTTCTATCGTCTGAATATATGAACAAACCTTTAATCCATTTAAAAAGAAAAGTTTGCACAGTTTCACAAATAATGTTTTATTGAAGCAAACTTGCATATATGCACAATACCTACACAGTTGCACTATGCAAACAATAGTTGATTAACAAATATGCAGATTTAAGTCTGCACAGATTCATACTAAAATTATTTTGTTTCTTGTGACGTACCTATAGTCAAACAGAATAATCTGGTAGAGGAAGCTCACTGTGGCTAGTTATAAATCGCGAGGTGGACAATCCGCCATCGATGTTTTAATAATACTTATTTATTAGATACAATAATGATGTCTCAGAATAATAACGTTCGTTCCAAAACAATTAGACAATCTTGAATATTATATTATCTAATATTAGATATTACGATTGATTGTTGCGAATCAATCACAGAATGTGTATGTTTTTTTTAATGGGTGATAATGTAAATAGTATCTATCTACACTTGTCATTAATACGGTAAACGCTAGTGGGGTACTAATGGCTACGAAGCCAGGTCAGGCAGGAATTAACCGCGAGAAGAACGATTTGAAATAAATTACTAATATTATAAATGAGGATTGTGGATGAATAGATGAATGGGTGGACGTTTGTTATGTTACTCTTTCACGCAAAAACTACTCAATGGATTTTAATGAAATTTTACAATAATGTAGCTTTTACATTAGAACAACACATAGGTACCTAGGTTATAAATTACGGCGAGTTTATTATAAGCAGCAATTGTATTATTTTTAATTTGGGACAAATCAAGATGATATTTATCATCGTCATATTATTATCACATATGTATAGGTAGTATATCAGGCTGATATACTACCTATATATGTAGGTGTATATATCGATCTCCTCGCGAAGACAAGTCCCATATTGCTAACAATCCCATCCAAACGTGCATGTTGCCATGCAATGTATTTAAATTTATCAGTAATAATTATATCAATGAGCTTACTGGCGTGATCTCTTGCTCAAGATGAGCACGAAGTCCTCCACTGGTACCCCGCCAGCGTTGATCGTTAGCGCAGGCGGGTGCATCATCCATAGAAAAAATCAGACTAAAATAATCTGTCATACAATAATTATGAAATATTAAGCAATTAAATAGAAATAATCTTTATTTAAATAAACTTTTGAATACCTATTTAATTTTTTATTCTACCGCTCATTCTAAAAGCAGACTCATCCCAAGAAGAACGAGCAAGATGGAGTTGCGTGTAATAAATAATTACTCGTTACAGCCACCACAACATACTTATATTAGTAATAGTGCACCATTTCCATTATTTCTTAGGAATTATTGGTGTCCAACCCTAACTCGCAGTTCATGAAATAGTGTTTTAGTTCTAATTTCGACGGCAACAAAATATACATATAGTGATTCCAAAGCATCTAAGCTCCTTACTTGAGTTTTTACCTACCTACATTGTGTAGGTATTTAATGTTCATAAGGTGTTTAATATCCATAATACAAGCTCTGCTTAACTTGGGGCTAGATGACGTTGTGTAAAGTCCTGTGTCAATAATAACATTATTATAATTACTTTTTTTTCTTTTCACGTCCTCGAGATAATTCCGTAGGTATTTAAATTTACTGTTACTGTTACTGGTCACACCGACCAAGTTTATAATTTATTATATATTATACCTGAGACGGCAGGTATTAGTCCCGAATTACGAAAGACGAAGATGAATTCAGTTTCATGATCTAAGCTATCCATTGTAAATTCAACTATCTGTCTACTACGTAATAATAACTGGTAGATAGAAAATATTAGAATGCATATATATTGTTCAATTAGACTGTTAGTATTCAGAATATTCTGCACCTACTACTACGTACCTATAGATTATGAATTATAATGATGTTCGGCATAATACTTTTTAATTGTCCTACCACACACTGGAGCCATAAGCTGCGGCTATCAGTATATTATCAATTTATCAGAAAAATAATAACAACATTGATAAATTAATTAGATAAAAATATAAATAAAATAAATCTAATTAATGATAGATTATTGATATTGAATAGGTATATAATTAACGTTTGCCATCCGATTGTGATGAGATTAGTAAATAAGATCTGATATACCTACCTACCCACACAAGTAGCTGCTAATTGAATCTTTAAAACGTAGTGGTAAATTACTCAGAGGAATTGTATAAAATATGTCTCTAGGGAAATGTGTAAATTATAATTTTTTTTAAATTACACATTTCCCTACAAATAAAATTTTTAAAAGGAATTTTTTTAGCAAAATCTAGTCAATGGATTTTCTTTCACCAGAGAGTTGGTCAAAAATATAAATGAACGAACAATTGTCGCCGTCCCAACACGACACGACATTAGTTTATGGTATCGTTTATGCAATACCTACATCTGAGAGGTTGTAAAGTATATTGCTAGATATGTTTTATAGATATAAACTTTTTTAAATTAAAGTTGATTGTAATTCGGCTCTAGATATCGTTCTCTCGCCTAAAAGCCTCAGGATGAAATTATGTCCGTGATGCTTACTGAACTGTTGCTCTGGAATGATGTATTATATCAAACAATGTTAAATTTTCTTAAATATATATATAGTGATTCTGGTATTTACTTTTCTCATAACGAAATTCATCGTTCCTACACATCTATTATACCTAGTATTATAATATTATAAAGAGGGCTTTGTAATATTAGAAGATAAGTATAATGATGGACGGATAACAATAAAGGACCAAGATTTTTTTTTTAAATTGGTAGGTGTAAACAACTGTTAAGCGGACAAAGTCACGGGCACAGCTAATCAGCTGTGTAAAATTATTGGCAAAGTAATACAAATCTAATCATAAGTCATTATAACTATTTGCAATCTAAATACGTATTGATTATATTTTTATCACATTGGTTTATCGCTAAATAATAAAATACTGTAAGTACCTATCTGTATGTGTCATTATATGCTTTGAATACTATAACAATGTCATTAACAAATGTATATAATAATAAATAAATAAAACTAAATAAAAAAAAAACATTTTTTCGAGATTGCTAAAAATATAATTTGGGAGTTTACGATAGTAGATGTGTTGTTTATGAACTATTCTATTATGCTAACTTAATGTCTTAATTTTATTATGTTGAAACAATTGTTTGATATTAATATAAGATATAAGTAAAGTAAAAGGTAAAAGTTGTATATATATAAATATAGATTGTGTAATTTTTTATACATTCATACATACATAGGTACTTCATTTTATTTTGATAAGGGGGATGTGGGTTGTATTGTATTATGAATATTATGTGGGTACTGTATTGCATGTTCCTTTATTAAAGAGTCTCAATTAAAACGTCTTTCTGTTAACTCCTTCGTGCTGCGCCTTGACATTATTAGAAACCGTCATGTACTCAGATTATACATACAACTGCCAAAATACGCATCTGCCATCAGATGTGTGATCAGAGGCAGATTGTAAATAGTCACCTGATATTGGGGTACCCATACCTCAATATCAGGTATCTGTTAATGGAATAATGGTCCCGCCTGCACTAACGGTTTATGCTACCCGGGCACAAGTGGAGGATGATAGGATAAGCTAGAGGTCAGGTCAAATTCACCAGGATGATCACGGCAGAAATAGAAATAGCTTTTATGCAAATAAACTCAATACAAGCACTTTTAAATAGTCATAGTTTTGATTATACCATTCATTCGGAAGTTTCCAAGGAGAACTGCGTGGAAGCCGACCTGTCACAATACATTGCTAGCAATGGGATCATTAGTCCACATTACTAAAAATTCCCTTCCCCTAAGTCTGGTGTATTTCAGCTGCCAAGGAGCTTGTTATATAAGCTATGTTTTTAGGGCAGGGTGCAAATTAGGCAGTGAAGTTTCACTGCCATAGAATAAGATGCATGACAGCCCAGTTTTCTCAAATGGCAACACATGAATATGATGAAGATTATAGCTTATAGCGTTATATTCGTGTGTATATGCGAAGGTGACCGCGTGCTATTAGGTGGTCCGTCAGTTTACTTGCCATTCCAATAACATTAAAAAAAACACTATATGTGTTTGCAAATTACATTTTTGCGATAGAAATGTATTAAATTTAATTACTTACAAAATCTCACTCCTACACCGGTGGCTGTACCCTGGCTGCTGTTAAGTTACTTCTCTCCTCTGCTCCTAGTCCTTATGGCCCAGCATCAGCGTATTTTTTATAGTATCTAAACAATATGTAGTCAGATAAGTATATAGTTAACGATTCAGCTTTGTAACGACCTAAGTTGTAATCTATGACTGTTCTTTTATGATATCACACCACGAAAATGTGTATAAAGTTACACCCGAGAAGATAAATGAATGTAGAAAATGAACTATAAATATTCAATAAATATAAAAATAAATTTATTGTATAAATTCGTTTTGCTCAGTATGTTTTAAATCCATCGTGATTGAGAGCACACTGCCGTCTTACGCATTAATTTTTGGTTTGATATCAGTTTGCTTCATCAGATAATGAGTTAGAAATATAATTAGACACATAACAGTTTAGCATTTTGGTGTCGGCTAGATTTGAACTTGACGTGATTCAGCTTAGTAAACCACAAAGCTCTCATAGCCTGAACAGATAATTATAAATAGTAGCTAAGAACGTGCTAAGAAACATCTCGACCAAGATCACATTTATAATTGGTCCATTCATATGGGAGCTATGATGCCAGAGACAACACACAGATACGTCACGACTTATAACACCTCTTTATTTGTGAAGAGGGTTACAAATGCGGTATAATAGTAAGTATGAAAGCAGTTGAAAGTATAAATTAAATAGCCAATCTGCACCCTCTAGTTGGTGCTAGTGGGGTACGACATTGCAACAGCGGAATAGTTTTGCGTTTATTGGGCAGCTCTTATAGTTGTCACGTTATGAGAGCCTAATATGTGATGTCCAGATGCGTTGCAGTGAAGCAGAATGCAGCGTACCTACCTAGTTTACTACTGACATCATTTTTTTATATTCTTATTATTATTATATTTTTATTTATATAAATTATACATACATATAATGTATGTATATATTATGTAAATATATTTATGTTTTGTATTTTTTTAAAAGTGCAAAGAGTTATATAAATAAAAATATTTTTATTAATCAATTATCAGCATAATTTTTAATGGACAAGTAAATTTACAACAAATTAATTATCTGCTTGTTGTTTATGTCGATAATAACACCTATTGTTTCTATTTATATCTACTCTGATAACATTCATTCAGTTAATGCAGGAACAGCTGGTCAACACTTATAAGCTTAAAACGAATTCTCATCAATCAACATTGGAATGCATTGTTGTTTTGCACCTTTCCGTATTGATTCTTTAATCATTTTGAATTGTAGGTACTTATTCTAGTGAAATACATATAAGTAAGTATCACATTTAGTGCGTTCATCTTACATTGTACAATAGTTATATAGTTAATTCAGTAAACGCACGAAATATGATACCTACTTGACGACCTCGGTGCTCTAACGGTTTAGGATAGTGTCTTACATCCGATGGCCGCGGGTTCAATTCCTCGCACAGCTCAAACATTTTCTATTCAGGAGTATGATTGTTTTGGTTATTCTGTGTATATTATGCATGTGTTTATAAAAAAATGTATTAATGTATTTATATTAGTTGTCTAGTAACCATAACATAATCTCTGCTTAGCTTGAGACTAGATGGTGCTCTGAATTCTCCTAGGATAATATTATTATTATTATAATTATATACAGTTTTCTCGTATTTGCATTTGAAAAGAATGATACTAAACTGAAAATTAAAAAATGTTTATGTTTCTAAACTGTATTGATAAATGTATATTGATTAATAAACGTTGTGTAGGTACATCTGTATAAAAGTTTTTATATCCTTCAATAATTAGTACCTAATTAAAAGCACAAAGATCTGAAACAAAGCGGACTGATAGTGTTACTATTATACTTACTTTCTTGGATAGAGGGTCATCACTTCAATCCATGCTATCTAACTACTCGACTATACCTACTAATATTATAAATTCGAATGTCTGTCTCTTTGTTACTTTTTCACGACTAAATGGGTGAACATTGTACAAACCAACGAGTATGTTATTAAAAATAGTTAAACAGTTTATAATTAAATTAGGCTGAAGATTAATTATATAACTATAACGGACATACGTAAAAAAGCAAAGATATGTGTCTAGAATGAAAATATTATATTATATATTAGTATTTCATTTTGCACTAATATTGTATAAACTCTACGGAACGGATACGGTACGAGACGTAATGCTGACCGGACTCGCAGTAATCACCCTGAAGAAAACTTCCGGATGAAGTCCGGTGAAGTTTACAACTATCTTGAAGAATGAAAACATAGTAGGTAAGTTCATTAAATACCTAAATAATATATAAAGACTGCCTTTATTTGCAGCCAGAAAATACTTAGATACTTAATACCGCCACTGAAGATTTAAAAAACGGTGTATGTTTACGTTTAAGATGAAATGCTTCTGATATTGTGAATACAATAGGTATGTTTTTAATATGCACAATGATAGAAATAGACGTCAACTGTGACGAAAATTCATAGGGTGTAATCGTCAGATAGCAAACTAAAGATAGCTAGCTTTGATTTGTTTATTATAAAGTCTAACTAATTATTAGGAGAGAGTAGGGTAAAGGGAGCTAGTGGGTAACGTGAGTTATTATTACATATTTACTTACAAACTCAGGAAAGAACAAGTTGATTGTATATGATAAGAACAGTATCGATAACACTGGGGTTTTTAACGGAATGATGCTCCCGCCTGCGCTAACGGTTTATCCTGGCGTGACACCAGTGGAGGATGAAGTCATGAGGTCAGGTCAGTTTACCTATCGTAGCAAATTTATCACGACAGTTTCCACGTAAAACGTGTGGATGTCAACCAGGCATGGCACATTGCTAGCAATAGAGACCACTGGGTTACATCACGTGATCAGCGATGACCTTTGAGACAGTCATCGGTAATGGCATCCTTATGCGCATGGCGATGACAAGAACAATTTGGTTTATTAGCAATCATTAATATAATAAATTATTATACATCATAGTACTAAATAGCTTATAACAAAGTGAAACATTTTTATAGTATAAACTGGTATTTTTTTATATGGCGTCGATTCTCCCACTCTCACCCTATTTACCTCATTATCATATACGTAGTTTGATTAGTTTGATATATCTAAATAACATTATTTAGCTGCACAACACATATTTTTAATAAATAATCAGACAAATATGATAAAATTAATTCGGATAAATGCAGATAACAGTGATTGATGATAATTATTGTTATATAAAAGAACAATTAACATAGAACAATTATAGTATTGAAAGACAAGGTTAGTGGTTGCACTAGTTTTATATTGCCGATTATTATACTGTATTTCATTGTAATAAATATTTAAATTGCATAACTTGTCAATAAATACATAAACGTTAGTTAATAATACAAATTTCAGCGATAGTATTCGTGAACTTTAATAACTTTCTTCACTAACTTAGTGAACACGATGAATAGATAAATAGTCGTGTATACAATATTCAAAGTTTATATAATATACTTTAATTTTTTGTGATTTTTTCGAATGTTATTCAGGTCATCAATACCTAGAAATACTAGTTGTACAGAAATAATGAAATAAAATTTTAAGATTGTAAATAAAATAACTATAATATCCATTTGTTTTCAGACGAAATGAAGAGTATTGCTTTGGTACTGCTGATTGCCAGCGCCTATGCAGGCGCTGCAATTCCGAACGTTGCTGTTGGTAAGTGCTAATTTGATTTTTTTTTTATTAAAAGTTAGATAATCTTTAAAAGAGTTACGTACCTTATAACTAACGACGGTGATTAACAGCTAAGGAGCCCAAACACTGGTTACAATAAAAACGGGAAATCGCTAACCCTTTTGTTTATAGAAATTATATTTTACTACAAACAATACCAGTACAATAATTAAAAAAAAACATAATTAACAGAAAGAATAAATCTTGTTTATTAAAAAAAAAATTGATGAACCTACGCGAATGTATTTAGACTCGAAATACAATGTTTGTTCATATTTTATACAGGTACCTATTTACACACGAGTATAAAGAAAACATTTTTTATTACACAGAAAGTGCACAAGGCCAATTGGGCCCGAGCAAATTCCAACTGCATTTGGAATCATCAGTAGCGGAATATGAAGGTTTGGCCGGTCAGCTGTTCGATGTAGAAAACAAGGCATCAAACAGAATACTAGAAGATTTGATCATCAACATCTTGGAAGTCTTCAGGGATATTGTTATCAATGGAAATGATTACATTCCTCCTTTGGACCCCCTAGAAATTGAACACATCGGACCTTTCCAATTCTCCGTGACTGGGTAAGAATTAATATAACTTTAATATTATTATAAGTTAGTTAATGTTTGTAATCACTTGTTTGGGATCGGGAACTTTATAAAGGTGGACTGATATGCTAAGTACACTTAAATAGGCGAACTATTTAAGAGTACTTAGCATATCGACTCCTTCAATTAGTATCTACATAAAGGTATTAATTATTCCATCATAGTAAGATGAAGTAGGTTCTGATATTTTGATACAAGTATGTCCATATACTTATTATTATTTTATATTTACTTATGTGATATGTTCATCAATACTGAACCGTATTTGGTGATTCGGTTTAATAGAAGGTTCTAAATTATTCTGTTTAAGTCAATTGTTAGTTTTTCAATTGTTTGATTGATTTATATTAAATACGTTTTAACTTTACATATTATTATATTTAAACACTTTATAATTATTTTAGGATTTACATTGTTCGTAGTTAATACCAGAGAGAGAGAGAGTATATAGACTACAAATTACAGATTAGTTAACTTACTGTATTGACGATATACCCACATGTAATAGTTTGAATTATTTGTTACTAGAAATACTCTTGAACGGCTATACAAATAAAATTTAACAGTCTCATAGACCATATAGGTGCATCTACTTTGGATTCACACAATCTGCTCGCGGGATATAGGTACTTTGTCATTTAATGGTATTGCTATACAGATGTATTATCTAATTAAACTACTGCATAACTATTGACCTTCTTCCGTATCGTATTTCAATTCTTCTGTTTCGTATTTATGTATATGAATTGTAGGTACTTACACTACTTAAGGCTACTGTAACTATATTTAGTTTATATATTTTTACAGCCTCCGTGTAACAGCTAATATCCGTGACCTGCGTTCTGAGGGTCTGCGTTGGTACGTCATTGACACCGTCAGCTTCAACCCCATCCGTCTTACCGTGGGCGTCCACGTTACACTCCCTTGGTTCAGCGTGGCTTGTAAGTTTATCTCATTATTTTTTATACTACGACGTTGGCAAACAATTGATTTATTATAGATGTTTTCTAAAGTATGGGATCTTATTAGGATAATATTTATTATGTATTATAATGTGTATTTAAAATAACGCAGTAAAATTGTTAGTTGCTCGCACTACACTAAAATTATCTTATTTAGTTATATTATAATTGATTTTTTTTTTCTATAGGCCGTTACGACGTCGAGACCCGAATCTTGCTCGTAAGACACAGAGCTGCTGGCAATTTCAGGTAATTTAAGATCAAATGTTAATGTTTGTAATATACACTATTAAAATAAAACCGGTATAATATCTGCCTATCCTAATTGTTGAAGACATGATGATAAAATATATTTGTTTATGTCACTTGAATGGCAATTAATTTGACGATCCACTTGTTGGAAAGCATTACAGACGTTACGTCCTTGATGCTACGTCCGTGGTACCGTTTGTTGTTTTGTGTCTAAACTTGAACGATCTTTTGATATTATTATTGTATTAATTTGAAATGTTATTTGCAGACTGTTCATCCACCGCATTGAAGTTGGAGTCGATCTACGCATGGGAACAAATCTTGTTGGTGGCTACCTGACTTTAAGAGAATTGGAGATCAAGATCGATGTCCATGATACTCTTGTACGTATAATACTTGGCACTTGATTTGATTTTATTAAAAATGCGTAATACTCTTATGATACAAATATAATTAAATATATTTTAATAGGATCATATCAATACTATATATTAATGTGACAGTGACTTTACAGTGATACCTCTAGGCTATATCAAAATATTAAAATAACTTCAAAAAGGAAGTGGTCGTATTTTTATATTCACATGCTGTCTACAGTGTTTGTTACTGTAACATTTTAACAATACTGTGTATATTATATACACAGTATATATATTTATGTAATTAAAGATTAACCCTTGTTGCTCCCAAATATTGGCTTGTAAGTAAATGTTTTACTTATATTATTTTGGAAATGACTTCAACATATCGCGTGTTATGTTTTAGGTGCACATCGATGGCATGACTGGCTCCAAGCTCATCAACAGATTTATCAGCAATCTGGTGCAGAGCATCTCACAGGATATTGTACAGAAACACATTGACAGTTTAGGAGACTTCTTGAGCGTAGTCCTCTTCGACGTAATCAACGACATCCTCCAAGACTACACAATCAACGATATCTTGCCATAAGTGGACATACTTAATATTTTTGGAAATATGAATAAACGAATTAATTACTAATATTTTGTATTTGTATACTTCATGATTATTATTCATTAATATAATATTAACAACATGAAATTTTACAACGATACATAAATTAGAATTATAAGAACATACTATGGAAAAATAAATGTATGAGTGTGTGAGAGAAGTTACCTCAGAACTTCTCACGTTAGCAAATTAACAGTGGTAGGATACGAGTAAATAACACAATAACTAATAAACATAATATAATTATTGACCAAAATAAATAATATAAAAACACATTAATTGATAAATTATAAAGTGGTTATACGCAATATAGGTAAAGATAGTAACAAGACACTTTATATTTTTGATTGCTGTCCGCTTACAAAATTACGGGAATCATACTAAATTTATACTAAAGGGGCGGTTGGGTCTGCGTCGATTTTTCATTTTATTTGGTTATTTATATACAATCCTATTGCCTGCGCTTTATTCATGTCTTACAAGGGAAATGAATACAGTAATTAAAGACCAAAGACATGCCGAGTATTTGGTCTAACTTTAATTGCATCCTAATATGCATTATGCATTATGGTACATTGTATCTATAGGTATAACGTAATGCGTAGGTACTATTATTGTACCCTACAATACCGACAGTATCTACTTTCATTATGAAGACATGAAACATCTTAACTAATAATGTTCTAGTTTCGGTTCTTCTATTATTAAATAATATTAATCCATGACTATGTTTCTATTAGTCACCTAAGCAATTAATTACATATGTACCTACCTACTATAAATTGGTTTGGTTGTTGCAACTTTATTCAAATGTTTGTATGTAAATATGGGCAATATCATGAATAAAACATTATTACATTATTCATTATAATGAGAGATTACTTTTCAAACAACAACATTTTTTATATATTTTGGATGAAAATTATCATTTGGATTTATTTCTGTTAATTTTCTGTTTTTGTTTTCTACTGTTCATTTCCATTTATTTTTGTGGCAACATATACGTTAGAATTTATTTCCAACACTGGGAAGAAATTATAATTTTTTTTTATGTTTTTGTATTTTATGTTGGGCTAAAAAGGACTTGATCCAGAGCCGTAAAATATTAAATAAAAAAAAAAATACATTTCTTTTATTAGATGTTTGACATTGACACATCGTGTCAGTTGACGATTTTAAGAGCATTTTAATTGTTTTTCTGGTTAATTTAAAATAAATGCAGTTTAAATTTTTGTTCAGAGAAAAGATAATTAGTACGTTCTCGTTTTAGAATTTTCTTCGTACTATAGTGACCGTGCTTCCTTATTAATTTTCTCTGGAGGATATCAGAATCTACATTTATATAGTTTGTTTAGAAGTGTAGCATAAAATATTATTATTATAGTTGCTTCAATGAGTCCTGCATAATTATTGTACTAAAATTTATATAAAAGTCGGTAATTGTTTGAGATTCTTTAATCTGTGTTTTTTGACAGATAACAATGGCTGGCAATTTTTGGCAAAGTTCTCATCATCAGCAATGGATGTTAGACAAACAAGATCTCATTAGAGATCGTCAACATGATCTCAATATACTGTCAGAGGAAGAATATCAAAAAATATTTAATTTCTTTGCAAGTATTATACAAGTTCTCGGTGAGCAGCTGAAACTACGCCAGCAAGTGATTGCCACAGCTACAGTTTACTTCAAGAGATTTTATGCCAGGAATTCTCTTATGTGTATAGACCCATTGTTATTAGCACCCACCTGTGTGTTCCTCGCATCAAAAGTTGAAGAGTTTGGTGTAATATCAAACTCAAGATTGATAACAACTTGTCAAACTGTCATTAAGAATAAATTCAGCTATGCTTATGGACAGCAAGAATTTCCATACAGAACTACCCATATATTAGAATGTGAATTTTACTTACTGGAAAATTTAGACTGCTGTTTAATAGTTTACCAACCATACCGGCCATTATTACTGTTTGTACAAGATATAGGTCAAGATGACCAGCTACTTACTTATGCTTGGAGAATTGTTAATGATTCATTAAGAACTGATGTAAGCTTGCTGTATCCACCATATCAGGTAAAAATAAAACAGACAAAATTTTTGAACCATATTAAATTCCAAGTTTTATTTATGTTTGTTTCAAAATATTTGCAGATTGCAATAGCAGCATTGCATATAGCCTGTGTGATGTTGGGAAAGGAAAATCTCAAACCATGGTTTGCAGAACTTAATGTTGACATGGACAAGGTAAGGACTTATGCTGTTTTGTAATTTTTTAATTTTAATTCATTAAATAAAATTTTTTGATCTTATTGCAATTATTATTAGTATTTTTCTCTGTCATGTTTTTTTTTTCTAAATAATAATAATACTTAATAAATTTACTAAAAATATACTGTACTCAAACTAATTTTCAATAACTTTGTTCCAGATACAAGAGATTGTTCGATCCATTATTAACTTGTATGAAATGTGGAAGAGTTATGATGAGAAGAAAGAAATACAGCAGCTTTTGGCTAAAATGCCTAAACCCAAGCCAGCACCTCAAAGATAGAAAATGAACAATATGTGTGGAGTAACAATATCATTAGAATTGATTTCTCTATTTTATAGAACTTTTCTATTAGTGTTTACAACATTGATGAATGAATGAAGTGATAAATGACTTTGTAATAGTACTAATTCACTATTGTTCCATATTTTGTCACATTTTGTGATATATTAGTGACAGAAACCACCTCAGTTCCTGTTACTCTTAGGCTATTTAGGCTAGGTGTAAACTTACATTGACTAACTTTTACTTTTTAAAAGACTGGTAAATGCTATTTTATTAATATCAATAAAATTGAACAGTAATATTTGTTTTCTTTCTTAAAAACTTACTTTTTTTTTATTAAAATTCATTTTTCCTTATAGATAGTGAATAGCCAGACCAATATAATTATATTCATATATACAAATGTGTACATTATTTGAAGACCAATACCTGTGATTTTCAATGGAAATATTGTGGTGTGCTAAGTATAAGTCTAGTCACTGCTAGACCACCTTTTCCTTTGCTATGCTTTCCATGACATTAACATTGAAATAATTTTCCAGATGTCTAATGTATAAGATACATTACTTAATTCTTTTTACAAAATCCAGGTACTTTCTACACTTATTTCGGCTACTACTACATTTTTGTCAATTACATTGCTTCAGAGAGTTCTTCTCAATAGATATATATATAAAAAAATTACAACTTATTTATACACAGGTAGTATTACTGAACTCAAAGATGTGGTACCATACGAAAGTAATACTATGCAAAAACCTGTAATCAGATGACTTGTCTTGCAATGACTCTGCTTGTGGCAGTTAGTGTCAGATGATCACTTTCGCTTAAACAATTACATTCGAGGCGGAAATTGCTTATTGTAATATACCATAACTATAATGATAACATTGGTATCCCCATATACACTTACGTCACAAATAATGTATCCAAAATGTGTGTTTTTTCTGAGACACTAAAATTAGTATACTGAAAGATAAAAAATATGATATAATATTTCAAGCAATAAGATACACACTTTCAGGTTTACAGTTAGTAAAGCTCGTAAATTGTAATTCTATGAATGGAACTAAAAATTAAACATGGACTTCAAATTAATATAAAGAAAACCAAAACAATGACAATCACAAACATTAAGCCCCGTTATGAAAATTAACTTCATTGCTAGCAATGGACCATATCAAGTTGACCTCCACGCAGTCCCCTTGGAAACCGCCATGATAAATTTCTGGGGAATTGGCCACGATGCTCTAACTGACCTCACGCTCATCTTATCATATTTCCACTGGTGCCTCGCCAACGTGAACCATTAGCGAAGGCATCCGCAGTATTCCATTAGGTGCCATTCATTAAAAAAAACATTAACTGTTTTCATTTGTCCCACAAAATGCAGATCGTTTGGTCCTCTTATGCGAGTGGAACCACTGAAGTCTCGGATTTCCGCAAATATGTATAAAGGTAGAGTTTATAAAGTACAAACAGCAATAGCGACGTAAAAATTTTACCGACATGTCTACCTCCAGGACTTTATTTTGTGATCTTTGTGTCATTTTACTGTTTGGTGTGACAGTTTTAGCAGAAGAAATTAATACGAAGTAAGTCTGAACATGTTTTATCTTAAATGGGAATTAAGGTATATGGTGTTAGTATGACATGTATATAACATGAATACCTATTCCTAACAGTGATCTTGTTTGAAATCAATGTTATTATTAACGTACAACATGGTCCCTATACTATACATTAATTTAAATTTAGAAAGACTTAAAACAATATTATTTGCACTTTTCTTATTACAGTTCACAAGAGGGAGAGATTGTATAAAATTGTCACATGCCCATGTGACACTCCTGTGACTTAGTTAAGTCACAAGACGCCAAGCAAGCTGCTATCTAGGATAGGTCCTATGCTCTGGTATAAGGAGTGCGATAAGGCAGTGAAATAACGGGGTACAAAGGCATTACACCTTAGTCCTTAATACGCAAGAGTACGCGTCGTATAATTACGGGTGTCGCAGTGTGATTTGTAGTACGTATCTATTATATTACTAATATAATAGAAATAGACAATATAATATTAGCATTTTCCATCATGGAGATAGTCAGCTTGTATTCTATTCTAGTGTCAAAAAATATCTTACGTTGATTTTATTAATATTAACTTAGAACCTTTGTAATAAGAGTTAATTAAAATAATTAAAAGGTGCAGTGATTTCGTGCAATCATCGCTCCTGGTTAGGTTGGTTTAATATTATCGTATCGTATGCATAGCCTGCAATTTCTGATGATTAAACAACTAAAAATTGCAATTGGTTATGCATAGTAGAATGTAGGTACTTGTTGCATTGAGGAGATAAATGATAAAAGTAGATTCGGAATGTTCTTAAATTACTGTTCTATTTTTCCAGACCAGCACTACAACTCGCAGAGTTTTTTAAAGGGAACTGCTCGTGTGGAGGATTTCCAAATAGTGAGCCAGAAGTAGGCAGTGAACCATTGCTGTCGCAATCATCTGGACTGGCAGTGAATTGTGCTGAGGAAGGGCAGCTCACATGTAAGCGTATGTGTAATGCTCTTGCTATTGCCACCAAGGCTAAGGGACCTGAGATTCTATGCAATAAGCTGAAAGATGTGAACGAATTAAAGGTATATTCATCCTGTATTGTATTAGTACTAAGATTTTAAAATACACAGTAAATCTCACAACCTAGAAGCTGGTTGTGAGATTTACTGTGTATTTTAAATATTAAAGCTAAATTCTTTATTAAAACAAAACGTTTATGTAACTGTGATATATTTTTTACACGATATCTCTGCCAAACGACGGATTTCGATAAATCTTTTGATATTCGTAGGGGTTTAATAGGGTTGGTGTTTGTTTTGTCACGATTAGCAGTTTGTCTTATGAGAAAATACGAGAATATTATCAAGAGAAAGTATACGAAATCTATTTTTGCAGCCAGTATTATACTATACATGTTTGATCACAATAGATGTAGCGTCGGGCCATTAATTTTTAATTATGAAATTAACAATGTTGTCATGAACATAACTAAAATAGGAAGAAATCTGACTGGCCACCTAACAGAAAGTGGCGACTATCATATATATATGTATACAAATAGAATCACGGACATGACGTCATCATGTAATGTTCGTGATACTATTTTTTTTAATAATCCTGGTGTTGCCATTCATTAACTCGTCTTCAACTTTGACAGCTGTCGGCGTTCTATAAAGTATGCGACAAACCTTGGATATATGCAGACATAACAGCCGAAGAACCTATTTGCTGTGAAAGTGGCGTGGTAAAGATTTGCGCGTCCGCCGAAAAAACCAATGCTACGGACATTATTAATGTTAAGACGGTAATGTAATTACCGAGATGAAGACAGACAATGTTAAGATGTATATTATCTTATATCAATTTTTTCGTTTATCATTGACATGTTAACCAGGCGAATAAATGTATGATTAATAAATTTATATGTGTAAAGGCATAGCAGATTTTTTTTATTAAACTTCATTAATTGAAAATAAAATCATAAAATATTATGTGAACTAAAATGTATTTACACAAACTAAAACATTAACAACTTTTACATTATTACATAGGTGATGTAAAACTTCATATTTTGCCAAGGCTTCATATGTTGCCTTTAATGTATAAAAGATATAGTAATTACCTACTTACTCGATTTGTGTCCAAGTAGTATCTATTGCAATTTATAATACAAAAGTAATAAGTAACCCACTGGACTGAACGCTATATACGTAATCACAATTAACTACTATAGTATTCTAGGTATATATTTTTTTAATTCATATAAGTATGGATAAATCTCCATTAGGTAGTTATATATAACATATAGTTGTTCTGTTTACAGAGGACACAATTTCTCTAAATATATAAAAAGAAAGTTATAATTTTAGATTTTTAATGATAAAAAAAAAACTCCGTAATGCCATGTGAAACTGCGATATGCGAAGTATTTTCTTTTATTAGAATTTAAATATATCACTTAATTTCTGAATAGTAAATAGTAATATTTAATTCTCACAAGAAATATATTTCCAAATACAATATATAAGACAAAAATTCATGGCTTAAGTTATTTACAGCATTGCATTATCATAGATACTTCGCCTCTCCCCGAGAAAACCGAGTGTTTAAATTCTGTGCTTTCTTTATAATGGATTTTTTCTGAGCTTCGTCGAAGCGATTTACTTGCAGATCAACGTCGCGGCTAAAAGGTCGACGCTCCTTTTTACCATCCTCTCTTTCGTCTTTCTGTAATTTATAATTTGAGAAATATGTACTATGCATGTGTGTGTGTAGGTCAATCTAATACCATAGACTAATTAAAGTTTTTGTTCTGGCTCCTTCAGACATAACATCACAAAAAATTTACATTCACCACAATTGAATACAAAGTGTATACACCACAATTGAATACACTTTGTATTCAATTGTGGTGGAATTTGTACAAGTTTTTCTGCATGGGATAATTCTAACCTATTTCAGCCATCAAGCGATTGCTAGTATAGTATGTTGGATTCTGTACTACGGGCATGACAGCTTAATCACTGTACTGTAGCTTAATTATTGTTGTACATATTGCAGTGACCACAGACATAATTTATATTTTATTATTATTATTTCATATGTATGTTATGTTATATATTATGTATGGTATATAGGTATACTTATGTTATATAAGGTATTTTAATATTATTATATATTTATATATTATATTGGCCATTAGTAGCCTGATTTTAGTAAATAAGTTACAGTTACATAAAAGAAACATTATTAACAATATCCATACTAGAAATAATATTGTAAATTGTAGGCGTATTTGTAGAGTACTAATTGTTTGACTACGATCTAAAATTAAATTAATATATAATAATAATATAATGTATTATATTCTATTTGCTTTGTGAATGATACAGTGACAAGAAATATTAAATAAACATACCTTTTTTTTCTTTTTCAATTTCTTTTGATGCATATCTAGCAAACTTTCTTCTCTCTTGTGTTTCTTTTTATGTTTTCTGAAATGAAAAGTTGCTATGTAACAAACATGTTATGGTTATTTTTTTCTTCAATATGAATATTTACATATAATGATATATAAACCAACTCTTGTATGGTAACGGTAGATATGAAAAAGTTGTTAAGTCTAATAGATGTAAGAGTCTGTAATGTGATTAGACTTAAAAAATCGGACTACATAACTAGAATTGATTTAATTTTCCAATAATTTCCATGGTAACTCATGGGTTCTCACATATAACTAAGTATCAGAATGTAAGACCTTAGTGAATTCTAGTTATGTAGTCTGATATTTTAAATTCAACAAACTTCAAAAAGTTACAATGGATATTTACCTGACAGCTGTTTCTTGTTCCTCATCTCTATTAGCTATTTGTCGAACCTTTGCTTCCTTTTGTAGCAAAATGTCTGCATCCTCTTCTTTCACTATTCCAGATTCTTTACGGGCTTTTTCTTCAGGAGTGTCAGTCCAAGTGGATCTATTGATATTACAATTAGTAAAAAAAGAAATAGAAATAAACTTAAAAAAAAACTTGATACAAGCACTTTTGAATAGTCAAACATTTTTTATTCTACCACTCATTCGGTATGTAGACTTATCAAAGGAAGCTTGAACAAGAAATTTGTGTCTTGCTCTTTTGAACAAAGGTTATTTTAAATAAATAAATACACCATAACAAGAGGAATCCTGTATATGAAAGGGAAATCTTGTGTAAAAAAATATGATAAATATCAAACTGATATTATTTGCAGATGACCATAAGAAGTGGCGCCATAGGAATATAGTGGTGACAAATTTTAATCCTACCTATCTGACATATCCGGACCTTCTTTGCTCCTGAAACTACGTGCCTCTAAACCCAGATATTTTGCTTTAGCTTCAGGCAGTTCCAACATCCATTGCTCTCTTGATTTCACTTTATTACTTTGTAAAGAATGCCCATCCAAATGCTTTATTTTCATGTCCAATGCTCGTTCTTCAAGTCGTTTATGAGCATCTGTCCATTTTTCTTCAGCACCTATAGGCAATGGACCAATACCTTCTTCTTCATCGGAAGTATCCCCTTTAATTATTTCACATTCAGATTCTAGCACTTTACGCATATCATCTGGGATAGATGGTCCTGTAAAAAAACCATAGAATTAGTAGCACAAGTAGTAATTTTACAAGTGTGAAAATTTTATATACTTTGTATAGTTTTTAATTTCTATATAATATGTTTTTGTTATTATATAGAAATTAAACTTACTATCTCAGTTTCAATGCTGTATTTGAATTCAATGACATTTCATATAAAGCGAGATAACATTAATTCATAGGATAACTTTTACCTAAACATTGAGTGGTGAGAATATACAATGGATAATTATAAAGAAGTAGCTCATTAATAATATATATAAAATACATATATAATATATTACCTATGTTTCTAGACCTCTTATTAAGGTGCGGCGGTAGAGCTGGTCCTTCCATATCAGATGAGGATGCAAACTGTTTTTTTAAATGTGGTGGTAATGCAGGTCCACAAACATCAGAAGCAGACTTCTCTCCACTAATTGCACATTTAGTAACAGATCTTTTTAGTTTATGTCTTAAGTCATTAGGATCAATTTTAAAATTGTCATCTGGTTCTTCATCACTTGATATTTCTCCTTCTTCACAGCTTTCTTTCTGATTACTTTTCTGTGTCGAAGTAACTTCTGCAATTTCAGGATTATTGTTGGGCTCTTCAACTTCAATTTTGTTTTGAATATCAGTAGTACTGCTCACTTCGACGGATGTAGTTGACTCTTGTTCTCTATCTTTGCTACATTTAGAAACTTTTCTTTTGTGTTTCTTTTTATGTTTTTTCTTTCTTGTTTTCTGAAGCTCATTTTCTAAGTTTAAAAGTTTTGCTCTAAGTTTCTCATCATCTGATGAATCAATTTCACTTGACTCTTCTGATTTCTCTTTAACAATAGCAGGTATCATACTGTAGTATGATCCAGGTTGAACTTCTTCACTAGAGTCTTCGCTATGTTCTACAATAATTGGACTGCTAGTTTTATTTTTACTTGATTGCACAGGAGGTCTATACACTTCTGATTTTTTTCCTTTCTGATCTGGAGACAAATTTAAACTCGACCTAGGTTCTTCTCTTTTTCTCTTCTCCAATTGATCTGAGGGTATGACTTTTCTTTCATCTCTTGTTCTAATATTACGTCGAATTTCATCCTTAAAATCTCTTAACTGGTCGGGAGATTTTTTAAATTGAGATCCACTGTTTCTATGTTTATCTTTACTGCTACTTCTATGGTCTCTAGGTTTTGATGTTCCTCGGGAATCTCGGTATCTATCTCTATGTCTTTCACGAGATCTCCTATCTTGGCTTCTATCTCTTGAACTTCTTCTCCTACTTGCAGGAGAATACCTAGAATACCTATGCCTTTCACGTACATGCCTGTCAAAATTGTCCCTTTGATTTCTTTTTTTATCAAGGTCTCTTCTATGTCTTTCATTTAGAGAATGATGATTCCTCCCAGAGTGTTTACTGCTATCTTCATTCTGATTTGTGCTTTTCTTTTGTTGATCTTGATTACTTGATCGACATTTGAATCTACCAGTTTCTGAATCACTACTGGATTCATCAGAAAGCATAGTGTAACCTAGAAAAAAAGGATGTTTTTAATAAAAATTAGTCAGTTAATATAATGCTAACTTTATTTTCAATCTAAATATATTTATATCTATCTTACATAGGATAATTTTCTATAATACTAAAATTATATACATAAAACTGATAAAAATTTATACAACTAAAACATTTTTGCTATTTTTTTTGCACTGTAGCGAATGGATTTTAAGATTCCTGCTGTTAAGATTCCCTTTAAGGATTGTCTCACACTAGATTGCCAGACTATATCTTTTAGTATTTGTCTCAATATAACAGCACAGTCAATATCATATGCAACAGCACGGAGCACATCTTCCATGTCCTGGTGAGGACCACCATGATTCCAAAATTTGTCTATTCTTTGTTGAGGAACCATTGGTAATTGCATAAGGTGGTGGAATTTGGTCTCTGGATGTGAGTCTTGGTGACATTGAGCATCTCCATCAGAAAAATCAACATATGCATGGAATTGCTTCAAGATTGGACGGTACAATTCACGAAAACTCAATAATTGAGGTTGGACAATATTCCTAACTTTGTTTTTATTCTCTCCAAAAGTCATTCGAAAGTCTCCAGCATAGCTTAAATTAGAAATGGCAAAATAAAAGTCATACTCTGAAAATGATTCTGGTAAAATGAGAAGAGCTGTGTGCACAGCAGATCTCAAATTAGACTGCAGAGCATTCTGTAATTGTGAACTGTTTGTTTGCTTTATGATTTCTACTGGCTTATGGAGACGCCCAGCAAGGTATAGGTCATTCCAATCCAGCAAGTCTGCAATCAAACTCTTTTGCGAAACTATACCATATTTTATTGTAATATTTTCTTCTTTAAGGTCTACAAGAGTATTGAAATAAACTTTAGCGCCCCAATTGTCTTGGTATCTTGCAACAAATCCTTTGCCTAGAAAACGTAGTGCAGAATAATGTGAAGGGTTTTGTTCAATGTTGGCTCCATGCCATCTATAAGAGTTTTCAACGCAATATATAAGGTCGATCATGTTCTGTTTCTTCTGGTTAGTGATTTGTGGTTTCACAGCGGAGCCGTACGCGAAGCAGAATGTAAAGTTTTGTGGAAATTTTGATAATATTCTATAGTACAATGGGGACACATCTTTGGCTACGCCCATTGCTTTAACTGCTGTTGATGCCATGATATTAGTCTAAGGAGTACCGATTATGTAAATAGTTGAACTGCTGACCTGGGAATTTTGATCAATTTTGTAACTTCGAAATTGGTTACTTGGTTATAATATAAATAACGTTCTGCCATACGTACTTTATGCTATAGTAATTTCTTGTATGATATTTTTTGGATACTGTAGTTATTATGAAAATCTCTATTTTAAGATATATCTGTGAAATAACACTTATTTCAGGAAAAAATACTCATAATTGATAAACGATTATGAGGACAAAATTACGCCAAAATAATAGTAAATCACAGATTGATTATACAAATAGGATGCTCTTCGTTTCTCTTATCTATGGAACGTACAGTTACCATAGATTCGACAGATTGTGTTAGTGACAGTTACAATAGTACAAGGTCCATTAGTACAGAGTACTTATTAAAAAAATCTTCTTCCTCATTCGGTAACTGTCTTACTCTGTGCTTTGTAGGCAAACAAAATAAATACAAGTGATTTATCATAATTATTTATTTTACTGTGTTTATAATTGTTGAGATTGTGTACTACTCTTTCATTACTTACTAAAAACAGTTGCTTTCCAAATTATTTTCATTATGACAAGTGCTGACCGAATCGATTTCGAAATGGAGGTGGAGGTTGAGAGTGCTTCCTCAGGACCTGCAGTGGAGACTGCTAATCCTACATCGCCGGCACCCCCGACTCCGGGAGGTAATAAAAGTGTAGTGGTTACCACGGCCACTTCAGGTTCAGTAACAGTATCCCTTCACCCGCTGGTGATCATGAACGTTTCTGAACATTGGACTCGTTTACGAGCACAGGAAGGCTCTCCACAAACAGGTAGAGTAACTATAAACTCTATAAGATTATAATTAGATTTTATTGTTATGATGACAATAAAATTCAATGCAGTTGAAATAGGAAGGTAGAAATGCCACATTCTTATAAGCAAGTTTGAAACCCCCGACATAACTCAGTCTACTTAGATAAAACTTAGTTTGTTTGAGCTTTTTTATTATAGCCCATTTTATCATAGTAGCCTCAGCTATTTCTAAGTAAATGGATGTATACATGGATATAAATGACAAATCTAAGTTACATGTATTTATTTTTAATGTATATTATTATGTGTGTATTTACAAAAAAAAAGTATCTGTATTTATATCAGTTGTCTAAGTACCCATAACACAAGCTCTACTTAACTTGGGACTAGATGGTGCCGTGTGAATCGTTTAGGGATTATATTATTATTATTATTAATGATCAAGGTCCCAGGTATTGGGAATATTTGAGGTTATTGCTCTAATATACAGTTTGGCAGTAGGCAATGGAGTAGTAGTAGATATATTACACTATATAAGACATGTATCATATACACAATATACACCTATACTTTATTATTTAGAAATTGATGTTCAACTGTTTATATAAAAAAAATATTTGTAATAATTATCTATAAAGGCAAATTTTCTGTTTAACACTGTATACTAAATTATCACAGTAATCAATTAGAATACAATAATTGCCATTGATTCTTAAAAACCATTCTTATGTTTAATAATCTTTTTTTCAGTAATTGGGGCACTTATTGGTAAACAAAAAGGTCGCAATATAGAAGTTATGAACTCTTTTGAATTGGTGTTCAGTGTTATTGAAGGAGACATCATCATAGATAGAGATTATTATAATTTGAAAGAAGAGCAATGTAAGTATATTTAGTTCTTGTTTATATTTTGAATAGCAAACAAGCTGATGGCCAGCTTCATGGAAGTGACAATACTCATCCATATGGATAATCAGCACCATGAACCTCACATTATCATTCTCTTAGGGTTATGGTGGATGTCTTAGACATTCCTATTGACAAAGGTGTCCTGCCTTCATATCCTGTAATGTCCCTACTAAATTACCAATTGAGACAACTAACAAGGCAAATTTCTGGGGTTTCGAAATAGGAACTATAGAAAAGAAGCCGAGTTATGGGGACTTTCTACATAGTCATCTGTATTTATGCAGTCAACAATCTTGTATTTATAGTCTTGTCCATAAAACAGTAGGAAAAAAATGTTACTACAAAAACTTGACTTTCATAAGCAGCTAAAATATCCTATATGAATTTTTGATTTGATTTGATAGTTCACCAAGTACAGTTAAAAATGATAGAGTACACTAATGGAGCAGATAACAAATGTTCATGGGTATAGTGTTACATAATGGGATTAGAAATAGAAATAGAAATAATCTTTATTCAAATAAACTCATTACAAGCACTCACACACTGGTAGAATCAAAATATGACTATTTGAATAGTCATATTTTGATTCTACCACTCACCGGAATGCAGATTCATCACAAGAAGAATGAGCAAGAAACTTGTGTCTTGCTCTTTTTAATAGATGTTTTTTTATATAAATACTTACAGTATAACAAGTATTGATGCATGCGACAATCAACATAGAAATCGCTACACTATTGTCAGTGCTATGGATTTAAAGTTTTTCTATAAAAACATTATTATCGTTAAGAATTCTTCAACTTTATAGTAAGCTTTTTTGCAAAGGAAGTGTTGTATTTGACATTTAAATCTTTTTTCTGGCAGATTTATAACAGACTCTGGTGTTTTATTAAAACCTTATGCAATTGCCATAAAACGAATTACTAACTTTAGCCAAACAACATTTAGGTAAAATCAGTTTGTTATTGTTGCCTAAGCTTTTATTAGTGCAATCACTAACTCTTTTGAAACTGTCTATATTCTTCCTGGCATTTATATGATTAGAAATAGGAAGATGTATTATTTTAATAAGAAAATAACACATATTAGGTATGGTATGACTTCATTACAATGTAATTTAAAATATATTTCAGTCAAGCAAGTATTCTCAGATATGGACTTCCTAGGGTGGTATACTACAGGTGAAACACCAACAGAACGTGACATTGCTGTTCATAGACAGATATGTGATATAAATGAATGTCCAGTTATGCTTATGCTAAATCCTGCAGGAAGAAATGGAGATGTAAGTAAATGGACAACTGCTTATTTTATAATATGATGATATACCTAGTTAAAATTAAAGGAAGGAGGCTTAGATGATACTCCAAGAGATTGGATGAATTTTAACAATAATTGTGTCAAATTTAGACTACTCCTGTATAATAAACTATGTATAAAGAAATTAAAGATGTAATGATGTAAAAATACAGGGTTACTATAGGTTGATTTATTCTGTATTCTGTTCAGATAGACTTGTATAGTCTAGAAGAGAATATTTAGAAGAAAGAAGAAGAAAGAAAGAAAGAAGAAGAAAAAATGAAGATAAAAATGATTAATTTCTACAATAAAACTATTTAATCTTATTTGCAGCAATTACCAGTAGTGCTGTATGAATCTGTAATAGATGTAGTAAATGGACGCGCTACAATGCTGCTGGCACCATTAACATACACACTCGCTGCTGAAGAAGCGGAGAGAATTGGTGTAGATCATGTAGCCAGAGTTTCTTCTGGAGAAGCTGCACTGAATAGTTTAGGTATGACTATTTTTAACTTTCCATATGATTAGTACTAAAAAGTAAAAAAACAAGTAAGTAAACATAGTAGGGTTAATAACAGGTATATAATATAATAGACTGAATGTAGCTTCGAAACAAAAGTATGCAAAACATAGTGTTACTTTACAAGAAATGCAAACTGCCTTATACAATCTTATATATTATAAAGTGGATATATTTGTATGGTTTTCGATATAAAGCAGCTCACAAAACAGGCGTGCGTTATAAACGCAACTAGTGAAGTTATATTCCGTAACCGCACTATTTACTATTTTTTTTATTCAAGTTTGAACTGACCGCCGCGCCGTGCGGCGCCAGCCGGGTAGTGCGTTGAAACGATGGGAAATCAACAGTTTGCATTACAGTTTTGTGGTTGAGTTCATTTAAAATCAACGGCGATTCCACACACTCTGCTCTATTACGTTTCGTGTGTTATAACCATCATAACGCATTTATATCATGATATACTATATCGATATAGTGGCGGAGCATTTGACGGCGCAAAGGTCGGCCATCAAGATGTTGGTGTCCCGCGTGCGCGCCGTGCTGGCGACAGTGCGGGCCGTGCGGGCGGGCACGCTGCCGCCGCGGCCGGCGCTGCTGCGCGAGGCGCGCGCCCTCGCACATCGTCTCCCTTTACTCACCTCACACCAATTCCGAACACATTTCTATAATGTAAGTACCACTATAGAAATAGAAATAATCTTAATTCAAATAAACTTGATATAAGCACTTTTGAATAATCATATTTAGTACCGAATGGTGTTAAGTCCTCCAAATGAACTGTACTAGTTTTTGTATAGTGTGCATTGAAGTTAATTTTTTTTTAATTCTATCACTCATTCAGAACGCAGACACAGTACATGAAGGAACTTGCGTGTTCCTCTTTTAAATAAATGTTGTTCAGGATTACAGTTTTAAGAATTTTGTGTGGATACTAACTGCCGAATAGCAAAGTTGATATAAATACATAAATAGTTATTGAGTAGCAAAATAGATTTTAGTTATCAAAGCAGACTAATCTCTACAAGCGTCACCTTTTCACGAGTATATTGTCCATTAAGACTGCTTCTATAGACCACTTGTTATGACTTGTTCACTTCGAGCTGCGTGAACATATCATGTGCAGTTCATAGAGGAGCTCTATTGTCAGCAATGAAGTGTAACTAATAAAATTAGCATTTAGAAGTGTTTAAGTGATTAAAAATCTGTTTGTTTTCAGCAATGCAATGACGTGGCGCTCATGACTTACCTGGGTACCATCACGAAAGGCTGCAACGCTATCAATCAACTAGTCAATAGATTCAATGTCCTCTATGACAGACAGGGCATGGGCCGTCGAATGCGAGGACTTTTCTTTTAGTGTGTTGATTAATGTTATACTACAATATGTTCAGGAACTGTGTAGAATAATTGGAAAATTGGTTTATCCTCACCATATACCTACTTAATCAGGGTGATTTGTTAATATTTTCCATTTACTCTATACTTCAGTTTTAAGAATTAAATCATTTAAATGAGTAAACAAGATCGTAAGGCAAGTAAATTTCTAACTTGTATGTGAAAAAAATGTACTATCATTAAAACCGCACAAGTATCAATGTATAATAAAGAAACCTATTTATGTCATTTCGTTACTCGCATAAAATCAAAATTGTAATCCTGTAATATTAATTTGTACAGTTTGAATAAGAATGCTTTCTTCGTTTCGTTCTAGTTAAACATTTGGCAGTTTTTAATTGTGAACGATACTCATAAACAGACATACATATTAAAAATAAAAAAAAAATCAAATAGTTCTTCTATGGGATGTTTTAGTGGTTTAATAATTTAATTCAATATGTGCTAATAATTCCAAACAGAACACAGTGACTAGCTTTAGGATGGTGGTAATATTCTTAGTAAAACCTGAAACATGACCTACCTATGTATCAGAGTAATCATATTGTTATACTGCGATCACATACCGCAAATTATTGTATATATAATATATAAAGCTGAATTACGATGGCACACTCATAATTAAAATTAAAATGAAGCTTTGTCAATATGCTATTGACCGTTCTGTTAAGTAATATATATTTAAACTCAACGGTACAGTACTGTTCTGTGTTTTATCTAAAACGTACCATAGTAATATGTAGTAAAACTACTGAGATTTTCCCCTGTTAAGTGAACTGTCCGTTGTATGGGAGACTGTCGTCATGACTGACTATAGTTAACTATAGGCATTGTAATAAAATATTCTATGAACTCTATTGTTTCTGTTGTTTAATTTCTAATCTTTGGAACAACTTGTAATGTTGCAGCATGTAATTCACTAAATGCTATCTAGAGCATGTAACTATTTTGCGGAAAGAATTAATCCGATATTTGTACTGTGTCATATGCTGCGTAAGGTACTCTATTTACCAGTACACTATAATAACAATATGGTGTAGAAATGGTGCGCGTTGCAGCGAAGATAACAGGTTTTGTAAAAACTATATTTATTGAGATTTTTCAAAGATAATGAGAACCTTTTGTTAATCTAATACCTCTGTCATTTTTCAACAGTAAATGTTTTCGTTGAATGCAGTGTGCATTCCATATGACCGTCGATTATACACACGCCGTGCAGTTTTTACGGCACAAATCCCTTAATGTTTGAATACAGAAGATTTAATAAGTACATTTTTCTTGTAAAGATTTACGGTGCAGAAACATGTACGCTAACCGTGGGTCTTGTTCGCAAATTAAAATCGTACAGCGGGCGGAGCTATGTTCCGAGTTTCATTTTCAAAGATAAGGTAAGCCATATAAGTCATATTTGTTAATTTAATATCTTCATAATTTTTCATAATATATTTTCTCGTTGTATAGTGTGTGTTTCATATGACTGTCGATTAGATATACGCCCTGCAGAGTATAATGAAAATAAATGGAAACATCAGTAGCATAATAATTTATTTCCCATCATCCAGCTTGAGTATTATCTTCATTACACATAAAATTAACAAACTTTGGACACATAGAGATTCTTGCTGTGGAAGACTTTGTCAAATGAAGTTTAAACCGTTGCAACGAGATGATGTGAACAAAAAAAAACGTAAAGACACTTGCCATGTATTATTCTGTTGCAGGTGTCGATATTGATATCAAATCATAATTATATAAAAAGTTGATTTTCAGTATGCAAAAAATATTGTAAATTAAAATGTGCCGGTCGTGTAAGTACTACGGCCGTACAAACATATACATTATAAAACCGTTATTATAAATCACATTTAATATAATATTCTTTAATAACCAATTGAAAAATGTTATATAATTTTATACTTGTACTATAATAGATAGATAGTTTTGTATAAAAATATTTTAAGTTAATATAGGTACTATTTAAATCGAACTTCCACTACTAATATTGCTTCATCATAACTACGCCATAAACTGTATCTCAAATTGCACTATATAAGAAGTACCTATTGTGTAAATTGAAGACACTTGTCTTTTCTATTAAGTGATATAAAATATATCTAATGGTAGAAATTTTATTCGACATGTTTTAAATGCATTTGTTTTCGAGTAACAGAAGCAAGTTAAATATGTGAAGAATATTTGCACAAAGGTGCGTCGTCATCGGCGTACAGTACATAGATCTATCACTATGACTTTAATTTAAAACCCAAAAGATCATAGTTTAAATCTCAATTTAAAGTGCATTCTCGCAAAGACTTACACTTGATCTACATAAAAAATCGCAGCCAATATGATATCAGTTGGTTTTAAATATAAACTAAACCCTATGCCTTTCAGCATAAAGTTTGAAGTATCGCCGCTATGTGTCGTCTGGTATTTTCTCGATCCCGATCAGTTCGTCGAAGAGCGAGTGATTATCAGGTATCACATGTGGCTCGTGTAGAATTTGCCGCGCAAATTTTAACACCGCCCGTGCTAGCTGGCCGACAGTCCACTTTCGGTCCACTATGACCCTAACGAGGGTATCAAGCTGTAAGAGAAACTTAATTTGAATACCACGTTAAGTCTAGTTCACTGTCTATCCCGAATAAAACTGAGCTTTTGCTATTTTTATTTGACTTTACTTTAGACAAATAAAAATAGCAAAAGATATTATATTATTTCCTTAGTAGTTTAACCACATTTTAATGAAGGAAGGAACGTATATACTGCACCTTGAACAGCTTCTCATTGCCAAATGTATAGTATAAAAGTGCAGGAACACCGGCAACGCTGGCACCGAGCCACTGCAGCAGAAGCTTGAGTTGGGGGTGGCCTCGTTGTCTCTTGCCGCATCCCCAGTTGCCGGTAGCGACAGCTCGGCACGAACCACCCGTCACTATCTTGTGTGCTAGCTGATTTAGCTGTGTACAATTAAAAGAAATATTTTTAACATTTAAAATGATTGAGAATTCAATACAGGAATGAAACCTATGATTAGAAAATAATCCATATTCTAATTGAGTATATTTTTTTCAATCAAAACAAACAAAAGTATTTATTAGATATTATATCAATAAAAAGAAAATATTTATTCGCTTCACAACATTATCTTATTATCAAACTCTATTACAAATTAGAGATGTGTGATCTTTGCCATAAGACTCGATGTTTGCATAGTACCTACCTATTTATAACATACAATTGTTTTACATTATTTATTATACATAGCGTGTATTTAATTAATAAATATATATAATTAATAATATATAAATATAATGGGCGTTTTGCCCAAACTTTAAGGAGCTTCACAAATAGATCAAGGAGATAATTCATGAATAAGCTAACACTTCGAGTCTACATTATCAACTTTTGTAATTCATAAGATATAAAAATTACGTGCTGAAAACCGTTTTGATCGAATTATAACAGCCAAGCTATGCAAAAATGAAGAATTGCAATACAAAATGTTGAAAGACGAGGAAAATGTGACACAGACGAAATTGACGAAATCAGCTAGTATTGAATATTTATGTATTTGATCCGAAGCCAGGATGAAACCTATATTGTGAAGAGCACAATCAGTTCACCGTTATCAGCAGCTACAATTGATTACAAGAAATATGTGAGATGTTATATAAAATAATAAATTTAAGTGTGTAAAGAAATACAAAGTGCCAATAACAAAAGAAGGTAACAATAAATTAAGTATTTCAGTTACAGATCATGCAAAAATCACGAGTATATGTTTCGACAGAAAGCAAAGATTTCGTAACATTATTTGTAGGTATATTATAATGTTACGTATGTTAGTATTTTCAATATGAATGTGCAATTTGAACTTGATATTAGCGACAGACAGGCGTTCGTCTGACCTTAGGCTTTTTTAGTTTTACAGTGACTGGTTCACATTCTATTGTTTCTTCTATAGTTTGTACAATCATGTTTATGACCCAGTTCAACTTTTTCTTCCTAACATTAAGTACTTCCGTGGAACCCGTGTCAGTCGAAGTACTGTATGAGCTGAGGCTCCTCTCGGCGCTGTCACGTTTGTTGTCTGTTCTTGTTTTTTCTACAATCTCCTCCGGTATAGAGTCTTTTACTTTACGTTTCTGTCAAAACATATAGCATTGTGAATTGCAGGCTGGTTACTTTAGGTACTCATAGTAACATTTACGTCAGTCATCTGTTTCCGCACTGATATATCTATTACTTATTACCTATAATAGTTTACTCAAGAATAATTAAAAATTGTTAAGCAGCTGAAAATAATTAAGAAAAGATGACAAATAAATTATTTTATTCATATACAAATAGTAATCTTAAGTATAAAGTAGGTAGTAAATTTACAAGCTGTTCTAATACAATAGTATTTTTAGTTTATCTTGGTCTTAATTATCCACCAGCATTATATTAGTAAGTTAGTAGTATTAGTAAGTATCTACTTGATAATTGTTACTAACGATTTATTATAGTCTCGGATAGAGTTCCTTTACTCCCGAAATTTAGCTAAAAATACCTATATAATAAGTTATTGCAATTTCGTACAAATAGGTATTAACATACATCCTTACAAAGTAATATAAAAAATTGAGTAAATGATCTTTCTGTACCTATATAGGTATCTATAGGCATCCCCTTGCTTGTTTACTAATGTTTAGGATTTCTCCATCATAATTAGTTATTGTTATATTTTAGTGAATTATGAACTTAGTTGCATTAGTATTTAGTGTATACTTCTAATAATTATTATTACTACTAAGAACGTACTAGTTTCGTCGAGCCAATTAGTTATTTATTTGCCAGAAAATCATGATTAAGTAGAGCACAACACACCAGTGAAATGAAATGAAAGAGAAGTTATATAAAGCTATATATTTTAAGTAGTATCTGCTTATACATAGTCGTTTGGATAATGTTGCAGAAGGTATCTACATCGTCTACACACTGCTCTAAAATCGGTGACAATATTGGAACAGCGGTAGGGTCTGGGGAGACTGTTAGGTTGCTTTCTGGATCGACTCGTGCACGGTCAAATTGTAGGTAATCATTATTTGCCGTTTTATCTATACCCCGGCTATGGTGAAGCTAGGGAGAATAGAGAGAAGCTAGAATGGAATTGCTCTAAAATAGTAACAGATTTTACAGCCTTTATATATATTTGTGTATATGCTTTGATCCTTTTATATGTGAGATTCTTATCCAATATCTCATATACAACTATATTAATTAATCCACATCACAGAATTCGTCATTGCTAAATCTATATTCTGGTTCTGTTATAGACGGATATTATCTTGTTACGTATGTGATCTTGAACAATGTTAATATTTTGTTGTTGTTTATTGCCTACATAGATTATAGGAGTAGCTCACCAACTGTGCAGCAAGGCGGTGCCTGTGTCGAGCCAGTTCCAGAGAGAGAGATCTAGCGGCGAGAGCAAGGCGGCGCGGCCCGGCGCGGTCCCTCGAATCCCGTCCGTACAACTCGGCCGCCTCAGCACCACCGTCACCCACGCCGCTTCCGCCGCAAGCCATCGACTCGCTCAGCGTACGCTTTAGAAGCGAACCCGCGAATCTACATAATGTTAAAAAGTATTTTTTTATATATTTTTGTAATAAATGATAATTCTGGCGTGGGGAGACCGAATCTCACAAATATGACCAACAGTGACAAGAATGGAGGAAAAATCCGGCGTTCTTCTCAGTTTAATTTCCAATTTTGTTGTTAAGTTGTGATGGCTAATAATAGGTGAATCTGTAGCACTGCGACGTTCTTAGACGCCCGACAATAGGTCTATGCAAGTCGCAGTGTGTAAATTTTTTTTTTATGTTTTTGGTATGGAAAACAAGCTGAGGGTCCACCTGATGGTAAGCGTAAACCGACTAATAACTAAATAACTGAGTTTCATTAAATTGCATAAATCTAGTTTTGTAATGCAAATTAGTAGTTTCTTATTATTAGGTGTATATCATGGTAGGCATCATATAGTTATTTCAATTTATGCAAATGCGTAATACTAGGTTGCTCGTGACACCTTACCTTATCACAGCCAAGTCCCGAGAGTCTAGCTCCCGCGTTTTATGTTCCCCGGATTCAGCGTCCACAATAGGATCGTTGAGCCACTGATTGAACTGCTCATATACTTCTTCTAATTCAGACCTGAAAGTATTTATCCCGTAAATAAAAAAAAATAGCTTCCATTAAACTGTAATGTTACTTATTTTTGAAGAGGTTTTCTTTATTTTTTAAGTTTTGCGTTTAGTACACTTTCTTAATATACTTAAACAGGTTTAACACGATTAATTTTATGCTGTATAAAGGTACCTATCACAGATCCTGACAATGGCTAGTGCAATTTTGTCGAAACGTCGAGAGAGGAAAAGGTAAACGTAGTCAAACTTCAATCAGAATGCTATTTATTTTTTTTAAATGTCTTTGACAATGCGCAATAAAATTACTTTACTAAGTGAATAGCGCGGCGAATTAAAAAATAATTTAACATACTTACGTGTATTCTGTACTGAAGCTGTATTTAGAGCTGTTTCCAGTTTCTTTTCTGCCCAACATCCGATGCCTGGGCGACGGTTCACTGATACTTGTTGTTTCTTTTTCTGTTAATACGAAACCTACCGATCCGCCTCTTTTAACTCTGAAATTATATAAAAAGCAAGTATGTGTTGTAGATTAATGTACAGTCAATATGGCATTTAAGCAATACAATGCATGTTATCAATTAATTAGTATTGTGCACATTTTTTTTGTAATTACACGGGCGTACTTTTATTTGTGATCTTGTAATGAACAAGATGTAGGTATTTTGTATACAGGTCCTAATTAATCATACATATATGTATGCTGAATTGCACCAATGAAGCCTGTGCGTCATGTGCTTTTTTCTGTAGGTAACATAGCAGTACACAGATAACACATAGCAGTACAGTACAATTCAATGTCGACAAAAAATAACTCCCGAGTTTAAAATTTAGCTTTTCATAGCTTTTAATTGAAATAATTTAAACACTCGGTGAAGCACAAGCTTTTGATGGCAGAAATAGATGGGACAATTATAGCAATGCAGACAATTTCGTACAATGTCTAGTGGAAAAGGATGGTCATGACATGGATGTATTATGGACGTACAGATGAATGGGATTTGTTTGTGTTAATTTACCTAATATCATTATCGTTTACTTCAGCCCCTGATATACTTATTCCGACCGCATAGCTCGAGCTGTCAGTAGACCAATCGCCAGTGGAACTCGTGGTGCACGAATTCTCGGCTTCCCTTCGTAGCGCTTCTCGCAGTCTGTCTGCGAAGCTTATCCGTCTCTCCTCAGTTGACAACTCTTTAGAATATTGGAATGAATTAGGACGTGCGCTTTCCCCTCTCCCTTCATCTTCGCTACCTGCTGTGGAATATTTTCGTAGTTATTATAAATAATTCTAAACGCACTAAGAAATATTATATATATATACACTAATAAAAGAAGGAGAGAAGGATAGCTGATGTTTTACGAAGAAAGTAAACTCCGGACCCTATTGAAAAACACTATCACTGTTAGATAGGTGTGAAATTCCAGAGATACACAAGCGGATCACATAGGTAGTAATAAAGAACACTAAATATACATAGGTTAGTTATTTAAGAAAACAAAATAATAATCTTGTGGCTGATACCTGTGATATACCAGTCATTAATTAATATCATAATGAATTCATTTCGTGAGATGGATATTTTTTACTTTTATTGAATATTTATTGGCGTATGATATGTTTTACCTACACATAATAGTTAGATATTAGATAGAGATATAAGAAGTACGTATACATAATTTAAAAAGTTGGTGTTAGTTATTAACTATTTATTGTTATATATAAATAGAATTATGGTGATCAGTTTATATTATATATCAAGTATCAACTTACCGTAATCGAAGCTATCATTGGCGCTGTGGTATTCATCATCGCTCGAGTTACAACTAGAGTAGAGACTGTCCTCCTGGGTTTCTAAGTTTGGGTTGCCAGGAGACCTTGTGACTGGGAGACATTCGCCGGACGATCCGAGAACTATGAATCTTCCTCGTCGGTTATTTAAAGTGCTGCCGTCAGGTGACAACCAGCATTTCCTTTTTGTTAGCTCGACACCTATATCGACATTCATATTGAAAGAAAGTAAATTCCAGAGCCTTTTAACTGATTTCAGATTTTTTTATTTGTTTATAGGTACACTTCCAGAGTGATAAAGGCTAATATGCAGATACTTACAAATACAAAACATGCAACGTAATGAAAAATCCACTGAGGACGACTATTTCAATTTAAAATGCAATTCGTGTTTGCATAGTGTTTGCTCTCTCATTATTTTTTTATGTTTAATACGAGGTTATACATTACAGCTTCTGGATTTTTATGATGTATAGATTTACAGAAACGGAGGACCCATTGGATCTAGATGTATGTATATTTAGGTTTTGTCAATTGTAACGGATTTACAATTCACATATCTATAATTTTGCAATTATGTACTACTACTATTTAATAATTGCAACACTCACACGGTTCATGGAAAAAACGGATAGGTATATGTATACTATCCATATATGTATATTACATACGAGCATTTATCCTCTAAATGAAATCAAACAATTGAGAATAGTTTATAACATCGTTAGATAATTAGACCCCATTATATTCAATTGTATGATTGAAAAGAGCTTTATTTACTTGGATCGTTCAAATTGAGAGTGGCTGCGCAGTAGTTCTGCGGGGACGGACTTCTACTGCTGTAGCTGTTGATGGTGCTGCATGATGATGCTTGTTTTATAACCACTGTGGCTTCCACTTCTGGCGGAGTGTGGCTGAAGGACTCTCCTGTATAATACAAATTAACTATATTCATGCGCTGTAAATATTAGTTCTTTCATGTTTGTGTTACAAGGATACAATCTAGGGTCCTTCCAATCTAGGTTTAGTAAGAAATTGTTAAACAAGTAAATTTTTTAAGTGAGTTCATATTAAATTTATATTGAATAAATAAATTTTATATTCGCTGTACTTACATAGCAGATATATAGTTAATTTGTAGTTCTGTAGTTTTTATTTTAATATTTCATATTTGTAAAATCATTTGAAGGATCTTCGTTCAAACTTCTAGACTTTAGACAACATAGATACCAAAAATTTTGCTATTTAACATCGATTAAATAGTCAGGAGTAAAATTACATTGCATTATGACAATAGATATACTTATACCTATAGGTGACAGTCGACGTTCGTGGCGTGGGTTGTCCCGACTTTTCATAGGAGTCTGTTGGAACGCCAGTAGACATTTATTAAGCTCTCGTAATACATTATCCTCTTCCCATTGACCAAGGGGAAGGCTGCTGTAATCTTCTGCATCCATTAAACACACGTTTACCTTCAATGAAAAAATATGTAGGTAGTAGTAAAAAAATTTAGGCCGGAGACGCACAGCCGATATGAAACCTCGGAATCACTCATATTTTATTTATATAGGTGCAGATAATATGCATAAAGTAGGCAGAGAGTCATTTGCATATGGTAACGCCTCACCACACAGTATTTTTTTCAATCTAGCATACAACGTGGAGACGCCTCCAACAGTCGGTCTGTTACGTCGATCCTTTAATTTGCTATTAAGACACAAAAGACTACTCGTGGACAGAAAAATCAAACTTTTATTATATCATGATTTGCACCTTATCTATAATCCAACTACGGTTGTACGGTAAATTATTAAAGCATGTACGTTTGTTATTAGTATTAATATATGTTTGTTACTCGGGCTTTTGTAAGCCTATTAAAAAATAACAATTCTTAGAATTAATTTCACAGTAGTTAAACTTAAATAAATTTATTTATAATAAAAAGATTTCTTGATGATAAGTCTTCTTACCGTTTTGGGTTCACTTAGTAATTCTATATTAGTCTTATGTTTTTTGTCACAAATTCTGCTGAACAATCTAACACCTTCTACTTTCAACACTTCATTATCTTCTAGAGCTTCAACGGATAACATTGCTGGCAATAATTCTGGCATCATGAACATTGACAACGATTCCTGAAAACATAAATATGTAATATACATATATTTACGTCAAATTTACACAAATAATAAAATGTAGAAAGGAATCAAATTATCCTATGGTATAATATAATAGCGTTTATTGCTTCTCCCACTCAAAAATATTTCAAAGTTCGATTTTGGCAGAACGTTGTTAATAATTATTATTCTATTATATTTATCAAATTTTGAATCTCTTTAGTGAAAGCTGGTAAAGTCGGGTATAATGAGCAGCATTTCACAAATTACTTATTTCCACATTGAACGAAAGTCGAAGTAATACATTTTTTAAATTCAATAAAACTTTGTGTACCTTTGTGTACAGAGGAAATATTGTAATATTCGGTTTGGTTGTTAGCAACTGATTCCGAAAAGAAGAATGTTCTTTATTCAACTGCCACCATTCCAAACATTATTAGGATTAACATTATCTATATTGTTTAGGGAAATTAATTTATATGAATGGTTTACCTGTGAGTCTCCGTCAATGAGGATATCTCCACCTACTCTACTGGATGCAAAACAGACTCTAATGGCTTCATCATTTTCACATCGCTCCGGTCGCCCCTCGTGCCTCACCAACAGTTTGCATAACGGTAGCGTACATTCTAGCCAGTCTTCTATCGTAAGCCATTGTTTCGACGTCATCACCTATGTAATATACAATTATCTTGAAATGCCAATTTGCCTCACAACTTTGCATTTGTAAAATGAAAAGGACATTGAATTACCTGTCGGCTTAACTTTATCGTTCCTTCGCTGCTGTTTTTGTCTAGCCATTCAAAATAATGTAGCAAACTTTTTAATTTATTTCTTTGCGATTTTCTGTAATTTGTGCAAATATTTTATTATTTGTCATATTAATAAAATTAGTTGCATTTAATTAGTAGGTATTTTGGTATTTGTATGTAGGTAGATATCGGATTATATGAGATATTTCTTATAATTTTTAATGGATAACACTCGATACAGCAAATAAGCAGATTTCCTACTTTATGAAAAGCGGAGATTAGAGTATAAAATACATTGTTTACTGTGTCGCCCATGACACGATACATCTGAGCAGTCATTTTGCTGGTTCTTTTTGTTATAACATGCAACATAATTAAATATATATATAATACACAAATAAAAAAGTTACCTGTGTAAATTCTTAAAAAAATGCGTAAAATTGAAGTCTTGTAGCGTCGGATGTGTTTTGAGCGTTCTCTTTGGAAAAGTAGAAAAAAAAGCATGAGCAATTAGGGACGATACGAAATTGTGGTCCAGTTCTGTAACATCACCTGTAACAATACAAATAACTATATTTATATTCTTCTTTAAAGACGCTCATACCAGTATACCTACATGGAACTAGAGATATTTTATCTGCCGTTAAGCATTTTTTTGTCTCTAAAAGTTTAACTATTTTATGCAAAAATAATCGTGACAATCAGTTTAGAACGACACAATTAATGTAATTTAATGTATTGTCGAAAACAATATTCTAAAATGTCGGTTGCTTCAAGAGAAGTCGCGAACTTCTCATGAAGCAACCGACATTTTAGAGTAAGTTAAAATTGGCATTATTGTCGTCTTTCGCTTCATTTGTGTACTAGGTATTTAGTTTTGCGTGAGGAAATTCAATAAAATGAATTTAGGTAACATACACAAAGCACGCAACACAATGTGAAATCACTGATAACTCATAATATACTTATATGTACAGGTGTATAAAAGTATAGATATATTTTAAAAGAAACTCTAATAGCAATCGGGACAACCTCAACGATAGAAATTATTCATTTAAATTACATTTTGTTCTGAAAGTTATTAGAGATAAACAAGGTAGACGATGTAAGTAGATAGTCGTCTGCGTCACTTCTGTTATTTCTATTAGGTACAACCGCCAAGTGGCTTAAGACAACGCATCACAAATATTGACATTGTTAGCTCAATACGTATGTATTTAGATTGAAAAGCGAGTTAAACGGAAGGCACAAATAACGTCTTATGAAATTATTTTGATTTGATTAATTATTTTATTTGCACTGAATATGCTAATTTATTAGAAAGTTGGAGATATACATCTTCCTCCAGAAAGGTAAAACATGATAACGATTTGTCATATATAGGTATAATCGACGGTTAACACTTAACAGCAGGTGAGCTGTCAGCTTGTTTGTCACTCCAATTGGTAAGTAAAAAATGAATGATAATTACTTTGTTGTTGTAAACTAAAAACGAGTCCCTTCGGTGGCCGCCACCTCTTCAAATGCAACGCCCGGTTGACCATGATCCTTATCGTATTGTCCAGAAAGTGGCTCCGTTCACTCTCAGTCAGCTCTTCCTCTAAGAATTTCTCCAAGCCTTTCATGAGATCAGGGTCTCTTACATCGTCGTCTGGATCTATTCCTATGCTGTTGGATGTAACGCAAATTTCATATTTAGTTTTAATATTACAGCGATGAAACATTAGACAGCTTGGTTGATGATTATATCTATTAAGTAGTAATTAGGTAGGAATATCTATCCAGCTATTTCTATCCGAGCTATTTTCTGATTATTAAAGGATTTCATTTTACTCCCTCTTCTCTAGCAATTGAGAACATTGTATGGGTTGGTATAGTTTCGATATTTAATTTTAGTCCCTCCTGCGCTACTGATACACCAGCACTGACAAAACACAAGGCACGAAACGATCAAGGCAACATAACCGGATAGGGCCCTCGCTTTATGTAATAAGCTTCAAATTGTAGTATTCACATATTTTAATAGTAAATTATCTTCTAAATGTTAGATTCTTCATGAGGCCAGCTTCTCACTATTCTATTCTAGGGATTCCTTGGCGGCATTATTTTAAATAATCGTTACACCACTAATATACATTGGGGGAGGGAGGGGGGGGGTGTGTTAGTAATGGGGACTATTGACTTTATTGCTAGCAATGTACCATGTCAGATCTACCTCGTCGCGAACCCCGGGAACCGTCATTGATAATTCCTTGTGAATTCGCCACGATGAACTATCGTATACCGTTACCGCAGGTGAGTCCAACCACTATTACGCAATAAACAAAAATATGGTACATTGGAGGCAATGGGACACTGTTACTGTGCATCGTAATTGGAATGGAAATAATCTTAATCTTAATATTGTAAACGAAAGTTTGTGAGTATGAATGTATGTTACTCTTTCACGCAAAAACTGCTGAACGGATTTTGTGGATATTTTACAGTAATATAGCTTATGCATCAGAATAACACAGGCTATATTTTATGTTGAAATTTATATATTTAAATTTAACGCGTATGAAACCGCGGGCACCGCTAGTCGCTATATCATTGTACTTATATAGTGTACTTACTTGCACATATCGTGTATTTTTAGCATGTTTGCAGTGAGTTTGGATGGCGATGATGCCAAAAGTAAATGTTTCAGATGTCTTTGAACTGAAGTCCACCAGGGCAGATCACATGGTAGCATTACCAGCGCCATCCTGAAATATTTTAAACGAAGTTAATTAAATTGTTACATCTACGATTTTTACTTAGACTCTGTACTAAGTTATCTGCATTCACTAATTTCAGCCGCCAAGCAGCTTACTTTGTAAGCTATATTTCGGTTGGAGGGGCAGATAGATATGACTACGAATAAATTACAGGGTATGTGGAGAACACTTTTTAGTCCTCCGGAATGGCAAAACATGAGGTTAACTAGATAGTCACATGATGACGTTATAACAGTAATTTCGTTTATTTACCTACATATTGCTTTCAGAAAAAAAAATCTCTGAGTATTTGCTTCATGTAGATTCAAAATATCGTGTTATGGAAATATAAAATAATGCAAAAATAAAATTATTTATTACGATTTATTTCTGTAGACGATTTTTCGCTGTGTTCCTAGGTGTATGAATTGTTTAGCAAAATATCCAGCGGTTGAGGATAACCGTTGCAAGTTTTGATCCTAACAAACGTAAACATGCAATATTTGTTAGTTTACCTTAATATGTATTACAATGCATTGTTGTGACATAGAATAACGATTTTATTTAATTTATAGTAGATAGTGTAGGGAGTGTATCTTAAAAATGGATACTTGTGTAGCTAATGCTATCAAAGTATCAGGTAGACCTCCACGCGGTCCTCTTTGGAAACCATAGTGGCTAACAACTGGTGCATCCACGGGGATCCTAACAACCTATATCGTTATTATGTAGTATAACATTAGAGAAGTCCTTTATGTAATAAACTCAGACGTATAGTTTGTATGAAAGCAGTGCGCGATCAATATAACCGCGAGATACTTTTAGATCTACAGCAGTTAGCCTATATTATGTAGTCAGATTCATGAACTCAGCTGAGCTGGCAGTGTAAATCTCAGTATTAGATAATATCTACATTTTATTTAAATAGATATAAATCAAATATTGATAATGTAATACCCTTTTGTGGATCGTTCATTTAAGTTTTGTTGGACAACAGTGACAGATAGTTACATACATACAGTGACATTTTGACATTGACATTTCGACCCGGTGTCACATGGTGAACTTGGAACTGTTATTTGTATTTTTGTTTTGATATTTAAATGCACAATTTGCTATTAATATTGTTTTCTTCTTAATGTTTATGTATTTTATTATACTATAATTAGAACTGTAAACATATATTTATAGCATGCCAGTAGTAGTTTCTATAAACTACGCGTGTGTCCACAAATTAAGGTAACTTATCTTACGCTATTTGATAGGATATTGTTTTATTTAACAATACATTTTATCAATTATGTTGATAATAAAATAATCTCGAATGACCTCCACTCATCGATAAAATAGGCAAGCACGACCGAAGTGAAGTGGGTATATTTATAAACACAAACTTTAGACGTATGTGAGTAGCGATCAAAGTTCAATCGGATTGTCCATATTGTTCATCATGACTGTAACTAAGAAATTATTGAAATTATTAATACTTGGAGCTCCAGCATCGGGAAAAGGCACAATATCGTCACGTATAGTGAAGAAGTACAATGTCGCACATGTATCGAGTGGAGATAAGCTGAGGGACCATATAGAAAAACAAACTGATTTAGGCAAAGAAGTAAAGAAATACTTGAACGAAGGGAAACTGGTGCCAGATGATGTTATGATAAAGTTTATGATTACGGAATTAAATATGGTTAAGGATAAAGCTTGGTTGCTAGATGGTTTCCCAAGGACAGTGGCCCAAGCAGATGCACTGTGGAAAGTACAACCAGTAGATGTAGTGCTAAATTTAGTTGTGCCCTTTGAAGTGATAATTGATCGGGTGAAGAATCGCTGGGTGCACTTGCCTTCTGGTAGAGTTTATAATATTGGTTTCAATACACCAAAAGTTGATGGAAAAGATGATGTGACTGGTGAAGACTTAGTTCAAAGACCTGATGATAAGCCAGAAGCTGTTAGAAAGAGACTGGAAATATATGAAAGTGCAACGAGGCCTGTGATAGCATATTATAAAGATAAAAATATTCTCAAAGAGTTTGAAGGGCGCACTTCTGATGAAATATGGCCAAAGGTAACAGCTTATTTAGATCCCATACTAATTAAGTGAATCATTCATTTTGAGATAATAGTTTTATCTTTGTAAAGACTAGGATTGGTGCTGCTGATAATTCTTAATTAATAAGTACTCCTTACCTAGTACCTAAGTAAAGTATAATACATTTTATAAAATATATTTTGAATTTTTATATTATATACATTTTTAGAAACTTGTTATGTATTTGAAATGATTTTATATGATATACATTGTTGGAAGTATGTTGTATATTTGTAATGTTTTTAAACCTATAGTAACCCTTAAATATTTAAATTTGCATTATGTTTTTTTTATTTGAATGTGAATACATCTGGAAATTTACTTTTCTATCTGTTTTAAATTAGCAAATTTTAAATTTTTTATTCAGTTTTGAAAGGAGGTTAAATTTATTTCTATCATTGATTATTATGTGATATCTGAATCTAATGTAGTAATTATTTCATTTACAGGGATTTTTATTAATCGATTTTATTTTGTGTTCATCCCAAACTAAGTTTATCTAATATATTTATTAGTTTAGAAAAATATTTAAAAGCATCAAATGTTATAAGTAGTTTTTAGATTGTATAACAGAAATTAGCACCAACAGGTTTATAAAGAAGTAAAAATTATGATTTAAATTTCATATTGATGTTTCACCATTATTGGTAATTTTCCAATATAGTCAACAGAAGCACAATATATTAAACATTAGTAATATTTAGTGCCTTTGTATGGCTACAATATTATTAGATAGCCATGTAGTCATGTAGGTAATTTAGATTTAAAAAAATATATGAAGTTAATAAATTAAGTGAAGTATTGTTCTGTTGCTAAGCTCAAATGATTTTATATTACCATATTAAATGTTATATAATAGTTTTATATATCCTTAATAGATTTTATGATTTTGTATGCTATAATAAATTATCATTATTGTTATATGTAGTTTGATTTAATTAATTAACTACAACTACCAAACCTTTTTTATAAACACGAAAAAAACTAGATTTAAATTGTGGACTGAAATGAAATAAATTCTTTAATGTAAATCACAGGAACTTATTTAAAGTATTATAGAATTTGTTCGAATAAGAGGGGAGCCCTCTTTCACACTTTCGTTCAGATTATGATGGCAAATATATTACAAATTATTCCTTCCCCTCCAATCTTTTTAATTAATAAATGAATGTAACTTTTATACAGTGATTAATGTTATATTAATTTAACATTTTTTGTTTTTTTTATAAAGTGTTATAATGTTGTCTTTTGAAGTAACGTATTGACATTATTTATCACCGTATTTTAGCTTTTATTTAGTTAGTCATCTGATTGTCTATTAATTCATACGGCGTTTGCCTCTGCATAGTTACTTAGTACTTTTTTAAATTTAGTTATTCAATGGATTATCTGCGTTACGAAACAGTACAACAGGTTCGGCCGCGTGAGCGCGCCTGCCCTCCATTCCAAATACTGCATGTTTGCCAAATACCACCTCACTACTACCGTATCTTCCGTACTCACGTGTCAGTCACATACTCTACTCACGTGTATGCCAAATATTTATTCGCTTAGCATAACTTTTATGTCCTCAGAAATAGTAATATATTACCCAGGATAATTCACACAGCGCTCCAGCAGTAGTAAGCAGAGCATGTACAATGGTTACTAAACCATTGCAAGAAATATTAATGTATTATTTTTCTAAAATACATACGTAAGATTTTCTAATCAGACCAATACAAACAATCATACTTATGAATATGTATAAATGTTTGTGTCGTGCGTGGTAGGTATCGAACCCGGGATTATGGGAAGTAAGGTGGTGCGCTGAAGCGCTACACCACCTTATACCAATACTAGGTTCAAACGCGATTCTTTTTTAAGGTATATACGCAGTTTATTAATTACATCTTGTAGTGAACCAATACGGCAATTTTCGTAAAGGGTATACGGATAGACAGTACCTACTATTTATGACAGGAATCTAATTTCTCCAAGACGTAAACTAAAAAATTGAAAATATATTTGAAATGAGAGTTTGTATAAAGGTATACCAACTTTCGCTCACGTGGTAAACTACAGAAATTTCCAATTTATTTTTAAATTACGATTTTATTTCTTGGCGACAATAGTTTCAAGTTTTTTTTTTATGTATATCTAGCTTATGCTTAGTTTTCACTTTACAACTATTTAATTACATTACAATAACTTAAAAGTATCACGTTTCGCGATGGAGCGGCCAAACATAATAAAGTTGTCATAATATTTATATATCAATCGGTAATGAGATTAGCTAGAGGCATAAGTGATACCATAAATGTCCTTACAGCTATACTCCTAGGTGTGGTATTGTCAACTATCCACAAGTTGCTAAACGAAACACTCGCATCGTAGCGTAATTTAAGTATTTTAATTTAACAAGGCAATGTACTGAATCCAATATAAATCTTATAGATACATTTCGTATTATCGAATGTTTGTTTTAAATTAACAGTTATCGACTTTAAATAAATTAAAAAAGATCTTAAAATGCATAGATTAACAGAATTATTTTATTTGTTATATTTTATTATAAACTAGGAAAGTTTTGTGTTATTATAAAAAAGTAGTATTAAAACGTATACAAGGTTCTCTTTGTTTTATGCTATATATTAACTATTCCTACTTAAAATGTAAAAGTTTTGTAAGTTTATACACTTGCGTGTAATGCTGCCAAGTCGTTCACATACAAGTGTACAAGCGTGTCATGTGAATGACCGGTGACTCGCGATTCAAAAACATTCTGTCATATTTATTACGGTAATCATATCAAACCTCATTTTCACTTTTTTGTGACCTGATTTAAAAAAAAATCTACATTATATTATTAGAGTCGCAGGAACGCTCGCGGTTTCCCGCCAAATCCGGTATCTCTAATGCCCACTAGAATTTTCTTAGAAATCAGTCGGCAGCGTGTCACAGGGATATAGGGCAGGAATACTTCTTATTACTGAAATATATTTTTCTTCAATTTGGCAAAATTATCAATGACATCCATTTACCGAAATTTACCGAAAAATTGAAATATAGACACACAATAACTCATGAAAATTCACATAAAAAAATATCGACCAAAAGAACATCAATTGTTTTTTTCTGGATTTGGAAGAAATTATAACTCAATTCTAACTTGACACAAAAAATAGCCTAATTATTGACCCATATGCAGCTTAATTTAAGAGTACAAATATGCTATAAATTTTGATTAAAGCTACTAGTTTTTACGTGAAACAAGTAAACAGCCAGAAAGTAAACAAAGATTTTACAGTTTCAGTATTGAATGTAAAGTAACCAACTGAATTAACCGCATACGATTTAATTAAAAAATTGTAGTAGGTATTCAATAAAAAGTAGGTAAGGTCTGTACCCAATAGAAGATATTCAGCATCACGTAAATCTTTACGGCTGAACTTCATCTATGTATATGGCACAATACAGTGGATTTTAGTGAGAAAAGGACTGTGGTGAATGTTAAATAGACTCTAATTTTATTATAAAGTATCTGAAATCTTTTTCTTCAAAATCGCTAGCGCTACCCGTAATGCAGAAATATTATCTTAGATGGGACAGAAAGAAATTTTTCTGTATTATAATTTTATCTTTTTACTGTATTATTAAATAAATTTTATATATTATTTTTGGCATGTTGGTTGCTTTTAGAAATATTATTTTGTTGTACGAAACGCTGTCTGACTATTGTCGGTGGTCTAGCGGTTTCGCACACCGCTTTACTTTATTATGATCGTTAGTCGTTTACGTAGAGTAAACGACAATATATACTGGCTTTTTACATGTTCACGTTCATGTTATGTTTATCTAATTACTGTAATTAGATAACTTATTTTAATCTGCCCTGGAAATTACAACTTTTGTTAAGTACCGCACAGCTCTTGTTGGTATCAAATAATATTCAGAGATGTCTGAGGGAAATTTTATTTAACTAAAATATAAAGCTGAAGAAAACAAAATGTTCAAACACACAATATATTTATTGTTATTCTGTATACACTGTGATACCTATAGAAGTAATATGTACTGAATTAAGGTAACAAAAACATACGAATACTCACTTTTCCGAATGTTGCGCTGTAATGTAGGAAGCACAAATTTAAAACACTATTTAGAACGACATGAGAGTCAGTGTCGCGTTGCGACAATGGGCTTCTTTTTACGCACTTTTCTCATTGTCCACACAGAAATCGTCCACAAATCTTAGTTTTCATGTAGATATCTTATAGCTTTCCTACGGACAGAAATAGTGTATTGAGTGAAAAGGCGCACCGGCTGCGGGCGAGACGCGAGCGCGCGAACCCCAGTTATTTTTAGCTGTGTTCGTGTATCGCCGCTGAAATTAGATTGTAAATAAAAAGTTTAACAAGAGTCGTAGGCCCCATAACCTAACTTGTAGGTCATTCCCTAATATCAGAATATACTCTATTTGTAAACTTTACCATGCGGATCGTATCAACTTTTCCCAATATATGTTTATGATTCGTTATTAATTTAACAAAATATAACAACAGCTACAATTTCATGGTCGCTGTAACTGGGTTATATCTATTTATACAGCTCGTATATTGACTCATATTTGTACATACTTTCTGCATTATCATTTTCAAATGTCTGTCACCAAGGAAAATTATGTAGCAAATTTGAATTCATTTAATAATTTATACCTAATCGTGAGCGGCTGCCATTTCTTCCGGTCCACTAGTTTTATCCACTATAACTTATCAATATGTTAATATATTGAGTTGAATCGACACATTTGTTTCGGAACATTCAAAATATAACCGCACGTAAGGTACTACACGACGGAAACTTTTAACAACTTTACGACTATCTCAGTTTAGAGCCTGAGAGTCTCGTCAAGTTTAGAAGCCGAGGTTGTCGTAAATTCAGCGAGGATAGTGGTTGGTGTATAGGGTTTGAGGTTAACTATCGAATGGTGGACGAGAAGTGAAGCGCGCGTACCGGCTGGCGCGCCAGGCGATACTGACTGACGCCGTACAGCCGACTTTCACTGGGGGGCATCTACCCTTGCCCTATCGGCTGTGCACCCTCCACCCTAGCGAGTGACGTCACTCGCGCGTCGCGTCACGACCTACGACGCCGTACAACGCGACGCCGCCGCCCAAGGCTCGATACCCACTCCCTAATAACAAGTCGTGAAATGTCGCTGGGGTTACTCCCAGCGTGTTACGTAAAGTGAAATATGGTACCTACCAATAGTTTGCGTCAGCACACGACGTCATTTCCATACGGTTAAGGTTCTACTGTCTACCTTTTGGAGGTCTCTTAGAGTACATATGTTTGTCCATAACCTTTTGAACGGTAGTACCTACCAATATCCGAATTATAATAGTAGTATTCATAAAGAGAAGAATAATACTTAAATGTTTGTCGACTGACTAGAAACTATCAATAAGACAAACAGACTATATCGAAGTTTGTTTAAGGTATTTACAAAAATCCGATCTCTATATTTTAAGTTAAATAACAGCTCGGACCAACTTGTACAACCGTCACTTGTAGAATGAAAAGCTGTCTAAACTTAGAACAATATATTTTAGATTTAATTAAATACTCGCCTTAATAATAAAATTATTTGTATTAATAATAAAAAACTGGTATTGGTGTTTCTTTAAAAAAAATTAAAAAATATACATTTTGAAAAAATATGTAAGTAATCAACTTTTAAATGTGCATTTAATTTAAGATTGTTTTTAAACCATCTGTTATATTTTGCATCTCTTTCTCATACCAACAAACTTTTACAATATTAAATAGGTACATGTAGACTTTCTTACATAAAAGAAACTTTATTCTCATTTCATCAGCAAACGGATAATAATAATTGCATTTGATATATGGATATACTGATTTCATAGAATAAATATTATATGTATTAATATTTAATCTGCTGATAGCGACCGATATCCGTGGAATCAAGTGACACGTTAAACATAAAATTTAGTAAACCTACCTCAGTCCCTATTTTCTATTACTGTATGCTGATTTCAAAAATATATTATATTCTTGTTGCTAATAGAAAGACAGAAACATGTCACGAAACGTATTTAATTATAATCTTAGATGTCTAATTGACACAGTGACAATTTTATCTTAATTTAAGCACATTTATTAGATCTCTAAAATATGATATACGATTGTAATAACCTTTATATAAAGCTGCAATGATTATATTTATCTGTATTATTGTCTCTCTATCTATTTCATCAAGTTATGACGTCAAACGCGCCAGGACTCTATATTATTATAGGTGTCTATAGTAGCAGTACGCTTACATCCACGATAATGTCGGCGCGCATGCGTATTTGTCGTATATTTGGTTATCTCTTTCTAATATGGGATAAAAGCTTTTCCACATAATAATAATATTGAAGCTCTTTCTAGAACTGATGTCCTAGTAGCAGCGACGCCCGTGGAAAATTGTTGCCGCCCTACAAAGCAATATAGGGCGGTTTAGGGCGGAGCGCCTTACCAAGTCTTTGTGATTACTTAAGTTATAAGAAGCTGAGATAAGATTTCACAGATTTGTACGTTAAAATACATATCAATGTCATTTCAATACGCTTGTATCATATTGAAAAAATAGTATGGGAAAACACTGGCAAATACCTTAAGTACACCTTATTCATAAAACGTAAAGCGTTCTAAAAATACATTTTAACTATTGGAGTCGTTTGTTACTTTCTTTTAAATTTTGTAAATATTTTGATAAAAAGGTTCTATACCACAAATTTTATTAAATAGCTATTTGAAGTTCTTACAAAGTACTATAATGGTAAGAGTCTTCAAAATCAGTTCAGGATTGGTACAGACATCGAGTAACAAAACAGATAAATACATGCGTGTTACACAGATAAAATTTCCTTTTTGGATGTCTGATCGTGTTCAAAATCCTTGTTATGTGTATAATTATACTTCGTGCTTTAAACCATAATTTATTAATTTACTACTTGCAGTCATTATACACAGGACTTTGTGTGGTAAAAAATATTGATACAACCATATATACACTTACGGGTATAATGTGTAATCGTGTGTATATTTTAAATTAGGTGGCTTACTTTGTCTTAATTAGTTTCTTTAACATTTAATTAAAATTCTAGGAATAGAAAAAACACTAGAGCTTTTTAAATTATTTTACTAAAGTATAATTAAATCGCGTAACAAATCAAAGGGTAGATAAGTCGTTTGAATATAAAGTATGTAGGTATGTCTAGTTCAAATTGTATTTCGAATTATTGAGCTAAGAAGCTTCAATTCTATATTTAGATCTACAATACCGACCGAAATAGGTCGGTATTGTAGATCTTTTAAGTTTATTTCTTCAAACATTTTAATTAATGAATTGATATTTAGTATATTAATTTTATCTAAGAACGGACTGGTAATTAATGTGTAACCTTCTAATTTCAGTAAGTGTATAGACACATAAATAGAATGCTTTTAATTGTGATTATTTTTGTATTATTTTGAATCTAGTAGAAGCTACTCTGTATGAAATTTTAACTATTTCGTAGTTTATGGAAACCTGGTGACTCTGCAACGTGATGTCGAGTCAGTGCCGGCCCCAAAACTGTATTCCCGCCCCGGGGCGGAGTGTAATCCTACTACTACCTACTTCAGGATAAATTGATAAGCTATCACCACTCTTATGGAAACAAACTAACGACCCTTTTTAGATGGACTTGATAACATAAAATATCCACCGTCCACCTGGAGTATAGTACCTGTCACGACGAATATTTTTTCAAATAGTCGTCGGCGCTAACCCTCCATATAAGAATAAATAGAAAAGTCAGTCTGTGTTTAATATTAGAATAAACTTTGCGTGTGTTTGTGTCTATACTCGAAATCTATTTTAATATATAGACTTGATTTTAATATTTTAATAGGGGGAGATATTTATTTACGTAGTCATAAAGCTTCTTCAACTTTTTTTTTAAAGTTACTGCAACTATGATTCTCGTTTATATTTTCAATTTATTGAATTCCGGCGAGGTGTGTGTGCTTGTGCATATTTATAAATCTAATTATAAATTGTTTTAAGGACAGTAAAATACTTTTGCAAGTCTAGTTCGTCTTTTTATTATCTATATGTTTGGTTATCTTTATATAGTTGTTATTGGTATGTAGGTACTTGGTAAGTATCAGTAACAATTATTCTACATTGCATCCTATACTATCCTGCTACCCTGGTAAAATCGACCTCTGATGCGGACACCAGATGAATCCTTGAGTTTAAAGGTCACGTTAAATGTCAAAGGTATCCTCCATCCAATTTTTTTTACTATTTTAATAGTATCAAGTGTTTTTATACCACGATTATAGCGGTTTGAAAAAGTTATTTTTTAATATTGTGGTATATCAGATATGTAGAGATTTTCGAAGTAGTATTAGAAAGTTATACCTATGTTAGTTATTCATAAAGATTTACGTACTTGGTTTTATAATCATTGTTGTGCAATATTTCGCTTCAAGTAATTAAAAAGTATATTTTTTAGATGTCAAGACAAACATTTAATATAGAATAACTCTTACTTTAACTTACTGCTGTGATAAAGTTAAAGAAAATAATTGTGTGCAGTAGGTACAATATTTTTGTAATGACTAATTATGGGTACCTAGTATCAAAATTTTATTAGTAGGTATATGTAGATGAAACTTTTATACATTATTGGTTGTAACGCTAAGAAGAATAATGAATAATTTATTAGGACATTTTTATCCTCTTGCTTATTGTAATAAATTGTTATTACGTCAATGTCACAGATGTGCTTGCCTGGATTCTACTTGGATTAGTGCGAGAAATGATAAAATATTGGCTTAATTTTCGTGTTTATACCGAAATAGACTTTTGTTTAATTATGAAAATTGATCTTTAATATTTATAAAATTGTTAGGGGCCAATGAGCTCTCATGCGTCTAGTAATGTAAACTTCATTGCGTTGTCTTTACATGATAATGAGTTATCGTGATACGCACAAAAAAATTTAAATGTAGAATAATAGATTGTCTGTTCTATAATTCTATATTAAAATAGTTTTTTATTAGAACAAGTTACCTAGAACTCTATAATTGGAGATTAAAGTCAAGTGTAAACTAAGAGTAAACTATGATTCATTTGAATACATAAGACTTTTACTGTTTTCTGAGACTTGTATATTCTATTTTCATGATAAAGATGATCCTATGGAAAGTTTATTGAAACGACCCTACGACTCTACGAAAATGACTATATGTAACACAACTGTGCAGCGGTTCAGCACACTTCCTCATTTTCTATTTTCGCGGTTGTGTGAAGATTCACACATACACGTATTAGTCTGAGTCTTTTTCTATATAATATATTCTTTAACAGATCCATTCTGATATTTGTTTTTAAGCACCTACTTACATTAAGAAGTTTTGCTTTGTTAAGCATACAATGACACTCTAGGGTAACGTCGAATAAGCCTACATATAAAGATCACTTTTAAGGCTATAATAAATAGAATTCACATTTGTGTGAATAAATATACGCTTTCCAAGCACACTCGTGGTAGTTCTACTGTAGCTGTGCCTAGAGTTCATTTGTGACACGTCAGCGTTTGCATGTGACCCTTGCTACCAGGACATTATAAAAAAAATGGAGTCTAAACCACCCCTTGCGCAGCTCAACAGTAAAATATTACTGAGGGCGTCACCCTCAGTGGAGTGAGAGTGAGCGAGACTTACAGTGTATAATACTGAGTATGTGATCACTGTCTTAGTGTGGGTTTATTGACCAATACAAATGAAATAGATATGTGAACAATATTGTCATATAATATGTACATACACTATTTGAATTTAGAATATTTTGCTTGAGTTTAGGCGTGAAATTAAAATAGCCATTAAAATTGTTAAGAACTTTCTAAATAAAGATTTTCTAAAGTTTTAGTTTTTTTGCTATGAATTGCTAGTTTATAATAAATTTTTATACAAACATTACTTTTGCTATCTTATTCTTAAATAATTAAAATACATATTCAGTTTCTCCCCAGTTAAGCGCTGTTTTTTGAAAAATTAAAAAAAAATATGATATTTGGAATAGGTGTAAAATTCACCATAATCTAAGTTTCATAAAAGACATTACTATTATCACTGATTAGCAATTGAAGCAACCTATTTGTTGCAAAAAAAATTCAAAATCATCAAGATGTAGGTTAACGTAAATATATTTACACAATTTCTTTTATAAGTCGATAGAAAATATTATTTATAGAAACCGTTTCTTTACAAGTTTCCAACAAAATGGCGTCCATGGAATTGCTTGCCTTAACTTTTACTAGGAATACTAAGTCGAGTGGAGGTTGCTTTTTCCATTTGGTGCTACACACTTAACTCCGTAGACCTCGATGCTACGAATATTTGGAGGCTACGTACGTTCTTAGTTTACAGTAAAGTCATTGCTTTATGAGAAATTTTTTAATAAATTATAGATTTCTTCAATTACTTACTTGTATTAATAATTTAGTTAGATTAACTGAACATGTAAACTATCAATCATAACTAAAATGTCAAAACGATCTAATTTATTATTTTATTTCATAACTTAAGATATAAACAAAAAAAAAAATAAGAGCTTACTAGTAGCAAAATGAGCAAATTTTGCGCATTATAGTCTAGCTTATATTTTTGCATCGTATTCTTGATATTTAATAACCGTTTCATGATATTTTTAGAATAATCCTAATTTTGTAGTCATAATGGTTCTCGAAAAGGTATATTTGTTTATTAAAATTTTCCTTCTTCGTAAATTATTCGCGCGTAGATTATATGAAATTATTTTGCTTTGAGCAGACAAATGGAATATAAACATATTTACATATTCAAATGTCGCGACGTATTCACTTTCCGTTTAAAGGTAATAAATTCTCATGGATCGTGTTATCCCACATACAATAATAACCCTCCCTACTATTTCGCGAGTGACGTCACTGCGCTACTACACACCCTTCACACAAGTTCGTAACCGATAGTTACGGAAAACTATTCACACCTACTGTGTGTCATGCCTCCCTGTTGGTTGCAACTAGTATTCACGTGGCACCGACTATGGTTACCACGGCAGCGTGTTAAACGCAACGACTCTTGTTACAATATGGAGTCCTGGTATCTTCGTAGTCTGGGCGTTACGTCACCATGGAAATTTAACGGTTCGTAGCCGGGGTAAGGTTTCGTAGCGACTAACTGAGAGATTCGTAGTAGCATACTTTGTTACATTATTATTTTAGACAGGCGTGGACGTGGACCAGTTGTGTTTTTTGATGCAAGAATTATATAATTCAGTTTTGAATACAAATGACAAGTTTTGAAAACTTATGTTTTGAAGAATTTTATTGTTGTTTTGTTACTTATTAAAAATAAGCGCAGGCTTTTAACTAGGTATGTGGTTTAAAAAAATGCTGATAAACAAACAAACTAGTGGCAAACGAATTTTCATGTTTTTAGAATAAATGAAATAAATTTTTACTACATCTGACTATATCTGACATATATAGATGCAATGTTTTTTTTACGACTGCCTCTAATACTTAAAACATATCTTTAATCGTCTACCAACCTTAATTCAAATATTTAAAGGTTTTGTCATTTTCCTTTTAACAGGTAAACAAAATACAGTACTAAATAAAGTTAAAGTGGGTTTGTGGAGTATTACAAATAATTAAGTCTCAATTTCTTCATTTTTATTAATAGATTGATAAGACACAGAACTGTTACGACGCGACTTCATGTTTGTAAATATACATATCTCTTGTTAAACTTACTTATTAAGGTAACAACAACAACAATGTATATATGTTAGCAAAGAAATTACATGTTCTAATAATTATTAGTACCTTGTAATAATACAGTACTTGCCTAATAACATACATGTCGTCCGCCCGCTTTTAATTTGTTTCTGAATATTGTTCGTTTTTACTCTGATCTTTTTCTGGACTCCTTTGGATGGGAGCTTATTGTTAAATAGTCTTGAAAGTTCCTTAAGAATTGGAGCTATCATATGCAAAAATATGTATATCTCAAATTCGCCAGGTAATGTAATCAGCACATTCAAACGAGCAACTTCTTCAGCTGTAGCATAGGTATGAGTAAATGCAAATGGTAATAGTGTGTTGGTATTTTATCTACACAGTCTTAAAAGTAATGTTAACTTCGTCTATTGTCTGTAATCCTGGTACAGAAAACCACAAAGCCTGCGGGGCAGTCGCCATCGGAATTTTCTAAAGAAAGTCACATTACATGTCTGTCTAGTTGCCACTAGTAAATTAAAAGAGAATTTAAACGAATATTTGCTCATGAAGTTTAAATTTAATTTTTTATGATGATTTACACTATAATAATCCAATATTATATATAGAATAATATGTTGCTTGTAGAGAGAATATATAATCATTATATGTTCTCTCTTGAAGCATTTTACATTCTACTATAAATAATATTTTTTATACTATTTGACTTATACTTCGAATTTCATTTCAGTATTAACATATAAATAACATTTTAAATATATTACCATAGAGTATATATATATTCTATGGTACATATTGTGCATCGCTTCTGTACCCTCAATCTTCAAATCTTCAACCGAAACAGATCTTACAAAATCAGGTGTTGAAACAGGTACGCTCGAGAGGTGGACCATCAAGTCTACCTCGGTCTATAATTATAATTATTTGTAGAAATGTTTCTTAGATTTACGTTTCTGTGATTTTACGATACGTAAACACCAAGCTCTCATACATTATTAGAGATATGTAAGGCACGACCAAATCTAGACTTTACTATTTCATATAACAGTTGTTATATGATATCCCAGTATTTAAGTACATAAAATACTAACCCAATAAAATTGAAACCTTGATAAACATACCTAGTACTTTCTCTTGCTAGTAAATGCGTTTTAGTTCAGGTCGAACCAATAATTGTATTAAAAGCGTTCATTGTTTATGACTGGCAATGTCTGCATTATCAAAAATACTGAAAAATGTTCTATATTGTGCAAATTAAATTTAATATTTCGGTCTATAATCTTCACCGAGCTTTTTCTAAAATTATCTTTTGTTTTTTTAGATGTACATTATATTACTGAAGAATATCTTACAATTTAAAATAGAATAGATAGACAATAGTTTAGTTATGGAAGAATGCATATGTATGAATAATATTATTTTTGCATAAATAAAATATATACAATGAATACAAATTATCTGAACTTTATAATAAGTTCAATAGACCTATGTAGGTAAAATACATACACATCTGTACATCTATTATCAACTTATATTACTACATATAATTGCCATATATTAATCTCTATTCTACGGTAGGTATTCAATAAATAATGTGGAACTACAGAGTAGAACGTTTACACTTTATCATAGTTCTATTAGTTTCAATATATTGGAAGAGTTTAGTAACTTTTATAATATTGTACGTAGGCTATGGTTGCGTAACGCGCTGCCGCGCTATGACTTTTGTAGCAATGCAAAATGCTACGACAAAGGGACAAAGGCATACGCTTTCCGAATCATGAAATTATTATTTTTTCATGTGTATTATTATTTATCAATAGATATGTAGGTATTTCTGTATATTATATATCTCTATATATTTATAAGAACTGTACATATGTGTGTATTTCTAACAATTGTCTAGTAGGTACCCATAGTAAAAGTACAGCTTAATATGAAATAAAAAAAATAAGGCTGTGTGAATTATCCTCGGTAATTCTAATTATATTATTAGTAGATATTAAGTATATCTACGATATGACACAGTAAAGATTAGTAGTTAATTCTGTTTTTTTTATGTGTGTGAAGGAAGTTACTATACGTTTTCAATTTCGTACATGCTAATGTGTAATTAATTAATTAGAGAGATACGTATAGTAACAGTTTTATACAAGTTAAATAAACGTCAAGTTTATTGTATTAATATTTTCGTCCCTACTGTCCGGTTTAGTCTACAGTTATATATAATATACTATATAACGTCATATATGATTATATACCTAGGCATATTTAAAAACAGAAATATGTGTTAGAAATAAACGTGTATAACTTGCATAACAAGGACGTTATTTAAAGTATTTTAAATCGATCTTGTAATTTGTTTTTTTTTTTGTTTCTAAGACTTTCTGTCCTTTATTTATTGGGAAAATAAATCCACATTGCATATTAGAAAGAATACGCGTTAAATTATTTAAAATAAAATTACTATTGCTTATAACAGATTACCATAATTGGATTTATTGCATTGAGTCTTAAAATGGCAATCCCATCGTATAATAACACAAAACAGAGAATAGAAACATATGTAAAAGTACAATGCACTATACAGTCCTATCGGAAAAATCAATAAGTTTAACTAACACAGCGTGTGTCTAGCGCTATCGGTCGATATGTAACCCCTAGTGACGTCATTGCTTTGTATTGATTTTTTGCACCCTACGTCCTGTTATTTCTGTTATCCTGGCATCTAAGTATGCTAAGGAAAGCGTTTGTCAGAAGAGGAAAACTTGAGAAGCCACTGGAAAATTCCAAAGACATTTCTGTGCACTGCAACAAGAAAATATTGAAAGAAAATTTGTTTAAAGTAAGATTTAGATAAATGGTTTTCTTTATCAGTACCTAAGTTACATTATAGTATCGGTAGTCTGTATTAGAGTGCAATTGCACGTAGCCCCCCACACAGTTGCGTCGCGTCGGTAATATTTGTCACGGAAGCATTCCCGCATAACGAGTAAATTACCAGCACTGTGGCATCCGTGAGACATCGTCAGTTGACTGTGGATTATTTGGGAGCTCGCCCACGTGTCCCACAGAGTGCGCCTCCATTGTATCCGCCGGTTAATCTGCACGATACCTCCTCCAAAGTATAGTCGCCTGGTACTGCCGGTTGAGTTTATCCGAAACGTTTATCCGATTATATCCGGGTTATCTCGGTCGGTTAATCCATAATGAGTTACTACGATCTACTAACGATTTCGCTTTGCGTGGGCTTTGTACAGTGTTATAATTATAATCAGAATAGCTATTATTATGAAAATCACAAATATTGTGACGACCTATCGCCGTATTACGGTGATATTAATTTAGATCAGATATCCGGTGTATGGTACGGTGTAGAAAAAATTCCACATTCAAAAGGAGAATATAAAATAGAGCATACACAGGAGTGCTTCTATATTGATATTAAGGAACTTTATATACAGGTTTGTTATCATTATGTACATTTATAAATATATTTAATCCGTTTATTTAAAAAACCGTTAAGTTATGACAGTCAAAAATAAAATATGAGAAGACCGATAAATTATTTTAGTAAATTAATCAGTAATAAATATTTTGATACTGAAAACTTTTATGTTATGAATATGTAATTAATACTTATAGGTAGTTTAATATTATAATTGTAAAAAATACAAAATATGCATGTCTATGTGATATGCAATACAATGCCTCCGTCATTATCTATAATTCTCTTATCTGTGCCTACACTAAAAGTCGTAATATAATATAATGTAATTTATATATAATTCCGTTTACAATTAGTTTCTTATAACTGTACTAAATATTTTTTGAATTAATTCGGGCTATAAATAGATTTGCTTAGTTAATACGACTAAAATAAATGATATTTTAGTCTATCCGTAAATTAGAGTTATATAAGATATCATAATCAGATTATATTACACTATATAACTATCTCTACAGATACGAACAAACAAAAACAATAAGCAAATATCATTTTAATGTGTTTGAGTACCAAACTGAAAAAAAATTGATATTGTTCCATAAGTCCTTATTAGTCCATAAGTCCTTATGCAGTTCTACTATTGGTTCTGTTTTATAATTTTTAATTCTCTACATAATTCACCTTTGATCTGATAATAATAGATCTCAGATAGACTCTCCTTGATACCAGCATACCTGCTCATGTCTTATTGTTAAATAGAAACCTTAATTAGTTAAGGGTTGTCTCAAGATGGATGGTCTTTCCGAATGAACAGAATGAATTTTGGTTATCCAAATGTTGTACAAAATTTTCTCAACGGCAATATTTGAAGATCTGAATTAATGTGACTCATAGACAATAGAATAGACATATCTTTACAGACCCATACAGGATATAGAGTCACTGTGTTAATTAAGGTTAATTGTGTTAAAACTAGTGGTAGGGGAGGCATAGTGAACCCAATTATGCATTAGTCTTTACTCCACTGAGTAGATACAAATGATCAAGTGAACTTATTAAATAAAATCATGAGTTCATTGACCTTAATTTTTGGGTTTTATATTTCATTGACATGTGCGTACAATGTAAATTTTTGTCCTAACTTAAATGCGGTTCACGACTTCGACGAAGAAGGCTTGTTGGGAATGTGGTATATAAGAGAATACATATTTCATAAGGAGAACGTTACGAAAACCGAGTACAATCCGTACTGTCCCACTATTCAAATACGGAAATTTGAAGATTATGTAAATGGAGGGCTGCTGAATAGAAATTTAGTGAGTGATTTGTTAGTGGTAAATTGATTTTGACATTCGCTAGATTTCTGTAAAGTTTTCAATTTACACAAGTGTAAACAATAAAATATATTTGGAATTATATAATTTATTTATTATGTAATATCATGTTTAATTTGTTTTACAATTAACTAAAATATATGAAAGCATTTATACATAATTCATAACCCTGTTATTTTCCACTGTTGCAGCATTACAAGTGCACTTCGTGCATTACAAAATGTACCCATTCTACATACTCAAACATTGATTTATTTTATTATATTTATTTATATTCTAGCCTACACCGCCGACACCGTACCCAACATTGACGAATATGCCGTACGTGAATCATCAGTATGGACTACAGGAGCAGTACCGCATTAGGCATTTTGTCCTTGAATGGCATGAGGGACTTTGGCAAGACGACTATCACATCAAGGTTAATACATCTCACAAAGGATTCTGGCCTACTGACGTGCCAAGTGGAAGTAAGTCTACATAAGATATGCATCATACATGTCACCATTTATTCCCAACAAAATATAGTGTATATTTTGTTTTGAACATATTGCGTAGCATAATATCTATCAATTCCATAATTTTGAAATGCAATGGGTTCAGCACGTGTCTTCTGCTTAATCCTTTTAGAAATAAAATTATTGACTCAATTTATCATTTTTATGTATGTGTAATGTGTGTGTATAATATCATAAAATATATGTACGTTATAACAACCAAAAAGCAACATAATTCAATAGAATATATACATATTTATATTGATAATAATATACATATAAAGAACTAGCGACCCGTCTAGGCATCGCACGGGTTCATCATCTGGGATCTTTGAAATTCAAATCGTCTTCTTAAATCACTTTAGATATTGCTGTAAACTGCATTAAACTCTATTTGCGCAATTTAAACAATCTAAATGAAGGAGACTTTTTTTCCGTCGTTCATGGCCACCAGTCTGCTATCAACAGTTACATACAAAAATATAGCCAAACTGGACCTCTACGATAAATTCTGACCGATAATAACAAACTGAACTGTATACAAAATCTCTTTAGGTATATATTAATAACTCTAATGCACGCAGTACAAAAAGCAATTGTACCTTTGGCGGATAACAATAATATCTGTGTGACCTCTAGATTCATATAAAACTAAAATTTATAGCTTATTCGCGCAACCCTGTCTGCATCACACTTACTTGACATTTTTAATAAGTTTTTGTCCAATTTTCATAATATCTCTTTAAATTATGTCCATGCGTCATTATTATAGTCATGTATATTACCTACTCTAAAGTTTAGTAGTTTTTGTTTGCGTGAAAGAGTAACAAATATTCAGCCCAATTCGCTACACTTACAAACATTCGTGTTTATAATATTAGTAACATTTAATTTTATATAATTTTCAGCGGTCGAGAAACAGTATCGCTTCTTCGGCGGTGTTATCCAAGTATTAAAAGTGGCGAATAATCACTTAGTACTGAATTTCTGTATGAGGCTACCTCACTCCCAGCTGTATAGTGTGGTGCTGTCGAGGAACGAGAACCAGCTCACGCAGGAGGACCTGGCCAGTATCCATAACGTGTTCACTATGAAACACTTGTCGACGTCGGCTTTGAAGAGAGTCTGTGAAAACTCAGCAACAAATATTAAAATTTCCAGTTTCCTTTTTATATTTATTTTATTTTCGTACTGGAGATCTTTCTTTTAAAGTTAATGTCTGTATGATAGTATTGAAATATCATAAGTATTACTATGTATTGTAGGTACATGTACATAATGTTATGTGTGTGTTATATAATATTAATATATTGTGTGCCTAATATTTTTGTACGAATTTTCAATGATTAGTAAACTGTGGATGAATAATTTTTAATTTTATTTCCTATGTAACTAGTGACCTGCCCCGGCTTAGCACGTATACATTACAAATATTTGAATTTTGCAGTTTATTCTATATATAATACGCATGTATTATACCTATATATAAACTTTCCTCTTGAAACACTCTATCTATAGCTGAAAATTGCATTAAAATCCGTTGCGTAATTTAAAAGATATAAGGGAACAGACAGTGTCGGTGACTTCATTTTGTACAATGTAAAATCTCCGATAACGAGATAGTTATCTTAAAATTTAACATTGAGACCTTAAAATGCTGTATTTTTATAAGAAATCGAATCACGACCAATTAATCCCTTAATCTACATAGACTGTTTCTTTTTAGATTCAAATTAAGAATAAGAATTTAAAATAATATGAAATATATGTACCATATATACGTAAATTCATTATTTCAATATTACTTTGTTATAAATAAGTAATAAATAAAAAGGTTTCTACTGTAATTATAATATTACACGAAATAATTAAAAAAAGTTAAAAAGTACCAGTAAAATTATTAAAAAGTACTAGTTGTATTTCTTGCCTACTCTTCTCAACTGAAAGTTGTTAGGCGAACTGGACGGTAGGGATATATGTATAGTGATAACAAAAAGACGTGCATAACAGGCTGAAAAGTCCTAAATATGCAGATATTCGAGTTTTATTTTATCATCTAGACTTAAACTATGTCTGCATAGTTGCTTCTACCTAACTTACTATTGGTACTACAATGCATACATGCTTAGATATTTTTGTGCAATCTGTAGGTCCATATCATGGAAAAAAACTCAGGCCAATGCAATGAGATATACTCAAGAATGTTTGCATTGTACAAGGATCAACTCACGACCTTCAAGGGTAAACCGCTGCATTGCTAACCCATCGTTACAATAAGTATATACCCATGCTTTACGAAAATGCAAAATATCAATTAGGTAAACTTATCTTCTTCTATCTTCTTCGTCTTTACTTACTTATAATAACTCTGTAGAGAGGTCAATTCTGTACATGAAATATATTTCCAAAATAACTATCAGCGGGTGATTAGTTATCGATACTGATGCCAAAAATTCAATCATTAAAATTTTTGTCTGTATGTTCGTTATAGAAACAAAAACTACTCAACGGATTTTAACGAAACATGGTAGAATTATTCTTCATACTCCTGGGCAGGTTATAGTATACATTTCATCACGCTACGATCTATAGGAGCAGAGCAGTGAAGGGAAATGTTAGGAAAACACATCAAAACCACTGAACCGTGAAGGATATAGGCTACTTATTTTACGAAATACGATGGAAACGCAGACGAAGTCGCAGGCTTTCTCTTTTTTACTTATTTTTAAACTTTCGCGTTTGATACAGATTATTAATCTGTATCAAACGCGAAAGTACTAATAATTTAAGGGTAAAATATGTAATTTTACCCTTAAATTATTAGTAGTAGGTTCCGATTAGGTATATTAATAATCTTTTTTCTTCATTTTCATGCAAGTGACAAAACCCTATAATAGTTAAAATGTGTTTGTAGAATTATTTTTAATATTTAGATCATATTTTTAAACAGTAATATAACATAAATTCACGTTATTAATTAATTATTGTGTGATGCATGCAGAGATTGGTAATAGCAGTGTTGTATGTACCTTTTGGGTATTTTATTTATAAATATTCTGTACGTTATATAAATATGGATTGAATTATAAAAAATACCCAGACAATGCAAACAAATACTTGTAAAAATTAAGAAATGAGTTTTGTGGAGATTGATCCCATGAATAATAATATAGTCTTGTAGTATATTAATCTATCTTATTATTTACTTCTCTAATCCATAAATCGCCGAGGTCGTTATGATTAGTAGTAGTAGAGTTTAGTTTCTTTTTTTCAATAATCGTAAGAATACACGCTCGCTAGGAATACCTATAACGATAATACTGAGAATAGGTATTCGGTATATATCAGAATTTAGAAAAATACAAGTAAAACTTCTGGTTGCGTCTTCAAACATTGTCCACGTACTATCATATCATCACATGAACTGCAGCTATTGCGACATGCATTAACTACCTGTACTAATTCGCTAATTGAGTGTACTACAGCGAAGATGGACGCCTTGTACCACTAATAAGCATTCTCTGTCTAGAGCGCGCCATGCTCACTCCGGCACAGTCTCTAATTATAATTGCATTCGCTTCAACAGCCCAAGGTTTCTGCGGCTCTAGCATCCGTTGGGCACATCAGTTGAACATAGAAGACGCGTATGGAATATGGTACGGAGTAGGTTATGCACAACATACCCCAGATATGACTAACAAGCCTAATGAAGTAGGCTGCGTCACACTGTACATATCGGATGCTAGTGTTGAAGGTCAAGATGATTGGCTCGACTGGTCGGTATGTATTCATTTTGTTATTTTCATATTACATTACATGTTAGTCACAAACAATAACATTTCATTTATACAAAAAAAGCAATCATTGTTATCTAACGCGGCATATCGAGGAAGTATACTCAAGATACTGGCAGCGTTACCTCTTTGAATAGTCATACTTAACTTCTGAGAAAAGTACTAACTTTCTAAGCCAGCGTTAGGGTTACAAGTAACCTCTATGAGTTGTGCGACGTAATGTTAGTTAATTAAGCTAGTCTACATCTTGTTTATACCTAGATATATGTATTTTACGAACGATTTAAGACAAACTTCTCTACATATGTGGATATTTCTTATCAAATTCTGCCGCTAAAAAGCGTGGTTTGCTTACAGAGCAAGTTTTTTGGAATTGGATTGAGTTACATTATGAAGAGTAATTGGCAGTAAAGTTACAGGAAGCATAACAAACTAATTTTACCTAAATGTCGTTTGGCTATCATTTTATGGCAATTGCGTAAGGTTTTACAATAAAATACCAGAATCTGTTATAAATTTGCCAGAAAAAAGATTTAAATGTCAAATAAAACAGTTCCTTTGCAAAAAAGCTTACTATAAAATTGAAGAATTCGTTAACGATAATAATGTTTTTATAGAAAAACTTTAAATCTATAGCACTGACAATATTATCTGATTACAGTAATAATGAGTGCGTAGCGATTACTATGTTGATTATCGCATGCCTCTTACTTGTTATACTGTAATTATTTATAATATATAAAAAACATCTATTAAAAAGAGTAACTCACAAGTTTCTTGTTCATTCTTTTTGTGATGAATCTGCATTCCGAATGAGTGGTAGAATCAAAATATGACTATTCAAAAGTGCTTGTAATGAGTTTATTTGAATAAAGGTTATTTATATTTCTATATAGTTCTCATGCGTAGAGTACATATGTAAGGGTTCAGACGCATGGGCAGTATCACAGTCATAACAAAAAGTTTTGTAATGTTCATGTACTCGTACATACACTGTTCTCATTTTAATAGGTTAAAAAATATTTCTCAAATTCAGATAATGAAAAGAAATTATTCAAACGAAAACTGGCGATCGCATAAAAATAATCCGTGGTCGGAAACCCGAATGGCCGGATCTTGGTTGGATGTTCGTCTCAAGAGAAATGTCAAAAGGGATATCTATAACGAGCGTCGTTTACGGATCATTTGGGATGAAGATGGACAAACTATGGAACAGGTATAATGCCATTGTATATTTAGTAATCTTAACTGTATGTATATTAGTGTTATTACAATCTACGTCTCTTGTGTTAATATTTTATAATATATTTTACATTTATACTTTTTAGTTCTTAGGACTTGCCTCGCTTCTTTAATAAGATTTATTCTATTTAAATTATCAATATGTATTTTGTTTTATGGTGTGTGGTACCGTTTTTCTAAATAAAATAAACAGTGGCTAAGTTCTTATCTATTAGAGCCGTGGAAATATCCGGATATTCTATACCTATTGAAAATTTCAAGATTCAGCAGTCTATGCGTTTATAGATTAGTCTGGACAAGTATACTTATTATAGGTTTAGAGATAAAGGTATTTCATTATACTGTATTTTAATTTCAGGTATACGTGTACTCACCTGAATCACCTGGGCTTTGGGTTGTTGAGCAGAAACAACCTTTAGAAACATTATTACAATCCAGAGGTGTAGGTGTGTATGTTTTTACTAGGTACCAAAATTTTATTGGGGGTAAAGTTCAAAAATAAATAATATATATAGAACAATAAATTAGTGCCCAGATATGGCACTAATTCTTAAGTTAGGTTGAGTTTTAATTATATATTTTTAAAAGTCAATTCCCGCCCTAAGAGGCTTACAAGCCGACTTATTTAGCGACTTACTTAACCCGCCGGTTATTGTCACGGGGGTTGATGCAAAGAGGTTCGCCCCGAGGCCCCAGACTTTCACTCCCCCTACTAAGGGGATGATGATGACCAGTCAGAGTTTTTTGGGACTCACCCTGTAATATTGCATTTTTATTAGACGTAGACAGTAAAAAGTCGCCTGCGTCGATAGTGCCAGTCGTCTAGCATTATGCTTTATATGCTTTCGGTTATAGTATGCAGATCAATCAGTGAAATTACAGAATAAGAGACATGATTGTGATGATGTCATTTGTGATGTCAACATATCAGTGTTTCGCCACTGGTGTCATATGATAACGCGACGAGGTCGTGTGTAGAAACGACGGTAACCGCTTAATATCAAGGGGAATGCACTAATTACTCCATTGCTAACAGTACTAAGTTAGGGAAACCTCTACGCGGTTGTCCCTGGAAAATGTCGTGATAAATTCCTGATGAATTTGTCACCATGGGCCAACTTACCTGACCTCACGGTCATCTTGTCATCCTTCACTGGTGCTCCATCAGCGTAAACCGTCAGCGCAGGAGAGTGAATTCTTCCATAATCATCCACAAAAAAAGTTTAATATCAAGTGGGTCTTTAGCTTGTTTGCCATTAGGATTATATAAAAAATGTCTTGAATTATTCGTAAATTTATAGTACGCGTATCTATGTGAAATTACATATTATTCTTATTATAAATATTTTAACATGTCTCAAATTGTCAGGTGTGGTCCGCGCTACCCGTGCCAGCCTTTAGATTATAGTATTTCAAGTTACAGTAATAAGTTTCATTATTAAATTATAGTCTCGATTAGAGCAAAACAACCACATGTTTATCACCTAAGTTTCTCTTAAATAAAATCACAATTATTCATCGCACGCATTATTCAATTATTCATCACATTTTTGTTTGCAATATGATAAAATATTCTGGTTTTTCCATACAATCAATGTGGAGAATATTATTATTGATATTGCATTTAAGAGGCAGTCAGTATCTATATTTTATTTTTTTGTTATAAAATGTAAAGTTTAAACTGTTGCATGACATCTAATATTTGGACTGAGGTACCCAGGCAGACGAATTTTTATGGTCTACCTCTGTATCATTCAAAGAGTACAGATAATATTGTTTGAAAGATTTAAAGGGTATGTTTTAATATTACGTTAGTGGCTGGTTTCGTACACCTGTAGTGTTTCAGGCGTCCATAGGCCGGTAACCGTTTACCATCAGATGGGCCGTATGCTTGTTTGCCACCTACGTGGTATAAAAAAAACAGGTGTGCAATGTATTCTATACATAAGATACATAAATAAGACGACAATCAATCTTTGCTTTATATTATTTGTACATAAAAATCACCTGAAATGACACGAAAGTCATTCATTACTCATCGCTAAAATGACATCAATATTTTTCTATTAGGTATGAGTCTGATAAGAGAGTCCACTATAAGACTCATCTTATAAAAGACTCTCTTATCAGATTCTTTTAACAGTAGACATTTTTCTTTTGCAGAAAAATGTCTACTGTTATCACTATACTGTCTCCGTATTAAATATATCATATCAAAATGTCTGTATGATTAATGTTCTGACAAACTGACTGTATGTATGTATTATTTACAGACGTTTGGTTTCCAGAGGAAACTCCGAGACATCCTGAAGTGATACGAGTGCTAAAAGTAAATCCGCATATGATGATAATAAACCATTGCTCAGATAAAGGTGGTGGTGGTATATTCTCATTGATACTTCGCCGGTCACCGTATAAAATGGAGAGATGGGAATGGTACGATTTACAACGGCAATTCTTCAGATTCGAATTACCGAACATGTACAGATATTCAGCAATATGTGCTGCTTGTGTTCAAATGAGTTCTTTATTTTATATTATATTCTCTATAGCTGTGTTAATATTAATATAATTTTATCATAGAAATACAATATTTAAATTAAGTATAAAATATGTTTGAGTTAAATTATAAAAATATTCACAAAGTTGAAGTATATAAAAATCTATTTTGTTATAAGTAGATAATAAAGTTCTTTATACACTTTTATATTTTTTTATTCGTCACTTAAACCTTACTTACCTCATATCATTGTTATAAGTTACTGTTTGTCTATCTGTTTGTTTGTTTGATACTTTTACAAGACTAAATAGTTGGATGGATCTTAGTCAAATTTGACATGAAGATGGATAGTGGGTGGATGTAGGCATTCTATCTAAAAATTGCCTGCCTGGACCGAAAAACTGAAGTGAAGTGATCGTAATTAATCATTTCCGATATAAACGATAAAAAATATATCGGAAAAATTAAAAATAGACTAATACTTTCCACTCAAACTAATTCTAAGCCCAGGAAGGTACGGACATCATCTAATCTGTATTAAATTGATTATTTACGAACTTTAGAAAATTAAATCTACCGGTCGGAATGTAATTGGAATAAGCTTTTCCACATTAACGGGGGAAACCCGCACAGTATAACTAAAGAGGTCAGCAGTCGATGTACGGTAACAGATAGCTGTACAGCTATTTTTGCAAGCTATTAAATCAACATAAATAGTTACTTATTTCAACATTATTCTATTACGATTCGTTCTAATGGCGGCATCTGAATTGATTTATTTTTACACTTCTTTGCACCAGTTACAGATACAGAAATATTAATTTATAGAAATTCTATAAAAATATGTTATTTCGTAATGTTTTGTAGTTAAATTTATCTTACAGCCTTATTCTCGTCATATATAGCCAGGAATAAAAGTAGCATATGTCCTTTTCGAAAAACACTTAAATATAAATGATAGTTATTATTTCGATTAAATTCATCGATTCGTTATAGAACTAGAAATTAGAAACCCATTTCTAAATTTATGATGCAAGTAAGGAAGTACGAATTTTAATTATCAAGACGATTTATATAATACTGAAAGTGGTGTACGAAACGATCATAGAATAGGTACCTTCTACCTTACCTTCTTGGTGGGAATTAATTCTAAGTAGGGGATATTGCTAGTAAAATACTACATTATGTCGTTCTCCATTCAGTTCCCACCGAAAATCATCGTGTTGATTCCTGTTGAATTGACCACGATGGGCTAATTGGCTTAACTTCATTCTTGTTGTATCACCCTCTACTGGTGACCCGCTTTTGGAATGCCAGTATACTCTACTGTCATTCCAAATGGGTGACATATTAAATTATCATACATAGTCGTAAAATGACAGTAACAGTGACTAATAACACCTAAACTATCAGTTTGTATGTTAACAGTTACAGAAAAACCTGAGGTACTTCACCAGACTGTAAAATTCGTTTATGTGGGTCCTCATACAATATTTCAGCCGCCCAGCAGTTTCCCATGTTATTGAGTGTGTTTCTTTTGTGGCGTGTAGATTAAGGAGTGACATATAAGAGGAATAGGTACCATCTTAGTTTCTGGAATGGCAACGCATGTGTGGTTGTCATGAATGACACATGATGATGTCCGCAGTGCTGTTTATGTATATAGGTGAGGCTGCTTTCTATCAGGTCAGTCTGCATATTGCATTTAAAAAAAGTATAAACCTTTGTCGCAAGCTTTTTAATAACAATTTAACAACCTCGTTTGATTACATGTAGTAGATGAGTATTAACAGTATTGTTTGTGAAGGATGTACCAGTGACCTCCGCCCTCGAACCTCGTGGACAGGAGGCGGGGTCACGTCTGAAGTGAGATAGACAGGAACACTACTTTAAGCGAATTATTCCAATTACACGTGTTAAACCATTTAACATTAGGATACTATACTTCATTGTAATTATGTATTGAGTTCAACTTATGCCGTAATAGTGATTAATGAAAAATTATGGTGCTTATAATATTGAAGTTATGAAGTTATGATATGTCTAAAGGCACTCCGGTGATTAATAGTAATGCTATTAAACTACGTTCTTGCGGGAGGCGATAGAAAAATACAGAAATTTTAACGGGGAAGACTACTTTTGTTGTTATTGGAAAAATCACAAAATGCTGAAGGCACATGCCTTCACTACATCTCTTCATTGTATTTCCCGTAATTTCAATGCTACAAGTATAATATAAAACGCACTTTCTACCAGATGAAGTATCAAGTGTAGTATAAAAGTAAGTGAACGGATATATTATAACAATGTTTAATTAATTAAGTAAGCAGGTATTTGTTGCTCTGGAGTTGTGAGTCACAAAGCAAATTCTATAACAAAATAAATATGGGGAATGTTTTCAAGACTGTATTGATGCTTACATCGTGAAAGCTGCGTAGAATGAATTTGAAGTAAAATATAACTAAAGCTCAACAATATTTTCCCTTTAATTTCCGTCTTAAGCGCGTAGGCGTGACGCCGATTCTCATCCTAACAAAATTTTCCTTTTGATTTTACATTCCATTCCAATTACCTTCATCACAGACAGCTATTTTTGTTACCTAAATAATTATTTGGAAAAAATCCCAACCGTAATACTCGGAAGCTCTTTCAATTAAAACAATAATAATTATAAGGTTTTGTTTTACAATGAAAATCCACTTCTATTTTGACCATTACGGGAAAAGATTTCTAATTAAACAGGCTTATCATCGAAGTCATTATAGAATTGCCTCATGACATACATAAATATGTTGAATTGGAAACCAGAATTTTAATTAAAAACCCTCTTCTTTGGAATTGTTACTATTATATATAAACTTATACCTAATACATTCAAGTATGTACATTAGTATATTAAATATTGAAATCTGTGTTCTTTATGATGTTTATTTAATGATTAGATAGTTGTCAGGTCAATGCTTTCTATAGTACCTACACACTAGATGTCATACCTATATATTTTTAAATATATGTACCTACGTATCAATGTAATCGAGTAAGTAAATAAACGCGCAGTAAAACTGCGCGTTTATTTATAGCCATAGAATATTCTACTGTTAATGTTGCGTTTTAGACTAAAAATTGTATAATAAAAAGTTAAAAAAGGTACGTAACCTGTATACCGGGCTTGACTTGATAAAGGGTAAACTCTCACATATTTCAGACGACAATAAACTTGCTTTGTAAGCTGTTTCGGTTGAAAGATGAGAAAAAGCAGTCAAAGTACAGGATAATAGCCATGACATCTTAATCCTAGGAAATAAAAACGCATAAGTGATATCACGAATGTTATATAATGTTCATGTATACAGACGACAGTTATCTCTTACATCAGAAAGGCGGTCAGCTTGTTTCCCATTATCATTACATAGAACACACTAAATATATGTACCAATTATACTCCTATTTCTCAATTGACAGCTCATAATTGTTGATATTCTAAATACTAATACACGTTTATGTACAAATTACTCTTCATTAAACAACACGAGGTTTAAATTACACAAGAGATGTGAACAACGCTCATTTGTCTGTATGAGTCGCCAGGAATATTAAGCTTAATTAGTTTACTTCCCACTCTCATAGTGTTCCCCGCACAGTCACACACTACTATTCACCACCTAACTGTCACGCGACGCTCCTAGCACGGTGAAAATTTTAAAGAAATGTATCGAATAGTTGCATTGTTTGTCAATTTGTATGCAGTAGTTAATTGTGCGAATTACCAACGTTACGGTGAAACTACGAGCAGATATCCAAGCTATACTACTATATCGAATTTGTACAACCAGTATCCGTCGTATAAATCAAACTATAATAGTGATATTGCCAACTTTCCGGAGGCTACAAGATATCCAAATTATAGCCCTACATATACTACGAATAGTTACAATGCATATTCAAACTCAGGTGGATATTACAATAAACCCTTGTATACTACCCCAAGGTACGGAATGGATTATGGGCAAAGATATGGCGAGGAGTACAATGGAGGTTACAGCTCTTATGAGGAACCGTTTATGAAGGGTATCAGGGACTATTGCGTGAACAGGTCGCCACAGACTGGCATTCTTGACACTGGTTTGATGGGTATGTGGTATGGAGTAGAGTACATACAACACTTGGCTGGTGATGCAAGAGTGGATAGTACCAGGACTTGCATTGTTATTCACATTTCAGAACCGATGGATCGGGTGAGTACTGGATATTTTTGAATACTTTATTGATATTTTGTTAAACTTAAACTTAAAATAGATATTACTAAATTATAAAAGAAACACTACGTCAACAAAGTTTTTGTAATTTTTATTCTGTTGTGTAGAACCTGTAATTTATATTTTCATAATTGTTTTAATAAACCCCCTCACCCCATTTTCGTTTTATAATAAGTAAGTAAGTAGGTAAGTTCCGTTCTGAAATAACTGTAGGTGTATTACAGATACATTGAAAAGAAATAAGTTTTTCATTGTGTTTATTTTTCTGACACAATTTGAGTGTTGCGTGTGTGAAATGGTCTCAATTCATTCATAACGAATTGAATGGCCAGCAAATGACCTATCAATTGTCCAGACAGTGTCACTGCACTTTGAATTCAAATGACTGCACAAAGTATCCACCTATTATTAATAGCATAGTACAGCTTTACTATCTTTACTAAATATTCCATTGATTAAGTCCACTACATAGTACTATAACGTCTCAGTTATAGTACTACATAACTGAGACCTACCTAACTTTCTCTATCTTCCTGCATGCAGAGAATAATAATGATAATAATGGCTCTAAAGATAGGAGCGATTAACTGAAAAGAATACATTATGTAGTAATTATCTACATACAGATTTGCTACACGTAACAGTTGATATAAAAAATAAGAAAGGACTTCTACATAGGTACTACAGTTGTAACTCTTTTTGTTCAAGTGTCATATATTGCAAACTATTCCGGGGGTTATGAAATGCAAGATCTTTTTAAACAGATTCGAAAAAGTATCTTTCGGCCCTATAAAAATAACGTAGAAAGTATAATTAATAATGTAATTAATATTATTAAATTTTAAATGATGAACGAAGACATATGTTTTTTCCAATATGACAATTAAGTAACTCTTCCAGCTTATGTTTCTTTCGCTGTCATCTGAGGGCGGAAGGGGATTGTTAGTAATGTAGATCATTAGGATCTCATTTCTAGCAATGTACCAGGTTGACATCCATGTTGTTCCCCTGAGAAACTATTTATTTTATTTATACTTTTTATTGCACCAATTACAGTACAAAAAATAGTACTATAGAGTTCTTATCAATCTCTTTCATTCTACCTTTGGGTATAAATTCACCAGGAAATTATCATGATGTGGTCGTGGAAATTTCCTGGTGAATTTGTCAGAATTTTCTAAAATAACTAATTAAACTCGATGAAATTATGTCCATATGGTAAGGCAAGGCAAAAAATAATGATTTAGAATTAGACGTAATTGAAAAATTCGATTTTCACCAAAAAAGGGGCCTACAACCCGCAAGGTCTCTAAATAGAGATAGAGCGTACTGAAGAATTACTTACATCATAATGGTACTTCAGTAGTCTTTTATTTAACAAAATATATAAGAATGTAAAAATCGGCCCAACTTACATCTATTGTGACGTAGGAACGACTGATATTATGATACATATGGTGTCATTGGATCAAAGGATATGAGAAAACGTTGCCTATCATAAACAATTTTACAAGTATGTACATGTAATTATTGGTCAGCAAACAAAGGCAAGAATACAGTCAGCAATCAAAATATATGAAAATAAAAAATAAAGCACCATAACTTATTATGTTACACAAATTTATAGTTCACTACAACAACCATTTTATGACTACAATCAAACATTGTATGACTGACGCCCTGGAAACATAAGAATAATTATTAGACAAATCCATTTACTGTTTACAATGTTGTACAGGAACGGGAAATCTCGACAAGTTCTTGAAATATCGCATATTCCCGACATTTTTTTTATATACTAAAAAGAACACAATATATTCCTATACTCTGAACATTATTTGTTCGGAAAATGATTAAAAATAAAATAGACATAGTAAGTAGATAACCTACATCAATCTAATAATTCTATATGCGGAAAACTTTTACCCCTATAAAAATTGTATAATTAATATACAATTTTAATTACTTTCAAAACTGATTTTATCTAATAATCAAGTTGCAATTGAAAAAAATTTAAATAATATTTTAGATTTCCAAGGTTTTTCTGCTACAAGAACTCCCAAACCAACTGTCTATATTACTCCTATCTCGAGGGTATGTATTCATTGATATTTTTTTTATAAAAATGTCTCCAATTTATATATTCACCATACATATAATTATTTTTAAGAAATATGATCAGTAGCTTAAAGCATCGGATTCTGTGACGACCATAGTATGGAAGTTCTGCTCGTCCATAAGTCGGGGTCAAGTGATAACGTCAAGTCGACTGAGTCAGGCGCACGCGCCGCCGCTGGCGACTGTCAGTCGGCAGCGAACACTTTATTCGCGCACTACTTTTCTCATATTTGTTTTACATCTATCAAGTGACTAATAAAATGTGAATTAAAATGAAATTAAATATGGAATTGAGAATTTGGATTGTTCTTATCAGCATAGTAACGTGTGTATATGCGGATCCAGACGATACTCAGGGCTCCAATTCGACTGATCATAACGAAACAATTAAATGTTTAACTGAAAATGATTTGCCCGACATTGATATTAAGAATGTGACAGGCAAATGGAAAGCTGTGGAACTATACTTACATCTAAGTAAAGAAGGGGTCCACAATTATAACAGCTGTCCAATTGTAACCATATGGGAGTCCGACCAAATTCCTACATCCACTTTCGGGGTATGTTTTACGATTAAGATTTATTAGGTCATTTTAATTGGAAATTATTTTAATGTTCATCTAATATTAATACCGTTCTATTTTTTTTTTCATCTATATGTACAGGATAAATAAAGAGTTTGATTTTTGGTCGAATAATATTAATATTAATAATAAATATAAACTTCTTCTGTCACACTGGCGAGAGTGGTTAATATAGATTTTATATCAAGGTTTTCTTCTCCCGTATCGATGTATATACCTACTTGTTTTCTCTCCCTTGTTGCCTCTTACAACATCCTGTGGATGAAAAATAGGGGCAACAAAATTCTTACTCCATCACCTTACGAATATATGGACAACTGCAATTAATTTTATCATTTACTTTTACGGTCATCTAAGATTGCCGAAATTATAAGACATATGCTAGTCACAATAATTACCAGTTACAACTCAGAAATCCGACTAATAAAAGTGAAGTAGGTATATTGTATTGTGTGAGTTCTTCCAATTGAAGCAAATTATGTATTTGATTGTATTTACGCGTGCTCTAGTAGATACCAGAATACGTAGACCATCTTGAAGACACGTATTTATTCATTGTACGTAAATTTATATTTCGGTTTATTACGATATTAACTAGCACTTACCCACGACTTAGTATTGTTAGTTAGATAAAAATAGCCTACATCCATCCGTAGTATAGTTGTGAAAAGGTAACACATATACAGGAACACTTTCTCGTTTATAATATCAGTATAGATTTTTTATCATAGGTTTTCAAAACTCATATAAAAAATAGGATTTGGAATTGGAAAAAAATCAGTGCTATTCAGTTTAAAAACAGGACGCAGTACTGGAGTTACGATACTTCTACTATACTTCCTTTGTTCTTATTTATCTGTGCGCAATAGGTATAGAGTTATTATTAGTATATTACATATTTTCAAAAACAGATATTACAATTTATATGCTTAGATATAATGCTCAGTTAGCACGAATATATTTTAGTTTTGCATGAAGACATAGATACATTAAGATTATTGAGAAATACAATTTGATGTACCTAAAATAGTAGTTACTCTAATTAGACATGAATTACACCACGTTATGTGTGATTTCTTGTATGTATTGTATTGTTAGGTATTGCTCTATAATAAGAGAGATTGGATGAGAGTTAACTGTTAACAAAGTGATTGAAGGCAGTAATTTGTGTATTTATTACATCACCATAATAAAGAAGAAAAATATTTAAAACATTCTGAACACGTGACCAATTCTTTACTTATATGAAATTGTATTTATCGGGATTAAAACGAATAGTAACCTCGCGGAAATGTAGAGCCATTCCGCGATTACACACTATTCTTTTTAATCCCGTATATAATAAAATAAACACTTTATTTACCATTGTATAATTCGTATTAATAAATGACTTAGTTAATAATACATCATTTATTTATTATTCCATTAAAACAATATAAACTTACGGCTAATTTTCAACATATTTATATTTTAAAACTATTATACTTAACTACATACACTGCTATATTATAGAAAGCATATAATGTAATAAAAAATAACTCTTAGATTTTTCGTAAATTGTCATGTACCTATTATGTATTCTGGAATATATTACAAGTAATATTTTTCTAATACCATAAATAAAACAGAAATAGGTTCAAAAATATTAACTCACTAGAACGTCTATGTACGAGTATATAACGACAGGTATTAATACTTACACTAATATGTACATACGAACTTGAGAATGTTTCTTTAACATTGACATGTTAATTTTATATTTTTACGTCTTGTCTTTGCAGTTAATAAAATTAGATGTTTTATTTTTCAATCAACTTCAATAAGGTCAAATCGAGTATATTATTATGTCTGCGTAACAGTGTTACGCAATACCTTCTCTTATTCTGAACAGATTCTGATGAATACACTTATAGCCCGTTGGGGTTTATAGGTTTATATCTGATTGCATCGCAGTTGATGTCAGACTTTTTATAAAACAAAATTATAATTATATTAAAATATTACCCCAAAAATATAATACTATATTATATTTTTGGTCTAACATTATATTATTATCTGTGTGGTCCTCTGCAGAACTAAATAGATTATTTTATTTGATGTAATTACTGTAATTTATTATTAATTTACATGTGATCAACATATGTAAATTAGTAATATACTGTAACACATGTAAATTAATATGATAATTATGGAAATATCGGCGTAATCGTTTTAATTATAACTAGCTGACCCGCGCGACTTCTTCTACATCACACTTACATATACATATATCGCCCAATTTACATAATATTTTAAATTATAACTTATGTGTTATTCTTATACATAAGCTATGTTACTGTAAAGTCTCAGGGTCTAGACTATCTGTATACCAAATTTTATTTAAATCGGTGCAATAGTTTTGGCGTGAAAGCGTGACAGTCAGACAGACAGAGTTACTTACGCATTTATGATATTAGTAAGGATGATATATATTAGTAAGATTGATATCAGGAAAAAGATATTTTTCTATACAAAGTTGGTAAGTTGTATAATAACAAACTCGCTTATTAGAACTGATTTAGATAATGTTATTGAATATTCTAATTTTAGAAATTTATGGAACAAATATTTACTGAATCATAAACTATATTCTAGCCGAAGGTTAGACGTTTTCAACTATACATAGGTATAGAAACTTTCGTAACTACAGACTTTTCTTTTGATCCAATCGAATTCTTAATTAACGCCAAACAACATTAAATATTTTTTATAGACGAAGCTGTTCGGTATATATTCAGAATGCATACTTTAGAATTTAGAAGTCTCGGTTTCAGTGGTAGGTAAAAACTAATCGTACGCATATTAACTGTATACTATGTCATTGTTTTATCATACATGACATGTTTTGTGCGTATGTCATTAATATTTATAGATATTTATACATATTAAATTCGGACACAAATAAACGCTAATACAGGCGGGGAAGTCCCTCGACAGCTAATTCGCTATGTTCCAATTTTATTATCCGGTGTGATTGAACCAGCATCCTTCCCTTACTTCCTCGTTGTTTAGGATTGCAGACTTGGAGTAGTTTTTTTAATGGATGATCATGAAATGGTGCATCCGCCTGCGCTACCAGAATACGCCAGCGGCCGATCACCGTAGGATAATACATTAGGGCGAGGAAGAAGTCAGTTAACAGTCAGTCAGTCTTTTAATTAGTTAGCAGTTTTGTCTGTGTATTTTAGATGAGTTTGTTTAATTAATTACAAGTAAAAAGAACATAATAAAATATAATCGTATTTAGGGTAATTTGTATATTGAAGGAACTATAATAAGAAATAGTGTTATAGATTTACTAATACAAGTATTCAAAAGAAAGCAAAAACATAAGTATTTAATGTAAAAAGGACTGACATAACTATTTTTTCATATCTATTGTTGTGGGAATATATTTAAATGTAATAAAATGAATAAAATATGTTCAATATTCATAAAAAGGACTACGTTGAGGTTGATACATATACTAAATTAGGTATAACAACAATATGATACATTGAAATAAAAACGAACTTATAATTACATAATGATAAATAATGTGATCGATTGGATGAAATCTATTACAAAACTACTGATAATTTTCCTAAATAACAGCATAAAATTCAATAACTGTAATACATTGTTTTACATTATAATAATTAATTGCCGTTTGTAGTAATTAAAATGATAACATATTGAGCATTATCTATGGAATGATAACTGTTCTCATTTTAACTTTTCAGATATTATATTCAGATTTTTATATCTATGTAATTGTTAGTCATTTGATTAATAACTAATTTTATATGAAGTCATTCGACTAAAAATTACTTTTGTATTTAAATGGAATGGTAAACAGGTTGACGACCCACCTAATGGTAAGTGGTGACCGTCGTCGACTATGATATAGATGAGACTGAGGTAAGTGGGTACCTCAGTCTAGATGTTTGATGTTTTTACTAAGTCTTCTTCGGTAACCACATATATCATTACAAAGGAAGACTAGTATTCTGGTATTTTCAATTACTGTAAATAAAACAGTCATTCATTGATCAGATCAGTCAATCAGAAAATGTCTTTTCACTGTCTAAAAGAGATTAGATCACATTTCAGGTGACAAATTACGAACGCCCCCATTAAATACCATCCTACCAATCCTGTGTCGAGGTATTCATTAATTGTCTTTCTTGACCCCGTGTTGCCATCTCACCTCGTGTACCCTGCATTGACTCATCTAGTGAGTGAACATTTTAGAGGTCAAATTGTCTGACCTGTTTAATCTTGATGGTTTTAAGAGGATTCTAGATGCAACCAACTACAATGTCTAGTTGACGTAATTCGTCTATATCGGTGGTCATCGGACAAATGATTTGATCTTAATCTAAATAGAACTATACAACTGTTATGAGCACGGTTTCTAGTTCAATAACGTTTATCCATCCCCATTCCAATGCTACAGTTAATTATACGCCTTGAGATACGGATACGTAAGTATCAGTGTGTACTCGGTTTTGTTTACCTATTTTCTTACAAGTAATTAAAAATGAGAGCACATATAATGCACGTATAAAAACCTTAACATCATCCTTTTGATATCATTGGGTTGGCCTATATTTAGCAGGCGATAGTGTACTGATCTCATAACTTTATGATTTATTTCAATGTTTTATTTTCAATATTATCGCATTTAGCATATCCGATGTACTCACATATACATATGTGGTCTATATGCTTTGTGTAGCCAATAAATATTTTATTTTTTTCTTTATGTTTTTTTCAATGATCCATGTAAGGGCGAGCATAGTACGTTGGGAGTAGAATATAATGATAATTATAAAATGTCAAAATATTTGTAGGGGTTTTACATCTTATTTCTGGAGAATATGGTGGCCCGCAAAGAGTGAATTTTTGTGAGTCAATAATGGGTAGCAGTAGAAAGTGTTACCTACGTATGAAAAGGTGATAACAAGCCAAATTAATCCGAAAGATTTCCGTAGGCTGGTCCCTAGTATGTTGGATACCAATATACCTAACGAAATGTGTTACATCAAATGTTATTTTCATCATGACATGTCGACTCCCAGCGATACGTCCCGCATACCATTCCAACAGGGAACGAAATTACAATGAACTGAGCCTACTTTAAACTAGCAGTGCCTTCAGACTAAAGGAATATAACCAAAATTTTGTGAAAATAACTAAAATAACGTCGTTTACGTGTGTAACTTATTTAGTTATTATATTTTTTATTTCAGTATTCATAAAAAATATTAACTATTGACAATGAAATATTATTTCGTCGTGTTTTATTACTATTATTATACCAATATTAATAAGCAAAACATATACTTTTCAGCCGTCAACAGAAAATCAGCTGTTCCACGTGCAGCATATCAACGCAAAGTTCAGGCAGCAATTCCGTCATCTGCGACTGCTGTGGGACGAAGCCGGGCAGACCACGGAGTACTCGCTTTACTTCCGGAATGAGTCTGCGGGATACTGGCAGGTGTTCGATGGGCAAAATGGTAAAATTTTTTATTTAATTTTCGATGTACCTACTAAGTTGTTTAATAGAAAATGAATTCAACTATATATGTTGCGTGTCTGTATTAAAATAGTGATTTTTTGTTGATTCAATTTAAAATTTAACAAAAAAACTACTATATGGAAAATACAGATTTGTAAAATAAAGAATACTGGAAAATATTTTGCCAGTTAGAAAAAATTATTTAACAATAAGTACTAATAACCTATTTAAACTTGATAACAAGAATTAATTTCGCTGCAAACCGTACTTTTCAAAATATTATAAAAGGAAAAATAAAAATTATATTATTATCATAAGCACTTTGTAATAAATAGATAAGCTAAGTAACAAAAGAATTCAATTAGAGCAAACAATAATATATATGTATATAAAAATAATGTTAAGGTTAAGACGATTACAAACCAGTTAATATTACTGATTATCTTGCAATTTCTTTTCCAGGAACAATGGCTAACAATCCCCGCTATCAGCAGTTCAGTGGCACCGTGCAAGTTCTCAAGGCGGTCAACGATCACTTAGTTCTTAACTTTTGTCAAGAACCTAAAAATGGCAGAACTGCGCAATTATACTCTGTACTTTTCTCCCGAGACCCCGGCATCATGGCTCGATGGGAATTGGATTCGGTGCACACTTTGCTACAAAATAAGAAGCTCTCCGTTGCTTCCAGGCGAATGGTTTGTGGGAACAGTGCGGTCAAACCAGTCTACAGCATTGTTCTCTCTCTAACGTTGATGATATTTCCCTATATCTTCTGTTCATCATAGACCTCAGCTGAGGAATATTGGCACTACACAACAGCCACTAATTCTCTTTAGTGATGATCTCACTTATTGCGAAATGCGAAACTAGTTTTTAAATTTGATGTCATTTCATGACTAACTCGATATATAACCATTTTTTTGTGAGTTTGTAAAAGAGGTATAAAACATCACAGCTATTATTATTTACTACTTTGATGTCCGTCCCTATAATTTGGTTTAGAAGATAATGTTGTCTGTACTCGTACGTTATTGTATTTAAAATACAATGTCAAGAATTACATTCACGTTTGAATGAATGAAAATACATAATTATGTTGTTATACATTTATAATTTATATAGCTATTTACGTACTACAGAAAGTAACATAGGTATTTTAAGACTCTTTGTCCGATAGATTACATGATTGTTACAATTTGTATTCAATAATCATTGTTACCATTTGTCTACAGGAGGCTCTTCAATTTTATACCTATCAGCTTTTTATGAAATATGTTAGAGATTCGATATGAAATAATAAAAATGGTTTACCATTGGTAATAAAAAAAATCACGATCGATCACGATTATCTATATATTTTCAGTTCCAGTATTCAGTGAACAGATGTCACAAATTCTGTACACTGTAAAATATAGTATACTTATTAGTAGACACTATCATGTATGTATCTTTTGAAAGTAATACTTATCATGCTGATTTTTGTTTGAATATTTTTTTAATCCAACGTAGCGTGGTACAATTATTTATTAATAAAAGAACACAAATAAATGTATTTGTGTTACATATTTATTAAAGTGCCAAAGATTTTGTTTATTGTACAATAATTATATTATTTAATTACTTAGTTATTAGGGTACTAAATAAAGATAATATAATTTATGAAATAATATAAGTTTTACTGAGTTAACATTGTTTTCATTGATATCTTTCAGAACTTAATAGATATGGCTTCTCTCGAGTAACGTACCTAATACGTAAATTGATGTAGTTTGTAACTTTGTTATGTTATGATTTACTATACACACTATACATATATAAGCAAAAATTTCATTCACTTAACTATATTAGAGCTAAATTGATTATTGCTTCTCATTTAACATTATGTATTGTCTTATCTAATTATAATTACAGGTAAACAGAGAGAAACTATGTAAAGATTATGAAAAACTTAGTATCTATTTATCTATTACCTATTGAACAATAAATATTTAGAACTGTTCTGTTCACTTGTTTTCTCAACAAATAGGTATTATAAAAAAAAAACTAATAAAATATATTTTCTAGGAATATACTACTACATATTTACCTATTTACTATATCTTTTCTTTAATTCCGAAAATTCTTTTAATGTTGTGTGGGAAAAAATATGAGAATAATGACGAATAAAATATTTTAATTTACTTATTTGCAATTTTCTGGGAGTAATTTTACAATTTCATGAGGATTAGAATAAATAATGTTATCCTCGTGATCAAACCCTAAACCAAATATATCTTTTACATCAGCAATTTTGTGTAATGTATGTTTATGTTTGTTTGCTACGAAAATTTCGTTCTGGCCACAGAAATGTGCTACTCCTTTGTTGTTGATCTCGATAGTACGAAACACTTTGGCCCCTTCATATAAAATACGATCGTTTGTACCATTTTTTATTATATACAGTCCCGTCTTATTGGTTATAAACGTGTCTTCGTCTCCATCTATTGCGAACTGGTATATTTTCTCGTAAATACTCTTTTGTATTTCGGACTTATTTTCGCCCAAATATTTATACAACTTTCGGGAAGGGTAGGTAATGAAATATAAATCATCTTTGTAAAATAAATCCCAAATATTATGATTATTAATTAAATGAGTTATATTACCTGACTTAGATATATCATCCATATAAATTCCATCACTACCTCCAAAGTATACGATGTTGTTTTTTTCATCTATAGCGGTTGCAAATCCGTTTTTAACACCTGAAATTGGTATAGCTACTCTGTGTTCCTTTTTAATATAACCAATTTCGAACGTACTTGTATTATCAAATCCAGTATTGTAACTGAAATAAATCGTATGGTTCCGCTTAGAAACCGATAGTTGATAGGGGCGGTTAATTCCATTACTCATTACAACTCTTTTATGATTTTTACCATTTACAAGAATGGTTTCACATTTTGTTTTACTTGCTTGCTTTGTTTCGTTATATTTAACAAGAACAATAATAATTGCACTCAGAATTATAACCAGTTTCATGTTTGCCACTGAATGCTTTGAGTTTTCAACTAACAAAACATTCAAGGAAGCCATGTGTCGCAGTATCATATTTCCTGATAATATCATGTGAGGTTGAAAATATATAATATATTATACATATAATAGGTATAGGACCTTTAAATGGATAATAATATCAGAAATAAGGATAGGCATGTAGTCAGGTTAGTCTATTGTGGGTAATGTGGTGGTTAGTTTAGTTACTCACAATTAATGGTTAATTGTGAGTTGAGATGATTTTCATGGCGAACCACGTGCCGATCAAATTTATGTACAATCAAATTAAAAAAATAATAATAAAGATGCTATTCTTTCTCGTTATAAAGTGTTAGGTATACAAAGTGATTGTAACCAACTGGTACTTACAGTATTTTTTTGATAGAATATATATTCTGTAACTTCATAAAAGCATGAAGTGCTCATACTCATAGGGTAAACCCGATGGTAGATAATTAAAATCGATTTATATAATAATATTAGAAATATATTAAAAGTCTAGCTGTGCCAGTGACTTATAATCTACTAATACTAATCTACTTATAGTCTAAGCTGTATTTGGAAATTGCCTTTAAAAGAAAGTAACTAAAATATTTTTTACCTAACAGATATAGGATAAATGAGGGTTATTAAACTTGATTTGAATTAGTTATTATTCTAACTAATTCGAATTAACGTTAAAGTATTAAAGTATTTATGTTTAGTTAATTGTACTTTTTTGTACAATTAACTAAACATAAATTTAAACAATTTAAAATATCATCATAAAAACCGTATTCAAATGATTATTCTTACTCTGCATAACAGTAGAGTTCACTAGGCTATCATGGATTCCAAGATAAAATTCGCTGGTTAGAAAAGGAGGCAATTTTGTCTTTTTCTATCATAGAGGGTGCGCACCCTCCCTAATTTGATCCCTCGTACTATTAAGTGCATATGTAATCAGAATTGTGTACAACGTTGCTATTATATTATACAACAGATAATAAAAATATTGCTTGATAAGTACATAGATAATATTTTGATTCACGTTAATTCCACATATGTTTGTTGTAAAAGTAGAGTTTCAGGAAGACTTTTTTTTGGAAGTAAACTTTAAATGTAATAATATTGTAAGAGTAAAATAATGTATCATTTCACCAGTTGGTATTTATGCAATCCTGGTATTCAGAACGCTGTATCTATTCAATATTGCTGCCATTTTATTTGCAAATGTACTGTTAAAGTTTTTTGATCGCCTAGTTAATCAAGAAACTATATAAACTTCAGTCTTGAGCAAATTTATGGACTTATCTCTAAACTTTTAGCAAAGTATTTTTTGCAAATGTACTGTTAAAGTTTTTTGATCGCCTAGTTAATCAAGAAACTATATAAACTTCAGTCTTGAGCAAATTTATGGACTTATCTCTAAACTTTTAGCAAAGTATTTTTTGCCGCTGAATAATTTTAATTATTAAGCATATTATGTTAAATACTTTATTATGGAGAAAATTAACTATTATAGGGGGGAAGAAATTGTTAGTAATTACAATTATTAGAGTTATGGCGAAATGCAATATACTTTATCAGGTTGACCTCCACGTGGTTTCTCCTAGCAATCATTAAATTCGTGGTGAATTTGCCACTTTTACGATTCCACTAAGTAATCTGACTTCACCCTTCGTATAGTTCTCCCCTGATTCTCCAACAACGACCGTGAGCGCGACCGGATGCACTATTATATTATTATCAATTACAAAAATGTATTGTTATATTATTACTATAGTATATGTTTAACAATATCATCCAACCTAAATTTCGGGGCATATATTGAATCTAGAGCTAAAACGGCATCAAAAAAACTGGGCGTCCTCTCAAGGGTTAGGAGATACTTCACGCTTAGACAGCTTTTAAGGCTATACCAAGCACAGGTCCGATCTTGCATGGAGTATTGTTCCCACTTATGGGATGGATCCGCTCAGTACCAACTTGACGCTCTAGACTCAATCGACAGACGAGCAAGGAGACTTATCGGGGACGTATCACTTGTAGCTAAGAGGCTTCAAAGTCTTAATCACCGACGTAAAGTAGCTTGTCTATCGGTGTTCTATAGGCTCCATTTTGGCGAATGTGCTCAAGAACTGCACAACCTCATTCCTCCAGCACCGTTCCATCAACGTACAACAAGACGTAGAGAGCGGCTCCACCCCTACACTATTGACATCCCAGCTGCTCGAACTAACCGTTTTGCATCATCTTTCCTTATGCGAGCAGCTAAGGAGTGGAACTCTCTACCAGCGTCTATTTTTCCTGCCTCTTACAACATTGGGTCTTTTAAGTCAAGAGTGAATAGGTATTATTTGAGCTTGCGTGTAACAGCTTAGACCACATCATCACTTAACATCAGGTGAGATTGCGGTCAAACGCGCTCAAATTATGATATAAAAAAAAAAAAAAATGTTTGTACTCAATGGAAAATATATTGGTATCTTTCTTCATTGCCACATCCCCTTTGTAAAGAAAATAATGCATACATTCGAATTAGAATTCACAGGAAATCCAAATCACAATAAAGCAACTGGTAGGTCAGGAACATTGGAACCAGAGGCAATGTCGGGCATATCCAAAATAACATTAAAATGTCGTGGCGCCAGAAAATCCTTTAAATAAACGAACCCATTAAATCTATTAATTGTTACTTCTGCAGATACTTGTAGAGTATTTTCTAATTTGTTATTTTCTGGTAAAAAAAATTGTGTGGGTATAATTATTTTAAAACTTATATAGAAAATATTTTTTCATATTTAGGTATTTATTTGCAATGCTTTCGTAGACTATCCCCTCATATGTATAGGTAAACTCACAAGATTGTCGCCTTCTTTATAATATTTCTATTGTTTAAGAAAATATTTCTATTGTATAAGAAAAGACTAAAGTGGCACGTAATCAATGTAAGTAGATGTCATTTATTTTCAATTTTCTGATATTTATGTTATACTTCAGTATAAGTATTTTTAACTTAAGATTATATAGCGATGTTTAATATTTTGATTAAATTTTAAATTCACCTCCAATATCGTAAAACAAATATCTTTGTACAGAGGTAACTCATATAAAGACACAAAAGATAACTGGCTACGTCTATTTAAAAATGGCAAATCGTGAAACATCGACATCTTCACTATCATATTCTCCTAGTATCGAAGTATCCATGATTGGCCAAAGAAAACGGCGAGCTTGTCGATATAATGGAAAATGGAAAAAAAATTAGAAAGAACAAATTGCAAAGTGGACAGTGGTCAGTGAATGAAGTTTGCAAAATTCCTATCATAACAACGTCGCAAAATCGTCAGCAGAGGTCGATTTGACTAGGGTAGCAGGATTAATAAGAGAGCTGTACGTTGCGCGTTGGCGGGGGTCAGCCCCATTCCATTGTACAACGAAAGGAACGGGGATGGGGTGATAAAATGATACGGTTACTCTCCCCGCTTCTGCGATCCTAGTACAATGCGCGATTCGTGAAATATTTTTGCTATTCTCAAATTCCCAGGGGCGGCCGCTGTATAGGAATAAACGTTAGGAACTTTATTCATGAGGACTTCAAAAAGTAAATGTAAATTTTCTGATTAAGTATTTTTATTGGCAAATTGAGTATATTAAAAATGTGTAACTAACATTAAAAAGTTGAGGAATATTATTAGATTACTATATATTATTGAAATCATACTTCACAGGCGCCTGTAGAAGACATTGTGACCGTGCCTCGAACGTATGTTGCGCCGTCTCTGCATTCACAACCATCCTGAAAGATACATTATAAAATAATCATACATAAATTCCTGCCTATTATTAATAATTTTAATAATTTTAATCTGAACTAACGAAAACAAAAACAAAATAATTCGTTATTAAGTATACACTAATAACGAAGATTTTTGTTGCCCTTTTTAGAATTACTTGTCACTTTAATGGAAATAGAAATAATCTTTATTCAAATAAACTTCATATAAGCACTTAATCCAAAGTCATATTTTTTATTCTACCACTCAATCGGAACACTGACTCATCACGAGAAGAACGAACTTTATAGAAGGTCACCTTAGTCTCAACCATTTCAGTCACTATGCAGCTTGCTTCGTTAGCTGTTTTATTTGAAGGATGAGATAAGGCAGTGAAATTACAGGATAAGAGGCGTGATATATTAGTCCTCCGGAATAGCACTGCATATGGACACGGACTTCATATGAAACCGTGAGGTATGTAGTGCTGATTATGTGTACAATAGGCGATAGCTACCACTTAGCATCAATTGAACCATTAGCTTACTTGCCATCCAAATATATAAAATATTAGCAACTACGAAACAAAATATTCGGATTAAAAGTGTTAAAAATTATAAATATTAATTCCCTTACAAATATATCATCTGTCGACGCGCATGCTTGATTTTGTTCGTAAAATTGTACTTTCTCAATATTGTGTTTTATGATCTCATTGGATGGTTTCCTTTCATGCTCGCACGCCAGCAGTTTCGGTATTAAGCCCTTGTTGTGCCTTTTAATCATCAAGTGATCGATATTCTCCATTACAACTGCACTACCAAATATGGCTTTCTCTAAATAGGTACAATATGTATTCTCATCTTTATTTCTACATTTTAGAATGTTATTGTTTAAATTTGAGATGTTTCTTTGGTTAGTCGTTTCCTTCATATCTGCTTCTGCGAGGTAATTTTGGTAAAGTTCATCGTTGCGAGTGGCGTCCCGGTGAGACTTCTTGCGAGATCTCAGCACTTTAATATAAATGTTGGTCAAGTATTGAAATTTGAGGAAATATGCGAGCGCATCGGTAACACTCGCCGAACCACTCTTGTTGCTTTTATTGCGTAACAGGCAAATGTGACGGGGCGGGGAAATGCCGCACGTTATGTCTGGAAACAAAAATAGTAATCATATCAGCTAATGTCATAGGTAGGTAAATGTAAGTAGATCTTAAATTAATTAGCTAATAAATGTTAACTATAAACATTTTTTTTATTTAGAAGTATAATATATCTGATTGTATTGGTCGGGTGGTTTCTAGGTGTCACATATTAGGTATGTATTTAAAAAAAAATGTCATTCAGTATTTCTCTGCTTAGCTTGGAACTAGATGGCGTTGTGTGAATTGTCCAGAGGGGTTATTATTATGTATATGTACATTATTATAATATACATGGCAAATTATTTCTCTGGACCACCTCCCTTATGATTTAGGTGTATAATAAATAGCCAAAAGACCTGTTTTTAGATCTAACAGTTACACATCAACAATTTCATAAAAATCTTCCATTCGAAGGGAGTTCGATAAGAAACACAGGGAACCTGGAGGTAGACCTAACATGGTACATTGGTAACAATAGAGGTTACTAGTTCCCATTACCAACAACCCCCTTCCCCCTGTCTAGGATTATTTATAATGTTCATTTATATTTAAGAAAAGAATAAGAATTACATGACGTATCATTCTTGGTTTCACACGAGCAGGGTGTAAGCAGCGGTGAATTTTCCGCTAGCCTGGTGTTGGGCGCGCTCTGTGTGTGACAGAAGTTGTTGCTGTTCCACGTGGTGTCCGTGTATGGTATCGAAACACATATAGATTCCGTGGCTTGCACCCACTTTGATGACTCGCGCAGCGAAAAGAATGTGAGCGTGACTACCGCCTTGGAAAAGATATAACAATAAATTAATATGGGTGAGGATGTAGCATGTATCCAGTTATCATGTCCAATGTCTCAGTGAAAATTTCTACTGGACATGAAATATGTGAACTATTTGCAGATTTCTTTTTTTTCTGTTTATAGTTTGGACTACGGGAATAACACCCAATATTTAGATAATTTTCTAAGGGTTACCAGTCAAAATTTAATAACGCAACTAAATAAGGCAACTGGCGAACGTGGTGTGTGCACCAATTAAAAAAAATTCTTTAAAGATTCAAAAGCGCTGGACCTGATGGAATATTTCTAAAGTTCGTAGCAAATTTAGATAAAAGCGGTAAGCGGTTTAGTACACCGTCTTAATTTTGATGGTCGCGGGTTTGATTCCTCGCACTGTACAAACATTTGTATTTATAAATATATTTGTTTATACGGTCTGAGTGTTTTCTGTATATATTATGGATATATTTACAGAAAATGTACCAAAAACATAAGCTTTGCTTAGTTTGGGACCAATTTAGATGTGACTGTCCTGAGATATTATTATTAGTATATATATATATATATATATATATATATATACTAGCTGTCACGGCAAACGTTGTTTAGCCTTAAAATAAAAAAAAAATTAGGGGTGGACTACCCCTAACATGTAGGGGGTTGAAAAATAGATGTTTGCTGATTCTCAGACCTACTCAACGCGCTCACAAAATTTCATGAGAATCGGTCAAGCCGTTTCGGAGGAGTATGGGATCGAAAACTGTGACACGAGAATTTTATATATAAGATATAATGGCGTGTCAACTTATTTGCTATAGAAAACGTGACAAATTAACTATATATTATTAAATTTATTTTACAAACCATGGTGAAACAAGCCGCAGCACATAGAGTAGAAGACAGCGGGAAGCCGTAATACTGCGAGAGTATACCCCCAAGTGCTGGACCTAGCACTTCGCCCAGCGAATAGCAACAGGACCAGACACCAGCTACGGCACTGTACGTTGCCAATGCCTCAGGACAACCACCTTCGTAGCTTTATATAACAATAATTAAATAAATATTTTTTCATAGTAAAAGTTAACAAAATACAATAATACATTTAATTAACGAACTGCATTTCCTTACAGGTTAGACCGATGATAAGTAGTTATTAGAATTATTTAACAAGTGTATTATGTATTACATTAACTGTTATGTTTGGTTTTAATTTATTATGAGATAAGTAGTCGTGGAGTACTTATATAACATACAACTAAAGCACCACCTCATATGAAAGAATGACTTAACTACACTACAACTAATGTTACAAACTTGAAAGTGTGCCCACATTTTTACTACTTTATCATGGCGAAACGGTTAAGAGATCTTACTGAAAATAAATATAGAGATAATAAAACGAGGGAGGAACAAAGGTCATCAATTAAGTCAAAAATAGAAGATGAAATCCAGAGCAATAGCTAGTCTTCTATTTTCCTATTGAAAAACTAGTGAAACACCTTCAAGTCAACCGATATTCATGACCAAGGCGTACGTATATTATGGACACAAACGTTTTAATGAAAATCGGGGTGACGACCATATAGCTGTGTGACCATATTCCTAGCTATACAATAAGGAATATCGCGTGAGATTGAACATTAAAAAAAAATGTTACAAAATTTATCTTCTCTTCTCATCGAATCGAATCTTCTGCTTTCATTTGTAGTAGGTATACAAAACAACAGATGGCTGTTTCTAAAAGATTGCTTATTTTCAAAGGTATAGCTGTGTGGCCATATTTCTAGCTACACAATGAGGCAGATAGCGTGTAATGGAATATAAAAAAGAAACTTGTTTCAAAATTTGAATGTCGATACTTCTGGTTTTATCTGTAGTATAAAAAAAAACTGGGCTGTTCTAAAAGATTGCTTATTTTTAAATATACTGTTTCCTTATTTGTTTTCTGCGTGCAATATAGAGTTATTATTATTAAATTACGCTTCCAGATGTTTTAAAGTAAATTATTTTATAGAATACTTAATGAATATTTATGGATAACATACATTGAACTGGTCAATACTCCTTGAAATGTCGGTAATAGAGTTAGTGCTACTGAAATGCCCAGAATAGACAATGCGATCAAATCCAACCAGAGCACTCTGAAACAAAATTACCAATGCAATTTATAATAAAATTAAAATGCAATTAATATTAAAGATTTTAGTCAACGGCTGTTTTATTTTGACGGCTAGCTGTATCACTTAAACATAATCATATAAGCGACATTACATCTTAACTCCAATGGTCGCAGGTTCGATTCTTTTCTTTAAACCCCATAAATATTTATATATCAATAGGAATATTGGCCTAGGTGTTTTCTCTGTATAATATGTATGTATTTACAAAAATGTATTTAAGTATTTCTAGTTACCTATAACACAAACTCTGCCTAGAGTGGGATTAGCTGGCGCTGTGTGAATTGTCCTGTGTTAGTATTATTATAAAATAATCTTTATTTATTATTAATAATGTCTTACTGTGGAAGGCCTGGGATGAAGGGACACGGACCGAGTAGAAGTAATCCAATAGTTGACAGGAACAGTCCCCACACCATCATACACCAATGACTGTGTACTCTGAAATATATTTAATAAACACATAATATTAAATACTAATTAAATACGAATTTTAATATTTATTATGTGATTTATTAATAATAATCAATATTTTCGCAAACCGTGAAATAAATTGGACAACGCGATAAAAAGTTTCATATTGCCCTTTCCTCATGAGTGGGTTGAAAGTACATAGTGTCTCCTGGATGCCTTCTATGTTAACATTTATAATAAACGATTTAGGGATTTAGTTGTAAAAAATATACAAAACAACTTCCTTACTCATTTATACTCTCATTCATTCATCTCGGGTTATTTTAGAAAAAATGTAAGTAGGTACTATTTTAAAACGCGGTTAGTATTTATGCGTATAATTAGGATCATATTAGGAAAAATATATTGACAAAAACTCATTACTGTTTTAAATTTGATGCGCTCATTATTTATGCGTATAATTAGTAGAAATCACGGAAGATGAATATCGAGCGAGTATCGATAGTAACAACAAACGAAGAAGTGTGAAGGTAGCTGATTTTGTCAGCCCATAAAAGATTTTATTTACCACTAGCTGTTCCCGTGACTTCGTCCGCGTGGAATTTAACTTTATTTTAAAATAAAAGTAGCTTTAGTTACTCCTTATAACATCAGCTACCTGCCAAAAAAGTCCAGTCAAAATGGGTCCAGCCATTTCAGAGATTAGCCGGAACAAACAGACAGACAGACAAAATTTATAAAAAATGTTATTTTGGTATATATACCGTATATATATTCATACGCTTGTAGTAAAAAACGATTATTTTAATATTACAAACAGACACTCCAATTTTATTTAGACGTATATATGTAGGTACATATCTTCAGTTTAACTGTGATCATGGCGATTGATACACTGCCTAAATATCGGGAACTCAAAAAAAATAAAACCGTGATTAATTAAGAGTAATTCCCGTGATTTTTACTATTATAATTCCTTATTATTTTATACTATAATAATGTAAAATAAAAGTAAAACTAGCTCACCTATCTGCTACCCATCCCCATATGGGACTAAATATGCCGTACAAACTGGAGAACAGCAGGAATATCAATCCAATTTGTTTCGTAGACAGATTGAACTGTCTTAAATGTGGTTCCAAAGTGGGATCGAGGAATGCCCATGTATTGGACATGACCACAATGACCAGGCCGGTAATTATGATTGAAGGAATCTTGAAAAGGCGCAGTATAGATGCAGTTTTAGACCCATATATGACCTCTGTGGACAAATATGTGATTTTTATGACTATAAGGAAAGTTAAGATTGCTATAATGTATAACATTCTCAGATAGAAATGTTGTTAAAAATATATTGATTGCTACACCGCTAGACCAGCCCTCGGTGGTTTAAGTCACCGCCTTACTTCCGTTGCTCGCGGGTTCGAATCCTCGTTCCTTGCAGGATAGAAATACTCTATGTATAATATAATATTCTATGTATAATATAATAAATAAATACAGAAAAAAAAGTATTTGTATCAGTTGTTTAGTACCCATAACACAAACGCTCTGTTTGGCTTGGAAGAAGATGGCGTTGTGTGAATTGGGCAAAATAAGGCTGAGTTCTGTATTTTTCGCCACTAAACGTAAACGGCAACAGTGCCCTATATACATGAACAGCACTACCGACATCACGTCATGTAAAATGTAAGATGTCATGCTTCTTTTGATATAATTTTAGGTTCTAGTCACTGAATAACTGGTTAAAAGCAGTAAAATTTTATAGGTGTAAAGACCTTCGCAGTCAGTCAGCAAAAAGTAGTTGATGGGAACAGTAAACACCATTACGATGCCAAGGCTGTAAAACGGTAGACTGAAGCCCCCGATCTACCTGGAACATTAATACAATTTAATGATAATATATGAAATATATCAAACGAAAAAAGATTATATATATTTTTTAATTTATTTTGGTACAAAAAATCATTACAGTTATAATTACAAGTATATATACATATATATACATAGTTGATAGACAACGAGTTCCGAAAAGTATTTAGTAGTATTATATTAATAAGTAGTGTTAACATAATGAGCCTAGATAATAAGGATAGGTCTTTTTTTACACAGACAGTGAAGAAAACATAACTGTTAATTATTAAGCAAACAAAGAATACTTAAGTACATTACAATATCTAATATAGGTATTTAAAATACTTTAACCCACTGATGTGATGAAGAAATCCTAGTTATAGTTGTTTTCTTTTACCGCGCATTATGCGCATACGTAATGCGCCACAGATGCATTATTTCGCACACCCAAAACGTCGTCTTGGCTGTATGATTTTGATTTACTGTTTTGTAATCAGTTTGCACTTATGTCGATGCCCGCTTTAGGTCTCCCCTGGGCAAAGTGACACATTTGGCATGGTTTTGAGATGGGCCTCATGTTTATAATTATATATTTTATTAATATAATTAACAATATAATGATTTTTTTAATATAGTGACAAGAATTTTAGAATAATAACTTAAGAATTTGCTTTATTCGTTTTTGACACCGAAATCTAGCATTGTATTTAATGGCCCGGAGCGAAAGGGTTTCAAACTCATGTCGAGTCCATTTTCGAGATGCCCTGTGGCTGCGTGCGTGGGCCCCACGTTGGGAAACGCTACTCTATAAGATTTGTCATTTTGTGAGAGTTGTTTTTATTTTAAATTCGTCTGGCACTGTTATATGTAAGTAGTTAATGTCCATACCGAGTACAATAGTCCGCCAATAGCTGGCCCCACAGACATGCCGAGACCCACGAATGTCTCCAGTATGCCGAGGACGGAGCCGATGCTGTCAGGAAACTCGTTTACTACGAACACGTAACTCGCCGTAGAGTACGCGCTTGCACCCAGCGCCTCCATGCCTCGTACCACGAAACATAGTGTTAGGAATGTCGTCTTATCTTGGACTAAAGCTAGGGTTCTGAAACCGATATGATTTTTACATTATAATTAATTTTAATTAACTGACTGCAACTGCTGCAACTCTCTAGCGGTTTAGCATACCGCCTTATTTCCAATGGTCAAGGGTCCAGTCCACGTACGATACAATCATTTTGTATTCATGATTGTTTGTGTTGACCTGGGTGTTGTCTATGTAAGTGTACGTAGGCATCTACAAAAAAGATTGGTTTCCTACCCATAACAAACTCTGATTATCTTAGGACTAGATGGCACTGTGTGAATTGTTCAAGGTTATTATATAATTATATAAGAAATAAGAACTTCGTAGATTAATAGTTGACTACAATGTCGAGAGATAACTGCAACAAGTAACATAACTTCGAACATTATGACTTAAAATTTAGCCGAAACCAAGTATATTCTGTTAATTTATATTCCTGACTGCATCTCCCGTGCTGAAAACACCATTAACAAACCAAATCAATCTGATATACCGAATTATGGGCACTCACAAATATCACTAGAGACTTATATACAATTATACTCTCAGGTCAGGAGTTCGAAAATATAGTGAAATCAATATGTGTAACTAGTGAACCTGACATTGCATAAGACTATCAACCACAAAGCAGCCCATGTCCATAGGCATGGTGTTTATTATATTACACATACTCGTATTAAAGAGCGTGCACACCATAATACAAAGACATGTATTTTCATTAATGTTCTATGTACCTAATTTATTTAAAAACTCATACTATTTTATGAGTTACTAAAAAAGGTATTTTTTGTGTTAATTGTAGAAATTTATTTTTAAAGGACTAATGATTCTGTTTTGTACAGAAACATAGATTTTTTTTTAACTATGTTTTATTTAAATATATTTCGGTGATTATCTTTATAAATTTTCAAGAAGGGTATATTAAGGTTTCTTAAGGATCGACAACGCGCACGTGACACCGGTGTTTCAGGCGTCCATAGGCTACGGTAACCGTTAACCATCAGATGCGCCGTATGCATATTTACCACCTACGTGGTATAAAAAAGATATGCTTATCTGATAGACGTTATGTAATCATAAAAAACATCCATTTTAAAATACACCTATGTATCTAAACTTTTTTTTATTCTGTATAACTTTTTTTAGTTAATTTTTTTATAATATAATTTTTTTTTTAGTCTGTTTTTTACTTTACAACCAAATTTTATATAATCATTCCTATACTTCAAAACGTTTTGTTTTGTTTAAAATGTATATATATAATGTCGACATAATCTGTTTTACAGAAGCCTCTTAATATGTCGACGTGTGAGTGATCAAGATGTAATTACAGGCAGGTTAGGTTACTTATCCGTTGATAAAAAGTGAAAGTATTGTGCCAAAGTACCTATACTTCTTATTTAGATTTTGTTCCATAAAAAAAAACTAATTAAGAAAGATTGGTGTAGATGTAAAAAATCAGTAATCGATATGTATTCACTATGGACTAAGGTACTTAAAAACAGACGAGGGATAATTCGAATTAAAATAAAATAAGTTTCTTACCCAAAAATTACATTGCAGGTCCCCGCTACAAACATGCCTGTAGTGAACAAAAACTTAGCTCCCACTTTTGGTAACTGAAAAATGGAAAGAATTTCCTTGTTTTTATTTAAACAGTAATTTCTAATTTTAAATGTAAGATATGATCTGGATATGTTGATACATTCGAAATAATAATACATTATATATAGTATGTAGATGTAAACCGATAGAAATGAGATAAATACTTACTACTATAGGTATTAGTTACTAGTAAAGTTTGCTAGTGTAGCAACTAGCAAACTTTTGCTAGTTCCTACGATAAATTAGTAAGGTCTTACTCAAGTATGGCTACACTCAGGGGCGGACCGGGAATTTGCGGGGCCCTGGGCTAAATTTAGTTAGGAGCCCACCTAAATATATTACTCAACTAAAAAAATACACCCACCAAAAAGAAGCGACCAGAAATCGCGACAGTTTATGCCGAGTATGGGCCATATAAAGAAATACTAACTGACAACTACTTACAACACAATATACAGATATGTTATTATTTTACTATATGATATATACATATATAACGATAATTTTGAACATTGTTGAATACTTACAAATTTTCCAAAAAATGGAGATGTGATGAACATTACTACGGCGTAGAAACTGAACACTACACCGCACATAATATCCGAGAGACCTTTCATAGAGGCTTCACGAGGGAAGAATGGCGCCATGATGCTCATAGAGCAGAAACTCATAAAATCCACTAGGGCAAGGGATACGAGAGTGAGCCGCTGCTTTCCTGACAGTAGACGCACCGCAGCTGGTCGTAGTCGCGACTGTGTACGGACTAGTCTATAAATAAAAATAAAAAAAGTATTTTTTTATGGATCTTAACGGAATGGTGCACCCGCCTGCACTTGCACTTGCGGTATACTTTGGTGAGACCCCGGTGAAGGATGATAGGATGATCATGAAGTTAGGCCATTAGCCCATCGTGACGAATTCACCAGGAATTAACATGATAAATTGTTAGCAATAGGATTATTATTATTGTGAGTTATATGTTATATAAACTATACATCTCTTTAAATAGGTACGTCCTATTTTAACAGAATTCAGCTATGCAGCTATGCACTAGTTTTTATAACTGTAACGCATGTTCCATAATTATATTTTTTTTATAAATGGAATAGAAAACTATTTGACGGTCCATCCCATGGTGGACGGTAGTGGTAACGATTGATTATTAAATTAATGTATATATAATAATCCATAATATACTTAACATTTTCTGTTCAATGAGTCAATACAATAGCCCAAATAATCCTTTAGCTCCTTGAAAAATCTTGGTGAAATTTCGTAGTAAGCTAAGATACTAATAAATAGTTATGTGTTCTTAATAATCCGCAAAATGAGTGGCACGTGAATTATGAACACAGGCACAACCTACACACACAATTACAACCTACATGTATTTACATGTCTTTCCTGCAGTTAGTAAATATGGTATAGGTACTTTAACCAAAACATTTACCTGTTATCGCTTTATCTGCACTAGATAGATAAATTATAACTTGAAATATACCAAACATTGTAATAAACACACCGGCAGCCAAATGATATATAAAGTAAATAACAATTAATATTGTTATTGAATTACTATTAAGTAGATATATATAGATACATTTAATTTTTTTTTGTCTGAATCTGTTCCAAAAGAATAAGTTAGTAATGTACCTATTAATATACTATGTACCTACTATCCGATGTATGATATTAAGTAAGTACACCAATATATAATTATAATATCACGTATGCGTGTCTATTTGTATAGTATAAATATTGACATGACATTTATTTACTGTAACCATTGTTTTAATGCATTGTACTTATGTACTCATTACATTTCTTATTAACTGCATTTTACCTTGATTTTTAGTACTTACTGCTTGATAAATGTAAAATTACTTCATTCATAGACAGACTTCATTAGATTTTCTCCACAAACTGCCATGTAATGATCTATCACAAAGTACCGAGTTGTGGTACATGTGAAGTCGTCACAAAGTATGAAATAGGTACAATACCAATTCAGTAGTCTTACCTTTCCCTTAAAATTCTAATCTCAGAACTAACATCGTCTGGGGCTCCACCAGACCACGATTGCGCTCGTCGTAATCCGCCTGAATCCGCCAGCGACCGCCTCCCTCCCCACGTGGCGGCCAGATCACCCGCCTTAGTCGATGTCTTCATCATTCTACTATCAAACACTATATCCAAGGACTCTTTCCTAACACTATTACAGTCATCGGAACTGTCACTGTTCAAACCACTAGTCCTTATAGTCCCGGCGCATAACGGAGTAGTCTCGTCTGCATCATCGCATTCTTCCATATTGAACACACGTTGCACCGACGCAGGTCAATCACGGAATATAGAATTTACTTGAGTATGTACGCTGTGTAATAATAACCGATCGTAAACAAATCGGCTCGCTATCGCCGTGTCAATACACCAAGCTCCACATTACCGACTGTCTTACTTGTAACTGAACACCACAATCAATTTAATATACCTATCGATATCTTATCGGATGCAAATAAACCTCCATAGATGGAGGGCACTTGTTTAAGTGTATCTACTATACGGAAGGCGATCGGCTATGGCAGCTAGCATCCTGTTAAATTATTATTTACCTACCTACAAGATAAAATAATATTAAAGTGTATGAACACTGATATTATAGGTTATGCAATTTGTTCAATTTTCAAATTTGCCTGCGGTTAGATCATAGACATGTGTATTATATGTATATACTTATATATAACCAGGGACGTGGCTCCAGTCATTACATAATGATGAGATCACTATGCTGTGGGGTAGTGGTAAAATGTCGTACATTACCGGCTATATTGTTTGCTATAGCTTTTCAATTATGTAACTATATTTATATAATTCTACGTTGTGTTCATTTTCAATTTCGGTCAGTACACGCCGCTACACAAACAAAATAGGTGCCATTTTATAAATAAAGTGCAAGCTGTTCAGTAACTGTCAAGACAAAATCAACTTATTGAGTATACTAGGAGTTGTAGGGACTGGTCTGCTCTAATCACTACGACCTAAAAAAAACAAATTTCGAATGTTTTCGGATTACAAATCTATTGTAAACTAAAAAAAAAATGTTCTGACGAATGTTCAGATAGACGTGAGGGCACGTGACCCGTAGCATTTGCTACTCTTGCTACTAGACTAATCCGGTACTGATTGTGAGTACTATTCACAATTTTTAATAAATACTTAATGTTTTTTAACAATAATACTTTCCAGACTCATACATTATATTATGCTCAAACTATTGAAGCATAACAAAATAAGCAAATTCATGCATTTTCTTTCTAATTATATTTGAATTTCATTCCTTAGTGACATCCGTCCCTAACTTTTCTCAAAAAAGTAATAACGCTCCTAATGTTCGATCTTTATAATTTGAGTAGATATGATACAAAACGTAGTTATCAATAAAATAAAACAAAATACAATTGTCCTAATACTTTATTTAACACATATTATACTTCAGATATTATTTAACAATCACTGTAAAAATGCCTGTATGTGAAAATTGAAGAAAATTTGTTCAGTCAAATAATGTTTTGTAATAACATTTATACATATTTATGATATACTTATAAACATTTTCAGTCAGACATATTAACAAGACAGACAAATTTACATACATTTTAAGTTTCAATTTCAAAGAAATTATTGTCGCGGTAGTCTACAACTCAATAATTAATTTAAAATAATATTATTTCAAGTAAAACAGGACTGTCATTAGAAAATTAAAACTATTAAAAGACAAGTTTATTAAACTAAGCTTTATTCTATTAAATTAAACTTAGTTCATATATTTCAATATTGGATACTGTCCATAAAAATTATGGCCGAAACAAAAATTGATTTTTTTTAATTGTATGACTCGTACACTACGTTTATTCTTAAACGGGCCTTTAACTGGCCCGAATATTCTTCGGTTTAATTATCAGTGAATTATAGTAATTTCCTTACAAGAATGTAAATATAACTGTCAAATAAACTGACTAAAACCATTGATAATAAACTTGGACAGTATAAGAAAAATAGTCACTCACATGTGACAAATATTATACATTTTCATGTACAGTAGCAATTGCAATTCTGAAGTGGTGCGTATAAAAAGCATAACAGTGGATTTCAATCCGTTTCAAATTATTATTATTAGTAACGGCGTAACATTATTAATATGTATTTCAGGCACACTAGATTGCAATAAATATAAACATTCTTTATATATATGTTTAAATATAGCGATTTTACTTTTTTACATCTAAAATAAATGATGAATTAGGATTTTTAGGGATCATGTATAAAAATATATTTCATTATATAATTCGCGGCAAACAAGAAGAGCCATAGACAACCAAGCTTGCGTTGTAGATTTTTATAAAACTTACTGCGCAAGAGATGTATTAAATTCATGCTAAAATTGTTTGCCGATATCTAGACTCAGTACAACAGCTTTGATAACGAGCTAGCCCACACTTTATTAAAGTAAATATTCTATAACAATCTTTACACACAAATAACGTCACAGCATTAAAAAACAATTATTTATTGAAGCAATAATAATAATAATAAAAAAAACTAATTAAATGCAAACACATTTCTTACCAACAAATGGAGGTACTTATAAATAAAAGTTACAGCTGTAGAAATATAAAAAAAAATATTATTATGCTTAATCACATGTATGATGTGTGGGTTTGTAACAATGTGTTGAAGCGTGCGAGATCATAATCTTAGTAGATCTAGTTCTTGTTGCAACACTTGTTCACTTTCTATCTTGGCCAATTGGTTCAATTCCAACTGCTTCCCAGCTGCCCTCTGTTGTTTTAACTTGTCTATATCACTCAGTTTCTGCAATAATTTAATTATATTATTTTTACCGTGTTCTGTGTCTTTTACTTTGTATAATTACAAAGACCTACTTACTAAGGTTGGGTGTCTTTGTTTTACTATTAGTGCCACCATACAGCTTAATTTTTTTTGTTTTTTATGTAAACGGAATAGCGTACAAGCGATGGACCTGATGGCAACCGTCGCCTACGTACGGCACGGATATCACGTCATTCTGTGCTTCTTATGCGTTGCTAAAGGTATATTTATGGTTATATGTATTAAGGTTGCTATAAGGATATTACGCCCATATATCTTGTAAATTCTCTCCCTCCAATTGATACACAGCTTGCTTTAGGGTAAGACAGAGTACCCCACTATGTTCGAAATAAACCTTAGGTGGTTTGTATACTGGGAATCAGTTTGTAGACGTATGGAAGTTAAATTAGTAATACAGTGACATGACTATTTAATAATCAGGTTATATATTGACGGCCTCGGTGGTCTAGCGGTCTAGCACACCGCTTTACGTCCGATGATGGCGGGTTCGATTCATCGCACGGCACAAACATTTGTATTCATGAGTATGATTGTTTGTATCGGTCTGGGTGTTTTCTATGTATAATATAAATAATAAATAAATATTACGATAAAAAAATTATCTATGTACTTGTATCAGTTATCTAGTACCCGTATCACAAGCTTTGGATAGTTTAACTTGGGACTAGATGGCGCTGTGTGAATTGTCCTGAGATTATTATTATTATATGAAGAGTATGGATGTCACATCGCACAAGTTAAGCGACTTTTGCCACTGTCTACCAGGTAGACAATCGGCTTGTTTGCAATATATATTAGATAAAAAAAATTAAATATAAAAGCCTCGGTGGTCTAGCGGTTTAGCACTACCGATGGTCGCGGATTCGATTCCTCACAAAGTACAAACATTTGTATTCATGAGCATGATCGTTTGCATCAGTTTGGATGTCTATCTATGTGTAATACATATTTTACATCAACATCCAATGTATCCATCCAACATACTTATGTATTTACAAAAAAACATATATACCTATGTATTTGTATTAGTCATCTAGTACCCATAACACGAGCTATAACTTAACTTGGGACTAGATGGCGCTGTGTAAATTGTCCTGAGATATTATTATTAATATTATAAAGAGCAACAGCTATGGTTCTTAACACTTACTTTGTTTAAATTCTTTATTTTCTTATCCTTTTCTGGGTCCCCTGTGGAGACAAAGGCAGGCCTTGGCGCTACGGGGGACTGCGGTGGCGGGGGGTCGCCTGTTGCTCGCTCTTCAGCTTTCTTAGCTTTTCGCGCTTCTCGCTTTTCTCTCTGTTTGATAGCTTGCTTAGACGGCGTTGCTGTAATAAAATAATTGAAGTAACTCAGTTTTCAGTATTATTTTTTAGTTTAGATTATATCTGTACTAATGTTATAACTATAAATTGTGTCGCATTTTGTGTATATTACCTTTTCACGACTACATGAAGGAAAATGAATCTTAAAGTCTTACGTGAAGTTATACTCTATCTTTATGATGAACAGAGACTATCATTTTCAAAAAAGCAAATTAAATTGCTGGTAACAGCTATTTGCATACAGATCAGTTGACACCAATATCTTTTAATCTTATACATTTAAGTATTACACCTATTCATGCAATATTAGTTTCAACATACCACTAGCATTTTCTCCAGGACGATGCGGTTTCTCATGTTCGTGTAACGTGAAATTAGAGGGCTTATTTCTTGCGCCTGGCGGACGATATGCACCGACAGGCTTCGGCGTAGAGTCCTCGATGCCTTTGGGGGCAGCTCTTGATAACTCACTCTTGGGATACTGTCCCGGCCGCCAGTAGATGCCCAGTAAATTTTCTTTCTCTTGGCAAACATGTTTATGCAGAAGGGCTCCGGTGTAGTGCCAGATTTTGTATCTAAAATTAGATGATGGATTAAAAAGTACATAGAAACAAATTTATGGTTTTAACTAACTATTAGTTAACTGGTATTAGGGATACCGTGAAATTGTACAAATCAGCTAAGATATGAATCGCAGTCAGTCGCTTATAAGTACGGTTAACATGTCACGCCATTTTGGATTTTAATATTTTCTAACAAGTTCATTATTTTCATTTGTTGTTAGCAGTGTTCTACTGAAGAAATATATTTATTGAAACTTTAATGCACAAATATAATATATAAATGTACATATTGTAAACTTAACACCTAGTCTCTGTCTACCAGTCAACCATAAGGCAAACTAAGAAGTTAGTAAACAGCGCATTATAGTTTACCAACATTTACGTGGTAACTTCACAATCAATTTAAAATTATATATAAATAAATGCAAATATATATAAATAATGCGCAAATATATATTGGTTATATATATTTGAGCATTAATTTATCTACTGACCATATATTATTGCAAACGCAAAAACATCTTTAAATTGATTTACCTGTATAGCCTAGAGATAATCCATAAATTACATTAGAATAATTTCATGTTTTATATTATGTTTTAAAATGTGATGTCACGAAGCCTGCGGGCCTCATTCGGTCTACAAACTGTATCAAGAACTACATAAATTAATAATAATAATAATTCAGTGCATTTATTATTTGAATTTGGCCCACCTACAGATTCTAAATTTAATAGCGGTAGAATAAAAAACTTGACTATTCAAAAGTGCTTATATTAAGTTTATTTGAATAGATTATTTCTATTTCTAATATATATTTGACCCCTCTGCCTTACAGGAACGTTTTATTTCCTCACGTACTGTTAGGAAAGCTCCAATGATCTAAATTATACCTTAGTGAATACATACCCGTTGCCGACCGTAAGCCTGGGGTATGTGGTGGCGGTGAGGAAGGTTTCTCCGCGCGGGTCCCATTGCAGGCTGGTGGTATCCGGGGCGGAGCACGTGCCCACCTTCTTGTAGCCTTGCATGGTCCACACCTCAATGTGTCCACTGGCTATGTTACCAAAACCGCCCAATAGAACATGTGTGTTCAAGTTAAGGATGCAATTGTATATAAATGATGTAATATTAATCATTATAACATTAATTAAATTAGTATATTGAAATTAGTGTGCTCAACGAACATTTAATTAAATATGAAATGTTAATTGAGCAATACTGTAAAAACGAAATACTATTAATATATAAGTATATCCTAATATTTATTCCTGGCATGAAAGACTGGCGTCTACTACGAAATAATAAAACGTAGAATAATATCGAAAGCTCGAACATTGTCATGGTAAATATCTCATTTATGCAACTTTACCACAGATATTTAAAAGATATTCGTATCTTTTAAAGACAGTCATGAGCAATAATACATAAACAATTTTGTATCCAGTTACAGCAAACATATATCATAGCTCCATATTTCTACACGATAAAAAAATGAGGTACCCATGCAGACAACTTTGTACTAATTCTACTTCCGTTTTATATAAAAATATACCTACACCATTGACTAGTATGGTAGTAGGCCATGTGTGACTAATTATAGACTAATGGCTGAATATGTTCAATATGAAAAGGATATAATTTCCTTCTGGTGGTATGTAAACAGCATTCCAAGACCCAGTCCCGAACTCGTAAAGTGGATCACACTTTGCGTTGAACAGCGTCGCTTTGGCTGGAGCATGGCCATACACAGCTACCCACTCGTTCGAATTGCCGGGGTTCCAAGATAATGCGTGGATAGGGCCTTCTTTACCTGTAGGAAAATAATTTATTCTTTAGTTCCTCACGAATCAAAATTAAAGAGAATCGGAAGGTAGCAAGTAATCATTCGAAATTACAATATAAAACGGTTTAGCCATCTTAAAGCAATTCAATGCAAAATTATTTAAATTAATATAATTTCTCTTGTCTCTTTTAATAACATAAAATCAGGTCGACCTCCAGATTAAAAACATTCTTGAAAACATTGTGGTTTGTTACAATGGTCTAACGGACCTAACTTCATTCAAATAATCTTAATGGTGCATCGCCAGCGAATGTGGATAGAGCAGTCGAATGAACAACATTATCATTCACTAAATAATTAAAAAGTGTACTGACAATAAATATAATGGGTGGCTTAATTATAAGCAGATTGTACCTAAAACTTACTAAATGCCATATTCCCAGCGTTTCCTTTCACGTCGCCGTATGATAATGATTGTTTCCCATAATAAGACCCGCCAGTTTTGTCTACCTGTAAACAAATTATAAGCATCTTATTTGATCTTAAGTAGAATTGTAACTTATATTGGCTTAATATTTATTACAAGCAGTAACGCTATAACTCATAGCCCAGTTGACAGAGAATACACAATTGGAAAGGTTTTAAGGGCAGGTTGCGTTCTTTTCTGTTGGAACAGTCTAATAGAAATAAATAAAAAAATAAAAAGTACTTATATAATTGTAACACACTGGCTTAGATGCCCCGTATATTTCCAATAAGAGTCGGACGACTCGTGCCGACGACACAATTGAAAATAAGCTGACGGCCCACCTGATTGTAAATGGTAACCGTTGTGTATATTCATGAACTGCACTATGGACATCAAGTTATCATGTGACGCCCGTGACCACTCATACATTTCCATTTCGGAGGACTAAGATGACATGCTTTGTACACTATAATTTCACTAACATATCTATCCCTTAATTGAAACATATTATAAAATGCTAACTATATTTGACGCTAAAGTAAGTGAGACAGAGGTGTAATATCTAGGGAGTAAAATAACAATATTTACGTCAGTTTGTGTCATCGCAAATATGTTGGTGCCTCGTCTATTCCAGTAGAATGTAGCTTTGTCAGCCTGAAAGGTAGAGCGGCTGACGACTGATTGTGTTATATCCAACTGCGGGTATTTTAATACACGCCATGCTGATGGCTGACCTTGCTTTCCTGGACATGAAATCATAATAACAATTCACTAATGCACTATTCACACAGCAATATGCTACCATAGCAAAGCATGTGTTATTGGTAGTCGATGATACTTAGATACATTATTTTGGAAATACTACACAATAAACATAGATAACAATTCAAAGAATCATACACATAATCATGAATACAAATGCTTGTATCGTACGAGGAAATGAACCCGCGACTATAGGAAGCAAATGCGATGCGCTATACATCTAGACCACGGAAGTAGAAGTTGTTTAACGCCCACAAACTATCAAGCAGTTTGGCGATAACTGTACATAAAACTTATGTGACTTTTGTTACAAGAATAATAAATATCATATAATATAATTTGTATTAATACATAAATAGCGAAAAATAATTCACAGAAATGAAATTATATTTATTTTTAAAAGCGGTCTATTAGTACATTCTAATAGTTTTATTCCATCTATTGTAGTTCCTCCTACATACCATGTTACTTTGAAAGTTTGACATATATTTTTTACCTAATGTGAAAACAGCTAAATAATATGATGGCCCCGGACTTGGCGACAGACTAAAAGATTTGAGCTTATCAGCCTGTAGGTGCTGCACATAGCGATCGAATACACCATCCTCATAGAAGAGTATCCTTGATGTCATCTGAACACAAAACAGTTTCTCATCTGATGACCATTGTGGTTCCCTAAAATAATACTTCAAAATTAAACATATGTGATTGATTGATACAAGATTATTCTTTTATATTATATAATATATATATATAATATATAATATATATATATATATATATATATATATATATATAATATACTATAATAAATATATATATAATATAATTATTTTAAATATGACTTGTAAACATAATAATATAATAGAATAAAAACAAAAGAAATTACTAAAAATAATAAATACATTGTCACATATATAATACGCCATTCCTGATATTCCATTAAATTACTAAAACAAAATATATTGGTATTGTAATTATTACTTCAAAAATTATTTTACAAAATAATTCCACAATTTTCCATAGTTTTGAACATATTTAAAACCAGTAGTATTATTTTAAATAATAGAAAATAGTTTTTTAGTGTTAATCCACCCACAGCCTTTGTCATGCTATTACTTTTATACAGCATTATCATACAGCAGAAAATAATGTAATTATTCTATTACATTCATTCATAGTGTCAATGCACAAACTTTATTATATTAATTACTACTATGGTCACATTCTATAACAACATATTCTAATGTTGCAAGTTTCTCAAAATATTATTAATTATATTGTGAAGTACAATAGAAATATAATAGTATAATATATAATGAATGAAATATAAATGGTAATGGTAAGTAATTTAATTGGAAATGCACTTTTTTTTAATTTCTCTAATTCAAGTATTTAATAAGTCCTAAAATAATACTAGATTCTAGGAGTAATTTTATATCCTTGGATGTTAAATGCACTTACCATCCGGCTTGATTTTTCTGCATAAATGATCCTATACATTCACCTGTAGCAGATTTATAGACATGGAGATTTGGTTTACCCTGTTAAAAAGTCATTTATTAGTATATTATTATTACATTTAGTTTTATTGAAATTGATAGTTATTTATGAATGGAGCCCAAACAGGCTCCATTCATAACTAACTATCCCAGTGTTCCTTGACCTACACATCTTGTATCTATAAGTATATATATATATATATAAAATAATTTTCAGTGCCTATTTATAAAAATTAAATAAATTCACATAACTTATCTTTTATAAAGTTGATAATTGCTAATAGCAAATAATGTGCTGCCATCAAAGTGAAATCCTGCATTAACAAATGTTAATACAATATCTGTTCAATTCTATAAGGAAATGTATTGAGCCAATTTGATTCCTACTATTGCAGTACACAAAGATAGTTGCTTCTTGTAGTGTTTTTTTTCTACATTCTTATCTTTGTGTTTGCAATAGAGAATAAAGTATTTATCTATATGTAGTATATATAGTCTTTGGCATAATTAATGTTGTTGTTTATAATGTTCTGTGCAGTTGACAGAGTCTGTATTGTAAAAATGGTGGGAATGGCCTAATTAAATGTGAAGCGCAAATTAGCATTTTATTTATTTTAATATTTAAATACAGTACAAATTGGCGACAAGTAATAATCCAAGTGTGTAATTAAGTCTGCATTATTAAAATTGTATTGTAAATGTATGTAATGGCTGGTTACGGAAATATACTAATAACTACCACTATAATACATAATAATATACCTGAGGGGTTTCCTTTGTCAGAACAAACATCTCCCAAACCATGAAATAAGTATCTAATGGTGAAAAAAACATATCTTTCACATTGCCATCTATGGTTGCTGTGGTTGACCAGTCTGCACATTTTATTATTTCAACCCTAAAATTATATAGAATAATAATATAACTGTTTATTGTTTATCTACAATGGTTTAAATTCAATCATATTTTTTAAATAAACATATTTTTGTATAAAAACAACAGTGTTACAATTGTAATTTAAAAATATTTTTGTTTAAATAAGTAATGTTAAATCCTTTCACCCTACATAAAAATAAAATAATATTATATTCTTATTCCAGGTGACAGGTATTTAAAATATGGACCTATATTAGCAATATCCATCATCCACATTATATATACATTAAGACTCATACATGTTAGAGGGGAAGGGGATTGTTAGTAATGTGGATTGATAACCCCATTGCTAGCAATGTACCATGTCAGGTCGACCTCCACGCGGTTCCCCCTGGAAACCATCGTGTTAAATTCCTGGTGAATTTGTCACGATGAGCTAACTGACCTGACCTCATCCTCCACTGGTGCCCCGCCAACGTAAACCGTTAGCGCAGGTGGGGCACCAGTGGAGGATGATAGGATGAGCATGAGGTCAGGTCAGTTAGCTCATAGCGCCAACGTAAACCGTTAGCGCAGGTGGGTGCACCATTCCATTATCATCCACAAAAAAAATAAAACAAAATAATAAAATTGTCTATGTGGTCACGACTTTGACGACTGTAATCTGCCACAACAGCGCTGACACACATTAATAATAGCAAAGAAAATATAATTTAATATCAATAATACCAAATATAAAATTTTAAAAAATTCATACTTTCTATCACTTCTGTACGCAAGATATGTGCCTTTAGGACTGTATATAATACTACGTATGTTTGGAGTTGTTTCATCCCTGAGCGTTTTTTCTCCATAAGGTTCTTTGAATTCAACTAAGAAAATGTTTTTGTTGGTCAAACCTGTAACAAAATTTTATTAATTTATAACCTTTTCTTCACACAAATTTATAACAATAAATAAGTTTTGTCTATACCGGCAATGTGTGGAGTGGCACTCATTTTAGTTCTAAGTATAATATTTTATGAATTACAACTACAAAATTTTCATTCTATAATATTCCTCAATATTCAAGATTAGCACATTTTAATATTTGGTTTACTTTAATTATACTGTAATTATATTATCTTTATTTCACAGATTACAAATGTTTTATTTGATATAATGACTGACTGAGACTGACTGCTCGAATGCGGATATAAATATTATAAATTATAATTCATGTGTGTAATATGATTGAATGAAACTGTCGGCTGACAGTCGACATCAAGCAGACTTTAATTATGGTGGCGCTACTATACTATAATGCAAAAATGTAATTTTATTGTAGTGCCAGTGTTTACAATACAAATTAAATTAGTTATATGAGTTTGTAATTACATTCTATTTAAGTAATTGGAATAGCAAACAAGCTGACGCTCCACCAAATACATTTTGTTTTGTAATATTTTTGAAATAATACGCAATACATTTATAATTACTTATTATTAAAAACAACAATGACTTACAATTAAAATTATGTGACTGTGTACTAAAAAGCATGATAGCTTTATGGGCACACAGGGTCGTATATAATACAATAAAATACTTATATGCTAAATTTGTGACAGGTTTACAAACATAAAATATTACAACTTACTTTTTTATATTTACCGTTTATATACAGATCATTTAACAGTTGGAATTGCGAGCTATATAGCTTAGCTAGCATCTGAAGTTCTAAAGCAGTTCATAGAAAATCCCTAACCTACCAATTTTAATCCGTTACACTTGAGAATTCGTATAAGGAATTATCATCCACTGAAATGGGATAAATTCATTTACGTTCAGTAACTTACGTTCATCCTACCATTCATTCATAATAGTTGAATTCATTCATTCAATTCAAAATGGCTTCTTCGGAATGTGTATTTGTGTTATTTGACTTGTACAAAAAATAATTCTATTACATAAAATCTGTTAAAACATACTCTTTGAATAATATTTCATCACCTAATTTATTTAGGTCCTGAAGTTTTAAATTAATTTAGATATTTTGTATCATATTATTTTATTCAATGTTTAGCAGTAAAATTCAACTACAGAAACGTACTCCTAGAAATGGTACTGATCGTGAAAGTTTTCTATCATTATTAGTAGACGAGTATATTAATTCCTCTTCATATGGTATGTATTCTACTTATAACTATCTGCACCCGCGACTTCGTCCGCGTGGAATTTAACGTTATTTTTCTAAAAAAAAAGAATGTTTCTAAAATAAAAGTAGCCTAAGTGCTTATTACATCAGCTACTTGCCAAAAAAAGTCTCGTCAAAATCGGTCCAGCCATTTCAGAGATTAGCCCGAACAGACAGACAAACAGACAAAAATTGTAATAAAATATTGTTTTGGTGTATGTACCGTTATTCATATGCGTATAGTAAAAAACGGCTATTTCAATATTACAAACAGACACTACAATTTTATTTATATGTATAGATTAAATCAACTTATTTGTATACTCCATACATGCGAAATAATTATTTGAACATTAGCTTTGTATTTTTTATTCTATGTGTATGTGCAACCATTAAAATACTGAACTTTGGTAATAAATAATTGTTTCTGGTATACACTATTAATGTATAACAATATTGAATGTTCAGCAGAAGACAAGTCATAATAATGAATTGAAATCCAATAAACATTTACACAATTATTATTATTTTAATTTTTCAGATGCTAAGTGTCAAGTTTTAGCTAATTTGGCCAATTTTGCATATGATCCAATAAACTATGCATACATTAGAGAAGTTGGAGTCTTGGACATTTTTCTACATGTTATGAAAAATGAAACAAATGAAACATTATTACAATTTGCATGTGCAGGCATTTGCAATCTGTGTTCAGGTCAGTATTAAAAATACCAGTAGTAGAATTTTTTAAATTGTTTTCTTACAAATTAGGAATATGTATGAATAAAGTTTAATATGTGCTGATAATCATTTTTATTACATTACAGACCCACTGAATGCTGAGTATATCTTGACACAAAATGGAGTAAAGCCAATAATAGCATTACTAAATTCAAATAATCAAGTAGCGGCTGATGCACTAACAAGTTTGATATATCTGTATAATGACCAAACTAAATCAGAAATAAATACTTTTGAGACCATCCAATTAATAAAAACACTGAAAGAAAGAAAAGATAGTATTTTAGCTAACCTTGCTAATATATTTTTGGAAGATATTTGCAGTACAAAATAAAATGTTGGTAATTGTTTAAACAAAAATAATTTCATAATGAATAAAATATTGTCAAATAGATTCCCATACATTGCGGTGAATAACAAGAACTATCAAAAGATATGCAAGATTCATACAACATCATTTAGTAGCTCGGCTTTCAAGGCTGGCGACAAAATTAGAATACAAAAGACATTGACACAAAAAGATCTAGATGCATTCTCTAATTTAACAAGTGATCACAATTATTTACATCAAAACAGTGGTAATAAAAGACCAATTGTTCATGGGGCATTATTAAATGGGCTTGTGGCAGGCCTTATAGGCACACACTTGCCAGGGCCAGGCACAGTGCTAGTGTCACAAACTATGAAGTTTCCCAATAAATGCTTTGTTGGTGAAAAATTGACTATCAGTGTAGAACTGGTTGATGTGAGGAAAATACTCAAAGTAAAGTTTTACTGTATTGTTGAAGAGGAAAAGAAGGTTGTGTTTGAGGGTGAGGCTAAATTGGTGTTAGCCAAAGACTGTTAGGAATAAAGTGAAATGGTTATATCTTTAAAGTAATTTATTATTAATTTATAAGATTAGGTCTTATGAATACCGGAAAATTGTAGATCTAACAGGCTAATAAAATACACAAATATAGTATCTATGTATTTTGAATAGAGTTCAATGGGCTTTTATTAACATGTGCCAATAAAATGTTAATTTTCGAAAATTATATTTAGGGAATAGTCATAAAGTACAATTTAGCTCTACATTAGATTAATATAAATCTAAGTAATAATCTAAATATTAAGATATGCTTGAATAAATGAAACACCAGAGATCTAAACCAATCATAAATTCTATTCTGTCCATGTATTGTCCATTATTATACAATTAATCAAAACTAATTAAGACTGATAGTCTCTAGCTCATAATTTATTTGTAAATATATCCTTTGAACCTGTATTAATAAAATACTTGAGGTTACAATGTTTTATAATTTTAAAATACTTATATTTTTAATGTTATAAACTTCTGTTATGTTATATTCTATTTGTAAAACGAAATTCTGCGCAGAAAAGCCTGACGATAATTTAAATTATATTGATTACTATTAATTTAGTTAAATATCAAATTTCATTCCGTTTCTTGGGAAAATTTTAGTACAATAGTTTATATAATATTCATTGTGCTATATAAAAACAAAAAAAGGATGAAATGGCACATAACGCTATTGTTAAGTGTAAATATATTTTTGGGTGTGGATATGCATTCATAAATATCTTATAAATATCAATAGTTAAAAAGATTAAGTTGTTTTATAGCTTGGTTCCGTTTGTCAACGGCTTTTCTATTATACAATTTGTATTATTCGTCTATATAAATTAAATTTGAAATTATATAGATTTTAAATGCCATGGTATGAATACATTCATACATTAAACACTTTCTTTTTGACCCTGTATTGTTTTGGTCAGAATACTATTTCTTAGTATTATGTATAGTTACAAATTTTCAGGTTAGAATTGTTTTCTTGTACTTTTTGTTACTGTTTGTATTTTTTGTTTATTAAACTCACTTGTTGTGTTGTTTCTTTTTTCATATTGTGTAAATTGTAGTAATTAGAGATATACCTTCTAAACAATGTACGTTTTTTGAAATAGCGTAGAAGTGTACTAAATGTTAGACATTTCTTAGGATTTTTGAAAATTTCTTAAAACTTTGGCTAGAGTAGTGTGCTTTTTAAAATTTTTGGTCAATATATTATAAATTACTTAGATCCCATTTATTGAGGGCTGTGAATTAGTTTATAAAGTTGAAAATATAATGCCACATTATGAATTTTGTTGGAATAGTTATTACCTTAATTGGAATTTATGGTTCTATTACTTCGTCATCAAATTCCTTTAAATGTATTAAGTGTAGTAAAATCGGTCGATTTGACTTCATTTTTATGACACAAACTTTATAGGGGATGGATTTTTGTCGATAAATAATTAATACAACCATTGTCAGAAAAATATTGCTTCTGCAAACAATTTGAAGCCTATTTTAGTACCATGTGACTTGCTTAGGAATAAAAATAAAAATCGCACAAAAAGTTCTAATGCGAAAACCAAAACTATTTATGGTTTTTTTTACTTGTGGCGAGTTGAAGTTGATAAAATGTTAGTAATTGAATAATTTTATTGGCTGTTTTTGTTAACATATATACAAGGAGAGCAGCTTACTTTTTAGATCCTGTTAGAAGCAGTGGGGGTGACAGTTTAAAGTAATTTTTAAACTTGTAAGTATTGCTATAATATATACAAATTTGAAGACATTTCATTAATTAAAATATTAAAGATTATATGAACTTTTGCTGTTTATGACTATGTGTAGATCTATAGTTCTTTTTATATTAACCATGGAAGTAATTTGGTCCAGCCAGCATGCGTCAATCTTTTGAAATAATGTAACAATGTCATTTTTAAGATTTTGGCATAGCTATTAAACTTCAAGTAAGATTTACATTGTTTTTAATAAATATACTATACCCGCAACGTTAATTAGTATTTTAAAAAATAATGTAATATGTATGGTCGGTCTACAATAAAACGCATGTATTTGTGGTTATAACGCCGGCCAATATAGATTCTCCTGCTTTGGTAACGTTGGTACGTACGGCGGCGTAACATCGTGGTACCCAACAGTGGGATTGCAATGCATGAGATGTTCCACAAAAGGGTTCCTTCACAAGTAGCCTTAATAATACGAAATAGGTGACAAATATACAGTTAGGTAGATAAATAATTTCTTTGCATCATCAGTACACAACAAAATATGCAAAATAAATATAAAATATAACGCATCACAAAAACAACAATAAAAATAAATATACTGGTGTATGTTGATTCTTAATTAATTTCGATTTGAATATTTTTATATGCTAATAATAGTTTAATAAAATCATCCTGTCCAACACTCCTTGCAGCGTGAAGCAAGTTTGACGATAAGTATATTAGACAGAAAATCACAACAACTCTATGATATATTTCTATAAAACTTAATATTGACAATAACTACTTGGGCTTCCATTAAATTAATTTTTTATATCACCTATAAGAGAATACTACGTAATACAAGAAACAAATGTTCGTTTGGGTATACTCATACAATATCTCCCTGTCTTGAGACTCTGACTGTCAATTTTTATTATCAACTTATGCTTCACAGAGGACAATTGAATTGGCAAACTTGTAGGTATAGGTATGCTATTTCCCAAGTAACTGTAATAACAAACCATTAGATAGACCTTACCGGCAGAAAAAAGTACTTTGATGAGACAGTGGATTAAGTTACCCACTCAATCGACAAAATTACCAGCTTAGTAGGTATAATATATTGATTGCATCGCAAAGTTTCTCAGAGGCGGATTGAAATTTTCATCTTTATTAAACAACTGATCAACTGCTAATGTTAAAGAATCCATTCATAATTGCATATATAATTAATACATAATTCAATATATATATTGAAACTTAAAATAACTAAAGATTTATTATTTATTTATATGTATAAAAAAGATATAAGTTCCTACTTGTATGAGTTGTGTTCATAGTACAAGTCCTGATTATTTTGGGACTACCATGGATAAATTACCCTGGGAAAATTGACATATTGCCATCTAGTCGCGAGCTAATCAGAGCTTGTGTTATGGGTACTAGACAACTGATTTAAATACATTTTTGTAAATCCATACATAATATACATAAAAAACACCCAGACCGATACAATCATGTAGTTATACAAATGTTTGTATCATGCGAGGAATCAAACCCGCGACCATTGGAAGTAAATCTGTATGCTAAACCGCTAGACCACGGAGGCCATCGATTATTATTATTAAATTGTTAATCTAATTCGTTTGAGAAGGGGGAAGATTGTTAGTAATAGGAACTAGTAACGCCCATTGCTAGCAATGTACCATGTCAGGTCGACCTCCACGCGGTTCCCCCTGGAAACCATCATGTTAAATTCCTGGTGAATTTGCACGATGGGCTAACTGACCTGACCTCATGTTCATCTTATCATCCTCCACTGGTGCCCCGCCAGCGTAAACCGTTAGCGCAGGCGGGTGCACCATTCCATTATCAACCCTCAAAAAAAAAAAATTCGTTTGAGATGCCATTTATTAACAACTGTCACACTTAACTAGACAACAAACGGCAAGACGCTTCGCCAATGCTGAAGGAGCCTTAAAACACCGGGGTTTATACCACCGAGGCACACTTTGTAATAAGTCCTCTGCTTGGGTACCTCTGTTTACCTATGTTAGCTGTTAAGCTTTCTTTGTAATCTGTTTTAGTTAAAGGCAATGTTATTGCAAGATAAGCGTCATAACATCTTAATTCTCCGGAATGGCAACGCATTAGAGGTGCCACGGGCTTCACATGACGACGTAACGTAACGCTATTCATATTACCTAAAGCAAAGTATTAATTAATTAACTGATATTACACAGTTTAGTATGAAATTTATTAAACTAAAAGTAAGCTGATAAGGGTGCAATAAAGTGTCAAATTCTTACATCCAGGGTTAAACAAATCGCTACTAGCTGCGTAAAAATTTCTTAAAAATGTCATGTCCGAAAATCGCTCTTTATATAACTTGTTTTTACCAAGAGATTATTTTTTCTCATGACATAGGTATTAAACAATCTTTTTAATTTAAATTATTTCTTCAATTGTTTGATTCAACAATTTCGGTAAAAAAATTGTTTCAACGTTAGATAATTAAAAAAAATAGTATAGTATAGAACTCCTAAATGTAGGTACATTATTTGTTGCAAAAATAAATTTAGAAATCGGTCAGATGTAAGCGAAGTTAGCACATTTCCATTAGGAACTCTCAATTTCCTCAATTCATTAACAATTTGTATACAATTGAAGAAATTCCCTATGAGATATAAAAAAAATCGATATTAAAGGCTGGTAAATAGACTAATTTGGCCTAAGTTATGTATCTGTACCGAAGCTATTTATAACCATGTTACGACCCTTAGCAGAGAAAAAGTGAAAGAAAGTAATTACTGTAATATTTTGAGAGGGCGATGGGACGCCATCCCATTTAATTTAATTAATAAAGGATGAAACCGCGGCATACGGTTAGTTTTCAGTAATTACGTAGTACCTATTATCTATATCTTAAATTATTTATGTTATTAAAATACTTTGGCTATCTAGAAATACACACTTATCTGTCGTTTACACTGGATCACGTACGAGATTTGTGCGGTAATTTTGAAGCACGTTTCACTCGTACACTCGATTTGCTGAATAAGCATTTACATATTCATTGAATTCTTATGCTTTTCCCCCAGGTTTATATAGATACCGTCATTACCACAGTCCATTTAGTAAGTTACGTTAAACTAAAGAGTGATGTAAGGAAAGACATACCAGATATACCTGTTAATTTTTGTGTAAGTAACATTTTCATACACGGGGTTTTGGTGTCATTTTTAGTAATTAGCAATGTCTATTTATCTTAATCTTCAAATTTAAATTAATCTTTTAGAAACGCATGATCTTATATTTTTATCTGATTGATGGAAAAAGAAGAGTGCCTAATATTTTCGCTGTTGGAATAATGTAAAGAAAAAAAGCATGAAAAATATTGTTAATATTATAAATAGCTAACTACCTGTTAATTAGGTATTTATTTTAATAAGAAAAAGATTAGAACATACTATGTTACTGTCTTTTTCTGTTGTGGTTCTTATAGATGACTGTTTAGGCATAACTAAGTAACTAGGTAACAAACATACGAACATTTTTCTAAAAAAGATTCAACTTTATTGAAAATCTTACTAATAAGATTACCAATAAAATTGGAATAATTATTATCTACTAGCTGTTGCCCGCGAATTCGTCTGCGTTTCCATCGTTTTTCGAAAAATAAGTAGCCTATGTCCTTCCTCACGGTTCAGTGGTTTTGATGTGTTTTTCTAACATTTCCCTTCACTGCTCTGCTCCTATTGATCGTAGTGCGATGAAAAGTATACTATACATATATATAACCTGCCCAGGAGTATGAAGATTAATTGTACCCATTTTCGTTAAAATCCGTCGAGTAGTTTTCGTTTCTATAACTAACATACAGACAGACAGACAAAAATTTTACTGATTGCATTTTGTTATGATAGTTATTTTGGAAACACTTTTATGTACAGAATTGACCTCTCTACAGAATTATTATAAGTAAGTAGATATATAGATATAGATAGAAGATAACAGAATCCTCTTCTATTGTTTTAAATATTTTCTACTTGTAATTTTTAAAGCTTGTAATATTTTTATTTTAATTTCTACCAGTTTGTTCTTAAACTTTTCTTACAGTATGAAAGTCAAGAAAGCCCTGCAGGCGTAATTATAGACTTTACTTACGTGTAATTTATAAGAAACACAATAAATATTATTATTTACTCTTACAGGTTGTTGAAGTGGATATAATAATTAATAATTAGCAAAAATGGTTGGTGCACGCATATGGATGTTGTTGGTGATTTGTTTGTATCTGTTTACTGATACTGAGGGCCGCAGGAAGCTCAAACGAGATCAATACGAAAGTTTGAAATCTGTTGAAGATGTTGACTTTAATGACGATTACGGCGAGGTATGTCGTTATTTTTATTGATTTCTTTATACATGTAACTAAATAGTAAACGAGCTATGTCTATAACATTGTTTAGACAAAGCCCGATCACAATTTCTACACGAAATACATATTGGTAAGTTATGTATGTATGTTTGTTTACGGTAATTTCAGAAACAGCTTAACAGGTTTAATTAATGCTATGTAAACTTTAGTTTTCCTTTACAACTTACTATTTGCCTTTTCCATTTGATACAAATAAGTGAATCGAATCTTAATAATTTTGTTCCACAGAAAATAATTATTACACATATACCTACTGTATATAGTCGATCAATGTATGTTGTCGATCTTCATTTGTGTTGATTATTTCTTCTTATACGCTGGTGATTGTCCTAGCTGGAACCTTGCCAGTGCGGCGTATTCATGTCGCAACAGGTAGGCGTGAAGGAAGGTCGCCGGAGCAGGCCTCGTGGTCCCCCGGAAGGCGAGCCAGTGGTTACCTACGACACGGACTCCCCAAGCCTGCCTTGTGGTGGTGGTGGCTTCAAACATTGTGTTAATAAATGTCTTGATGTGGTATGTACAGTGTACATTAATCCTTTTTAATATTAACTTTTATCTAAGGAGGCAATATGTTATTCTAGCAGGTCCCGTGAGGTAATCACAATATCTTTAATTACTTTTATATGACAGACACGTGGTACTACAATTTTGTAGGCATAACAATTAGGTAATAACAACAAGTAATATAAATTATCTACTTCAAGTAAGTATAACAATTTATCAAAGAAATTTAGATGACGGTGTCTGTTTCACCACATAAGAAAAAAAAAGAAATGCGTAATATATTATCTACATCACGACACCTAACCCCCATAAGGACCACAAGGATGATTTGTCCATGAGCCATTCGAAACTTCTCCTATTTTTGCTTTATTTTGTACTAACATTTACCCGCGGCTTCGCTCGTATTGAATCAATTTTTTTTTAATAAAAAGTATCCTATGATCATTCTAATACACTCAAGAACAAGTGTACAAAATTTCATGATGTTCGGTTCAATAGTTTTTGCGTGAAGGGGTAACAAATATCTCTACTTTCAAATTTATAATACTATATTAGTAAGGATGTCTAAGTATATATGAATATATATTGTTACAAAATTGAAATGGCGAATAGAAATTTAAATACAACTACATATTATAAAAAAATGTATCTTATATAACATTTTTTCCAGATATTGAAATACCTCCCTCGTGCCGGTCCCGTCATATGTGGGGCAGTAGAGCGGGATATACACCGAGAGAAAGCTTACCTCTTCATCAAGAACTGCGGCGGGGAGTGGACACCTACCAGCTTCTCAGCCGGAAAAGAGTTCTGCTGTACTGACGGGCAGCATCACAAATGTTAAAGTATTTAGTTGTAATATTTGATCTCTTATACGATTTATATCGAGACACTACAGACATTTGAAATCTATAACAAGTTTCTTATCTATTTTGCATATTTATCTAATTTAATTTATTTTTGTAACGTAGGTATACTTTAGAATAAAATCAATAAGGCAATTAAATCTCCGAATATTTATTGTTCGTCCTTACTATTTCGGAATCTATATAAATATAGGAATGTAATTCTGATATAGGAATATAATACAGATTTTCCTATTATTATTTTATTATACATTTGTCCACAAGTAGGTATCTCCTATACTTTAACGTCGGTACAGCGGCTTGCGTATTTTCATCAAAGGCATTTTATTTTGTCACACTACAAATATTTGTATACCAGGTTACCAGGCTTTTTTAAATAATAATGAATATATGTTTTTTTACGTATATAGAATGTATTTAGTCACGTTGCGTATATATCAGTTGTTTAGTCTCAAATGTGCAAGCTTGGACTAGATGGCGCTGTTCGTGTTCAAGACTTTTTTTACTATTATTTCTTTCAATATTATAATAACATACACAAATGAAATCGGTGTAAATATGGGTACACAATCAATTTGGAAATATATTATTGAATAAATGTTACTTCTTGCTAGTTTCGTTTATTGTTATTTACAATACTTTTAAATACTACTTATGTTCCTATTTTAGTTTATTAGGTTCGTTTTGTAATTTATTAAAGTCAATTAAGTTTCAAATTAACATAATCTCAAAATTGTAGTATATATAGCAGTGCCGGATTAAACTGCGCGGGACCTGGACAGTAAATGAATCATAGAGCCAGAGTTAAGTTTGGTTTTAGTTTCAAATTAAAATCTCCAATCAGTAGACTTTGACAAATTTATAAAAAACCTGATTATTTTTTTGTTGTCTTATATTTAGACAGTGATTTCGCGGGGCCCGTAGCTTTTTCTACTTTTGCTACTAGTCTAATCCAGCACTGTCGTATAATAGAGGATATAGACCGCTGGAGGAAACTATGACAAGAGTTGCGCTCGCGATGTGATCCGGTGAGCGTAAACTAATGTACCACAGAGCACGTTTCCGTCACTAGAAACAAAGTAATTTTTGTAGGAATCTTTGATACAATATTTTTAGCACAGAATATTTGCAAGGAATTATTTTCGAAGATCCATATAATGAAAATAATTAAACGTAAATCTTTTTTGAGTGAAACTATGCAAGTTTCTACTTTTTTTGAAACGTTAGAAGTTGTTACATAAATAGAGCTCATGAGGAGTAACTCTTATAAAAATTAGTGTTCATTGCTCTGTATCACAGAGCTACTGTTCGTTGCGTCTGAAATGGTAATTTCGCTATCTACGTGCAGGAAGAGTTATTTACTTAAATTATGTTTTATTGCTTGTATTAAGAAAAACAAAACTAGTTGTTATTATGTTGAGGTTTAGTTTAAAATGGTACTTGTTTTCTATATACTGTATTGTAGAAATAATTTCGAATATGTTCTAGTTCTAGTATATTTTATGTATTATTATTATATTTATATGAAGTCTAAGATAGTCTTAAGACACATGCATCACATGTCTATAGTTTCATTTAAAGGTTTAAATAATTTGGTGTATAGTATTTATAAGTCATAATTAATTTGATTTTAATGTATTTAATATACATATTTATGTAATTTTGATTTTAATATTTGTATAAAAATATTTTATTTGCATAATAATTTTCTTATTTATTTTAAGTTTCTTTTTACATTGCATATTTTTTTCTATAGACATCAAAATTAGAACATATATCCATGGTAATAGAATTTAATGTTGTATAGAAAACTAAATTTATCTACAAAGTGCAAACTTCAGCCAATAGCTATCAACTGCCAGTCTTTATTTATCGGTATTTTTGACACCTCACCCCTTCTAAATATCGTATTTAATGCGAAAGTGTGTCTATCTGCCTGTTACTTATTTACGACTAAACGGCTAAACAGATCTTAATGTAATTTGAAGTTTTTTTAAACCACGGTGGCAAACACTCATACGGCCCATGTGATGTAAATGGTAGCCTATGGAAGTGAAGATGTATTGTATTATGTGGAAGGACCTAGGCTACCTAAATAGTAACTAAAAAAGTAGTCGAAGTCACGTGTAACAACTAGTCTCTGCGTTTTTTGAACCCGGGCCCGGATGGTCGTCTGTCATGTAGGGAGGGGTTATGTAGATGCGTAGGAGCTGTACCACTTGTGTGTACTGGTCTCAATGAAGTTCACTTATCAAGGACTAGAGTAAGTAGCGTGGTACTAGACGGCGGTGCGGGCGCTGCAGGCGGGGCGTGGGGAGGGGCACGGTTGACCCGGATCGTGTAGGGTGAACAACCCCGCCACGTGCCACTTTCTAAAAAGAAACGCGCGTCGTCCGCGCATCCTTGCGTGGACAGCGGGATCACTACTTTTCTGTTAGATATGAACGACAGATGTGATTCTATTTTTAAATCTGGATACATATATATATATATATATATATATCTAATTTTACTAATTGTACAAAAACTAGGTGGCACACACATTGGATTTTCTATCTATTTTTTAGTTTTGATTAGTCCTGGATATTTTGACTAATACGATTCTAGATTTTTTTAATAGATGATAACAGGATGGTACTCTCACAGTGGTAAAGATATTTTTTTATGAAAGAATATAGTTTGAAGATGAAGTCAGTCAGATCAGCTTGCCTATTGTCGTCAACAGGAATTATCTACGATGATTTCTGAAGGGGCCCGCATGGAGATTGACCTAATATTGTACTAGGAAATGGTGACTAAATTCCCAAAACAATAGTTTTATGTCTCTTTGTCTATTGTCTATATAACAAATTATACAATTTCACTTAAGAGTACTCTGAATCTGGTCTAACTCAAAACTAATAGACAGATACAAAATACGAGTTACATTAGTTTAATTAAATGCAAATTATGAAAAGTTTTTTTTTAAATTTAGTTTCGCTCGAGGGAGGCTTCTTATATGTATAATTGTATAAACTGTCAAGATAACTCTCGTCTTGTAAAAACGGGGAACTAACTATGTTTTGCTGGATGGATGTAACGAGACGGTAGAAAAGAGCGATATGGAGGCCATATCTTGTGTAAATTTCAGAAATATAACCCAAATTACGAGATATTATGTACATTCATCAACAATGCATAAATTATAAAAAATAGTACCAGTATATTTTTTCACGACTATGAATCTAGCAAATAAAATAATGGAGAGTCCATCATTGTGTTATTTGATGCAGTCTTAAGATGACACCAATATAAGAGGATATTGGTAGAAACTATGATGGAAGCATAAGTCCTCAGTTTTATCAGTCTCATAAAAAAGTTGCGTTTAATCATCGTTAGCCACAGGCGTAGGTAGGTAGGACGTAGCCCAGCTACCGTCACTTGTTTCTGACCCACGGGGCGGGAACTGCGGCAAGACTTATTTTTTTAATTTATGCAAAGTACGAGTAAGTATATTGTCAAGCATAAAAGTTTTGGATACGTCCATGCACCAAATTCTATCAGCCTCTAAAGATGAACCTCTATACAAATTATATCTTATATCTCGATATGGACATTAATATTTATAAATTATAAGTTTGGAGGCTCTGAAGCTCGCTTGGAGGCAAGGGAAAATACAAATTAATTTATATTCTTATGTATTTAACGTTCATGCATCCGGGATCCTTCACCGTCAAAATTCCAAGTAAAGTTATATGAATACAAATGCAATTAATAACATTTGAACTGTATGTCAATACAGGAAAGGTAGATTATGTATTGTGTATTATTATGACTTTGTGACATTTCGTAATATTTCTGAAGCTGGATCTACAATTGTGCCTTAAAGAACTCCCCTACACATGTAGTATAGAATATTTAGTTTATTGCACGTGTTTGAAAGATAACAAGGAGTTTTCATTGATTGCGCCCTCCACCCTTTGGCCCAGATATCTTTGGTTATCTGTACTTACTGTTTGTAGGGTAAGCAAATTCTTTAAATGAATTATCACAACTACATAAAATTCTCAGAATTAATACAGTTAGCATGATGGATTAGAAAACGAATTATCGACATAGAATATAGCTGTAGTGTTTAAATTACAAGTCATGAATTATTATTTGTTGTATTCAAAAGCGCGAACATTTAAATTGATTATACTGTCCGTATATATAGGTGTTACTTCTTGGAAAATATCCAATTCGTTTATGTTGATGCACTTTGTGGCATAGAAAGTGTTCGCAAATTTTAATTTCAATTTTTATGAAACTGGGGATGGTAAATAAGATGGCTGTCGACACAAATTTATTCGATTACAAATATACCTCCTCTACTAATGTTATAAATTAGTGTGTTTTATTAATTACATTTTGACGAATGTTTAATAAGGATGTGATGAGAGATGTGATGTGAAAATACACTGTATCACGAGGACAGCTAGAAGAATAGTCATCTTATACCTACTTAAAAATAACTACTAATATTTTATAAACATCATCAACTAATAATCTAATAATATAATTGCTCTGACAGTTTTCAAGATATTACAAAATCTAATATACCTAGGTACTTACCTGTTATAATTCCATCTACATGGATAATTAAATCCATTATTAGTATATAAAAGCAAAAGTAAGCAGAAGAAATAGAACGTTTGAAGATAGGGACAAGACTAGAACTTCTATTACGAAAAAATCAATCGGGTAGTTTTTTGTATTGAATTTGTCGTTCCGCCTGAGCTTAGGGTATAAGAGAGCACCAGGCTGAAGATAAGACGAGTATGAGGTTAGAAGAGTTACCTCATCGTAATTTCACGAGGAATTAACCACGCGTCCAGGGATACCATATGGGGCAATGGGGTCTCTAGTCCCTAGTATTACTAACAATTCTTATCATTCCCAAATAAACACTTTATGAAAGTCAGCAATGGTACATTTCATAAATCTTATAGTTTCATAG